CAAATTACGTGTTTTATGTATTTCTGTGGAATATTCAGTATTAAACAGGAAATTTCCGTGAAATTTAGGGATAAAATGTTTTATTCCCTTCTATAACGGACTTAATTCTGTTATTTTACGGAATAAACGGTGGAATGACAAGGAAGTTCCGTGAAATTTAGGGATAAAATGTTTTATTCCGTTCTGTAATGGACTTAATTCTGTTGTTTTACGGGATAAACGGTGCAACGATAAGTAATCGTATACATATATAATCATTCCTAATAATCATCATGTTATAGTATTCATTTCAATTTATTAACCATAATATGAAGAATCATATTTTGTAACGTTTGGTATGTTTTAATGCTGCGGGTGTTAAGGATGTAATATCTGGTAATCAAGCACGCCAAAGTCCGGATAGTACAACCGGTTGGCCAGTGTAAGTCGGTCTGTCTCTATGGCAGAGTCTGCATACCTGCGAATTGATAATACCGCAAACTTACATCTGAAAACCTCCAACCACTGACGAGTAGCGGTTTGTGATACCTTGCTCTCGATTCTTATAATAGCGAAAAGAGGTTACGTTTAAAAATTATTTGCGATATCACTTCGGTGGAAGCGGACGTTAAATAAAGCTATTTCACGCACGCGTATAAAGTCAATGGTTAATTCAATGAAATTTTTATCACCTTCATGGTCAGGAAACAAAATTTACCATAGAGACAAACCGACTTACACTGGCCAACCGGTTGTACTATCCGGACTTTAGCGTGCTTGATTACCAGATATTACAACCTTAACACCCGCAGCATTAAAACATACTTTTACATATTTATGAAAATACTTACAATCTGATTACCGTATGATGAATAACAATACACTTTATAGATCTTATAAATAATGGAAATTAGATATACATGTCAATTAATATACCAAACGTTACAAAATATGATTCTTCATATTATGGTTAATAAATTGAAATGAATACTATAACATGATGATTATTAGGAATGATTATATATGTATACGATTACTTATCGTTGCACCGTTTATCCCGTAAAACAACAGAATTAAGTCCATTACAGAACGGAATAAAACATTTTATCCCTAAATTTCACGGAACTTCCTTGTCATTCCACCGTTTATTCCGTAAAATAACAGAATTAAGTAAGTTATAGAAGGGAATAAAACATTTTATCCCTAAATTTCACGGAAATTCCCTGTTTAATACTGAATATTCCACAGAAATACATAAAACACGTAATTTGAAGAAATAATTCAGATAATTAACACAATTTCTCCAAAAAATCCATCGATTAACAGAAAAAAGATGTTAAATTACGGAATTCGGCCACATAAAAAATGGATATTTTTTACAGTGTAGTTTGTTTTTTTCCAATCCGCGTTTTAAATATTGATTACTGATATTTAAATATAAATATGTAATCATCAATAACATAATCGGTAATTGTATTTTTGGGTTTGAATACCATTAGTCATACATTGTGCAATGATCCGTAGACACGTTCTTTGTAAGTCACACACAAAGGCTTGTGTTACATAAAAAGTACAGTATTTATATTCATGTTCACACCAAAGACTACAGTAATTCAGGTGGTAAACATCTAGTGATGGTATGTACTATATCAAATATTTAATTATACAGTAGACTCCGCATATAACGGACGCGCATACAACGGACAATCGCTTATAACGGACACAACAGTTTGGTCCCGATTTTTAGAAATTTCTTATTTTCAAAGTCGTTTATAGCGGACACTGTATAACGGACAATCGTTTATAACGGACAATTTTCATCGGTGCCCAATCGACAAATCAATGTAAAAGTCCATTTTTATAACGGACTCTCGAATAAGCAGAACAAAATGATGATATTACTGATTTTATTATCGGTGACCGGAAAACTTTTCCCAGAAAATATTCCTAGTGATTTTATGGGAAACATGTGAATACATACACGACTTTTATGTAAATACATGTATGTTCTGTAGATTTTGCATATGATAAATGTTGTTATTTCATGGGATGGTGTTACCTTCTGGTCGCTAATTCAGGGTCGATAGCAGCTTTTTTGTACAACGGATACCGTTTATAACGGGCGATTTCTTCCGGTCCAGAGGTGTCCGTTATATGCGAAGGCTACTGTAGATAGCATTTTCGAAAAGTATTGGAGTAAGCACCATGTATTTTGCCATGGCACCCTATCCCGCACCCTCTAAACAAAAAAGTTAAATAGTAAATACATGATGACATTGACTATAGCTAGCTGCTTCAGGCCATGAATGATATGTCACGGATTAAGGTTTTGCCAAGACGGTCAGATTGTATTCCAAATCTTTCTGTCTTACCACCCACTAAAAAAATCCCAGACCCGTTTGATTTTAAATTTAGGGTGCCAAAAGACAATGTAGCAATGTAGCGGATGTAAGGAGTTGCATCCCCCGTGCTTATAATCTGCATACATTAGCTACTTCCAATCTGTTGTCTCTGCAAAATTTTACAAGGAATTTACAAATACCACTATAACAGTATAACTAATTGAACTGATATTTAGCTCACCCAGTTGCTCATACTAATTACCTTATGGATCACGTACATAATGTAGATATCTGCAGCAATTATGAAAATAACAGATCCGGAACTCTACCATGTAGTGCGTTAATAATATGAATATATCAGATGATCACAATCAAGAATCCAATCGAACTTCACATTCACTCATCTTGTATTTGCCACATAAACCCGGTAACTCTAGATTTGTATACGCCCATTTTTGATACTTCCCAGAGTGTGGTAATCCATTACTTATTTTGGTTACCCTTAACGAAGTTGTCATTTCTGGCTCCATACAGGTAGTCGATAGAGTAAAATACGTTATGGAGAAAAACTATAAATGTAATCAGGACATTAGATTGGTAGATGATATCTGTACCAATAATAAGACTGCTAATCTTTGCATATTAGTTTGGAATATTGTGCTTTTAAGTAATAATAACCGTGACGGAATACTCCATTTTTCTAGCTATATGGTTATAAATATCTACCCTTAAAAAGATAATTCATTTACTTTTGTGGTTTCTGTTGTTTTTAATTTCTGTTGATTTTTGCTTGACTTGTTGATTTCATAATGCAATTATCCTATATATCAACAGATACATAGGAAACACTTCATATAATCTGAAAATAACATTGACACATTCTCCACAACATTCAATCGGTGGTGCCGGTCATCTGCCAGGGGTCAAGGAGCGGAGGTTACCGAGTAGGACCCCCCCACCCCTCACTCAACAAAAAAAGAAAAAAAATTCACGGCTGCAAATGCGTTTTCCTGGCGCGAATCGTGATAGTGGGAACCTAGCATTAAGGCCATTTTATTAACATCTTCTATTTCTATCGTAACACCTCACTGGTTTGCACGAATAAAATGAATAGTCAGACCCTTTATGTGTAAAAATAAAATACGAGTAACTTCCTTGTTTAATAAGTAGCAAATGCCAATAACAATGCATAGTATAAAGAAGGTGTGTGAAATTGTATATGTATGTATATATAACATCAACGATAAATATATGGTTGGTGTAATTCATTATTAACATTTGGATCATGACGTGACATTTGAATTTATTAATAACCAGAAGCCTTTTATGAAGGGTGTTACGCCGGTATCCTCTTACCAGGATAAATGTAGGAAGATCAGATAAATTTATACATAAATTGGTCTCGTGATGCTTGGGCGTACGGGCTCGATGAATGTTAGGGAGACGGGCAGAACCTGAAATGCCCGAAAATATTTCGGGCTATAGAAAGCGGTGTCGGTCGTCTGCCCCCCCCCCCCAAAAAAAAAAGAGTTTGGAAAAGTTTTCCTGGTATTCCAGCCCGTGAATACAACAACTTCAAAGCGGTCAAATATATAACCTAACTTAGGTGGCTGACTCGAATTCCAATCAACAAACCAATGTTCACAGTCCACGGAGATAGGACCGTCGGAAGACAATTTTCAAAATTTGACTGCCGTAAACTGCGTGTTCCTGCTATTTCAGCCCGTGAATACATCAACTTCAACGTGGTCCAATATAGTCCACCTTAGGTGACTTATCTGAATCCCAAATCCCAAACAACTGAGCAATTGTCGCGGGATATGGGGGCCTCGCGCTCCCCGAGAAAATGGTGAAAAATTTAACCACCGCAAATGCGTTTTTCTGCTATTCTAGTCCGTGAATTAAGAAACTTCAAAGTTTCCAGTCGGGTTGAAACCGCGAAGTCCCACTCTATGCCGACCTGAATTCGAATCATCCAATGAGACTGTTGCAGCTGCATTCAGAAATAATAATCGATGTCCGAAAAATGTCGCACAAAAGTAGAGTGGCTCCAGAAGTAAACAAGTGTATGTATTGTTGGATGACGGCATGATAACTCCTCCGCCCCCAGCTTAACGTGTTCGCGAATCTAATTGGTGGGTCTGTACTTAATCCGAGAGATTATCTAGCTTTGATATTTTGATTTTGTTTTGTTAATTAGATATTAATCAATTATTAGAGCGGATTAAGCCGTAAGAAATTTGATATTTTCCGATAAATTACAAATAACGTACCGTTACTTTAATGGACTGACACAACCATGTCATAAAACAGTCATGGGTTTACTACGCATGTAATAAAGATAGGTGTTCATTCACAGCAATTGCGTTTGTGTACTAAATAAACCTTCGTTGTTTGTAAACAAAGCTTAAAATACGGATTACGGTTATCTAAAGATAGATATCTATAGATAACGATAACGTTACCATTACTTGTGTAGACTGAACCCAATTTGAAACTCAACATACCGATTATTGCTTATAGTTGTTTAACACTTTAAATGCCCTGAGTGTATTGCTTTTATGAAGTAATGCGAGGCGTGGTCTTTGTTAATCGCAATCGATTTGGTCAGATCGAGGCTATGCGTAATATAAACAGAAAGCGAAAGTAGAACTGTTCGTATCGCTAAGAATTTCTAACCAAATGAACCAATTCCTGGTATTAAGAACAGTTCAGCGTAAACGGATTGCCATTGGCTTATTTCCGTTTAACTGAATTTAAAGTCATTTCATAGAAAAGGCTACAGCTGTGATGACAGTTTTCTAATGGTACGTAAACTGTGTTATATTTCCTTATTACGGCGTAGTGCATATTGGTTGTAACTTAATGTAGGTCATATTCTGCCTTATCAGTGGAAAACCTGACGAATAAAACCAACACACAGTGTTTACCGTTTAGTTGTATTATCGACGTGTGTTTGATACACCGCACTCAGTAATACTCACATTTCATTGGGACTCTACATGTTATATACTACAGTTATTATGGCCGCCGCATATCGAATAAATAAGTTAATCATTTTAAGTCTATAAATAGTCGACGTTAACCAATTTAACATTATTATAAAATAACAAACAAAGTGTTATTGTATTTTAACCGATACGCTAATATATAATACAATACAAAATTGGTAAATGGTGACATAAGATAATCGATGTATGTCTATACATCGATTTTAAAGGTTGTGAGCTAAAGGAAAGTGGCAGATCAATTTTCTTTTTGCATTCTGCCCACTTAGAACTATCTATTTTGCGAATAGATCTATGCCATGAATGTCTACCATATTCCAAAATTGTACTATTTGTTAATGCGTTTATTATGGTTATAATCCGGTTTACATCTTTCATATAAACACCTTTCATAAAAACCAAATAAACATTTTCATTTTCAATTAAATACTCCTAAAAATTTAAAAACTCTCCAAGCATAGTTAATATTTGCGACTAAAATCGTCGATTTAGGAATTAAAATGTCGGTCAGCTAGCTTCGTGTATGTGCTCGAGCGGAACCTATTTAAATAGACAACGTAAATCGTTAGTTTCTTGACAGAATAGATACGGAAGTAATATACATCATTTGATATACAATATGAAATAAATATAAAGAACTGGAATTTTAATGGCCTAAGATAATATACTATGCAGCAAAAGAAACGTCAGGTTGGTATGTTACTCTGAATAGACGCATTGCATAAAACTTGCCAAATGTTTTTATTGTATATTTGTGGCCACATCTCCAACTTTACCTGAGCAATAAGGCACCTTCCAAAACACAGAATTGAAATCAGGAAATGTTCTCAAAAACGCAACCTGACTTCTGAGATGGTAAAGTGTCCTCCATGATTTTCATGTAATTCATGCCGCACGTGCTTTTCACAGGGACCAGCCATATAAAATGCACCCCATACCTGGTTGAATCAGTCACAATACAACGTCAGCAGCATGCCACGCATCGCGACAGCTCAGAGAAACCAGGCGCTTGGAAGACTCGACGCTGGCCACATTGCCCAAGCTTTCGCCAATCCCATCCAGGTCAATGTTCGGACCATCTTCAGCTTCAACAACTCGTTCGGGCCACCAACACCATGGATGATCGCCCCCGAACTGGTAGACAAAGGGTTACCACAAGGCGAGAAGACCGCCATGTGCGACAGCACGTCCAGAATCCTTTAACACAGGCATCTGAGACAGCACGTCTCACAGGCAATGGAGAACTGTTCTGTCCAAAGATAAGAGTCGGTATTGCGTATCAACTGCAGATGACAGGAGCCGAATATGTGTAGCACCATGAGTCTTTCTGTCTGACGTGGAGAGCGTCTATGGGGAAACCGGTCGCCACATCCTACGTACGACCCATGCATCTTTTCTTACTACATATTTCTGTAGCCTTGTGATCGTCTAGAATTTGTCTCTAGCTGTCTTTACTTCTGCTTCACGTTGTGTATTTACTTCTTTCAGTTTCTTAAGACGTTTGTCTTACCAGGAATAACAATGCGACAGTTTGCTTCTACATTTTATATATATATAGCTGAATACAGGTATACAAGCATAATAGATAACAATACTAGTTAAAACCATTTCTCTACCCTATCCAGCCTCTCGGCTGTCTAGGAACTCAGATGTACCCTCGATCTCTGGAATCTAATGCAAGTCTGACTTACAGGGTTCCCCGGTTTCTTTTAAAGGTAAATGAATATCATGCACTATAAAGCGTGATCATGGCCCTGAACTTGTGTAATTAACAAAATGATTGGTTACTTTAAATCAAATGATGCTTTTAGAATATTCCACTCACGTGTAATTCTGGTGGTAAATGAGTGACATATGTTTTCGATAAATAACTCTTTTTTATGTGTCAACTGTCAATTACAGACTAAGTTGATTTAGTGCACACTATATATGTGAATATGTTTGAAATTACTAACTTGTTAAAGATATTAATTAATGAAATATAAAGGCATCTTATTTCAAGAGCAAATATTCTAGCAATATTATTACACTCGTCCCTTCCTTTAAGACTTTTTGCTCGGTATTGGGTAAAGGATCCCTTGAATCCTTTACAATAACCATACCAACATCTGTAGAATTATATAACTATTCATAAATGTAGCAGAAATCTAGAAAATCAACATATATCACCTCCCCCACTTGCAAAATTTATGCTAAATGAACAGATAGGAGACTCTTAAAAAACTTCTATGTGCTAAACCCTATAATTATTCAGGCAACAGGCAAATATCAATGATACTATACTATATAACAAAACTGTGAAAACACAGACACACATAATCAAAAATCAAAAGTTGCATGCAAAAGTTCTCCAAAAAGTTCATCACTGTAAAATCCTATGAAAATTCACTAAGCCTAAACACAGAAAACACAAATTGTCTTTTTTAAATCTTCAAGTGTCCTAATTTCAAAACACTATAACACATCACGTAATATTTATAAAGTTCAGGTTTCACTTTAAATTCTGTCTCAGGAAATGTCAATTTGGTAAACTGGTAAACCATTTCTTCTTCTTGGATGTGTATTGGTCTGTTTCAGCTACCATAGTATCAAGTTGAAACTTTCTTTTTTTCTTCTAAGTATGATTGGTTTGTACAATTTTATCCGTCAATCAAACATGTCATTGCCATCAGACCAAGAACTAACTATTACTATTTTATTAAAACTTTATGTTGCTATTAGTCTAACATTATTATTAATATATTATTTCGAAAACGTATTAGCAAATCTTACTGTAATTAAAATTAAACTTTATTTAAGTATTAATAAACTTTGAGGTGTCCCTTTAATTAGAAATTTTCAAACTAAGTTTGACCTCTTGACCTGAACTGAGTAATGGACAATTTTAGAATTACGTTTATGTTTTATAATTTCCGTTTCTGTTTTAGAATTCCTACACTGTTATTTTATATTTCACCGTCAGTAATGTGACCTTTTTGACCTAATCATTTACAATTTTGTATTTCGTTTTTTATAAACACTAACCACTATTACATAAACATTCCCTCTATTATTACATTAGCCAGGATGACACACAGATATGGCCACTATCTGAATGACATCCCATTTTATCCTACAGTAGGACGTTAAAGCCCATTTTATTTAATTTATCCACGACTATGTTAAGAGAAAATGGCCGTACGCTCCATTCAATCAGAACACAGTCCATATTTATATAATCATGACCATCAGAATATACACCTAGCTTTTAATTACACGTAATTTACTATATCCCACATAGTGTGACTTACACACACATCAAAAATTAACACAGTATGAATACTATTGTTTATAATAATCTGACCTAATGTCAAATTACACATTCCTGTTCAGTGCGTACATGTCGACAGCTTAAAGCAATTAGCAGTATATATTAAACGTTAATATTACGTTTCTAAAGCAAAAATTTAATTACATAAAATTATATACTGACAAAATTTACCGTATACCTACACTTTTCTAAAAAGTGTCGTATTCTTAACTTTAAACTCCTATAAAACTCGTATTAATGACTTTGTGACAATCTCACAATTTAACGAGCCAATAATTTTAGTTTTTTGTTCCAGGAAAACTATAACCAACATCCCTTGATGAACCATATGGGATTTTCAACATAACCTAACTTTTTAATCAAAAGTCAAATTACAACAACTCTAAGGCCTGGACTAAGGGCCTTAAAATTATATAGTATACGAAACAACAAAAAACACAAATTAACGAATCACAGTAAAAACCACGGCCAACTAGCTCTGCCGTCGTTCTCACTGCGATCCGGAGACAACATTAGTTCCTTATTTTATTCCCTATTCCGTTTCCTTATTATTCCTTAGTTATATCAAAACATTTTTTTTTAAAACCTACTCCCTAAACTTTCTCTTTAACTTTAATTTTACTCAAATTTACTACAGGTCATGTTAACCTGATAATATACACACCTAACCAGTGATATTATATTGTTCAATATACCTATCAATCTAAACTTATGAATGACTGTAATTTATTCTCTATACAGTTAAATTTTAAATATTTAGTTTTTTTTATCAGATTTTAACTTTAAATTAATATTATTTGGTCTTTAAACAAATTTAACACATTTAATTTTCCAAACAAAATGTATTTACCCAATTTTTCGAATATCTCCACAAGATTTCTTTTTTTCCACCAGATTTTTTCCTCTGTTGATGGATTGTACAGATCTTTTTTTCTTCTTAACGTCTTCAAACATGTATTCTTCTTCTAAAGTGACTTCTTACCCCAAAGGTCGAAACTGCGTTACGGCATCAAATCGAATATGTAAGACTATGCAGTGCTATGCAGTCACTGGTTAGATGTGGAAAATATTACGGGAGAACTCCCCACATCCAACGTGTGATGCATACTCTCTTTTCTTCTAATCTTCTTCCAAATTTTCTGCTTACCCTAAAGGTCGAAATTGTCACGGCAACCAAATAGAATATGTAGCACCATGAGTCTTTCTGTCTGACGTGGAGAGCGTCTATGGGAAACCGGTCGCCACATCCTACGTACGACCCATGCATCTTTTCTTACTACATATTTCTGTAGCCTTGTGATCGTCTAGAATTTGTCTCTAGCTGTCTTTACTTCTGCTTCGCGTTGTGTATTTACTTCTTTCAGTTTCTTAAGACGTTTGTCTTACCAGGAATAACAATGCGACAGTTTGCTTCTACATTTTATATATATATAGCTGAATACAGGTATACAAGCATAATAGATAACAATACTAGTTAAAACCATTTCTCTACCCTATCCAGCCTCTCGGCTGTCTAGGAACTCAGATGTACCCTCGATCTCTGGAATCTAATGCAAGTCTGACTTACAGGGTTCCCCGGTTTCTTTTAAAGGTAAATGAATATCATGCACTATAAAGCGTGATCATGGCCCTGAACTTGTGTAATTAACAAAATGATTGGTTACTTTAAATCAAATGATGCAATTAGAATATTCCACTCACGTGTAATTCTGGTGGTAAATGAGTGACATATGTTTTCGATAAATAACTCTTTTTTATGTGTCAACTGTCAATTACAGACTAAGTTGATTTAGTGCACACTATATATGTGAATATGTTTGAAATTACTAACTTGCCAAAGATATTAATTAATGAAATATAAAGGCATCTTATTTCAAGAGCAAAAATTCTAGCAATATTATTACATATGGCGCCGACGTGACCAGCGTTATTCTGACCAATGTGTCACGGAACGAGACTCATGGGGAGGTCCGAGCATAATGGTTTGGGGTGGAATCAGACTGAACCAGAGAGTGGGTCCTGTGGTGTTCCAAAATCTTGGACCAGGGAGAGGAGGCGGCATCATAGCAGTGCGCTACATCGACCAAGCTTTCACACTCCATGTCATACCACATTTCGGACGTCATCGAAACAACGTTTTCCAGCATAACAACGCCCGTGTCCACACCGCCAGAGTTACTCGGGACTTTCTACAGCAGAACGGTGTCAACGTTATGCACTGGACAGCCCTTAGTCCGGACTTAAACCCGATTAAACATCTTTGGGATGAAATTCAGAGGAGACTTCATAACGTTGTACCGAGACCAAACAAAGCCGATGGATTATGCCAGGCTTTTCTGAGAGTGTGGTTCCGGGTGCCAATGGCGTTCATCAATCATCTGGTCCACACCAGATACTGATGTAGACTGTGTACAAACTCTAAACTGTCTCGTAATATCTTGGAATTGTGATGAATTAATCACTATGTGTCAACATACTGTTCACAAAATATTGCTTTGATCCATTTAGTAAGTCGTTTTCTAGAATGATTTGATTAAAGTGCCTCCCTGACGGGTTGGTTTTGCTGTTTAGTATATTGTTATGTATCATATCGATGGTTTGACCTACTTATGTGCTATTTTCAATATTTTATTAAATAATATTATTAAAAGGTATTATTTTATTATACACTTTACTATTCCATTTTTTATAGGATTTATTTTTAAGTATTTTGTGAGTTTAGACGTAAATTGTTGTTTTGACCTATATAATTACCCCCCTTTCTTTTGCCATACTTTTCCTGGAATTGATACGGAATGTATCAACTTCGCGGCAGTAGAGATAATTCCTTTGTTCTGTAAAGACGTGTTTCATGTCGTTTTCATTATACCCATTATTTTAGGGTTTATACATATTATGTTATTATTACTCTTATTTTGTATATATTAGAAGAGTTTGTATATATTTGGAACCTTGTTGTGTAATATTTTGAGACCGATACATCGATTATCCTGTTCTTGTCTGTTCGTTTAACTTACCACACGTTGATACGTAACAATATATACATAATTATTGTCTAGCAGTGCTAATTTGGAGAATAGTTAGTTTAGACTTGACTTTTCTTTTAGCCTATATGACCATCGATACGGAGGGGTTACCTTCGTGTGTCGGTTGTTTCTTTTTTACATTATCGACTTCCATTGAATCGGTGTGTGGTTCGGGGCTATTTTTATGTCGAAACTTTAATCATATTCATAACTTCTGTCAGAAATAAGTTATAAATTTCCATTATTATATTAATTTTGCATGTCGTCGGCCCCTTTCTTGCGTGAAGCTCTAGGTCAATTTTACAAAAATTTAAAAAAAAAAACGATTTCTTGGTCCATTCCATTCAATAGTGATGTAATCTTACCTGGAAAATAAGATGTTGATATCAAATATTAAAGACACATGCGCTCGAGTCTCATTTGTTATGGCGAATGAGGCTAAATGGCAGTCCGTAAGTAAACTGTCAAACATTTCTTCCGATGAACAAAATTGATTATAAATTACAAACCGAATGTAAATCAGTTTACATACACTTATATTACATTAATATGTTCTCTTTGACCCATTTTCGTCCATTTTAGATTCCAAAGAAATAAAAATTTAGCTTCTTTAAATTAGTGAAATGAAGAATACGATTGAATTTCGGCAACGCTATTATAAGATTTGTCTGGTAGGCAAGCTATCTTTTGAAATATTATAGCATTATACAATCTAACATAATGACTCTTTAATGACTCAAACAATAAGATTATGCGACAAAACTGCAATGGAAGTATGTTTCATTTCATGTATATATATTTCAGAATGAATTTCGTCAAAACTTAAAAGTCAATTAAAAAAAGAGTATTACAAACGTTGTCATGGAGTATATTATGGAGCAGTATCTTCGACATACATCGCACAGTTCAGTAGGACGCGGCCTAATGGACAATATCGAACATGTTCTCCTACAGGCTGAAGATCAACTTAGAGCCGGAACATTTAACTCAGAGAACGGTCGTCTGTTTAATAGCAAATTACATGAGTTTTTGCTCAACTCTATTGTGTTAGATGGCGATATAGTATATCTGTTAAGAGACAGGCTGTGTAATTTCCATATAGAGGTAAATTATTAATTAATGAATTGATTTTTTTTCTTCTGAAATTTGTAATACTATAGGGTCTATATACTGTAGAGGTCACCTAAGTTCTGTAAAATATGCTCTGGTTAATACATTGAAGTCGTTAGCTAGTACCAATGACAACGAGAACTAGGTTAACAAGGATATGACTGGTAGATTAAAATCGGGCAATGACATCATAGTCTGCTAATCCAAATATGGCAATCTCATGCGTTAGAAACGTGGTTAGCCACCCTCCTGGGTGCCCATATAAGTATACTGTGTTGAAATCCAGGGTAGCGTCTGTGCAGCTGACCAATCCGATAAAGGAAGTACCTAGTCAATTTCCCGGGGCTCAATACATGACTCGTGCACGTATCCTCTTTATATAAGAAGAGCGGGGTTCACTTTCCCTTCAGACATCATTGAGAGATCCTAGAGAAGATATCATTCGGAGTTCCCAGGGGAACATCATACCCACAGCCTCCTCGGTTGAGAGGCTGGGAAATATACACCATTCAGACATCATTTAGAAAACACTCGGATTAGAACGACCCTTAAAGTCGTAGGAAAGCCATACGATGTTGTGGGGTTCCGTTAGTGGTAGTAATCTATGCTTGTAAACACAAGTTGGGGATAGAGAACTTAAACTTAGCTTATATTTAATGTCATAGCTGTGTGTGTAGTTTCCTGTATATACCCGTTGTATTATGGATATTATAAAGATATAAAAACATAGTTAACGTAAAAAGTGTTCCAGAGTTAATTGATCATATGCACAACGTGAACGTCCTGACTAGATAAGTGTCACCCTAGTGTCACGGGCCGTATACACAACGTGGAAGTAATTCATAATTGATCTATTTAATGTAACACCCTAATATGTCACAAATTGACAAGATACTAAATTATCTATGCTGCTTAATTTCATTTCCTATATACACTCCTCCTCCCTTTATGTATAATTATACATGATGTAACTCAAGACAACATTAAGTAACATGTTAAAGATAAAAGGTGTTCATGTGTAATTTGCAAATATTAATCTTTGTCGTAGTAGTACACTGATTTATAGTGAATAATGATTGTAGTTAAAAAAAAAACCTATTGTTGTATCATGTTAAAAAATAATTGGTTTAATGTTATAAAATGTTTTCAGACGATTCCACAAACTGCTCAGTGTATGCTGGGTGTCATTCGTTACATTTTTCATGGTAAGATATGTAGATTAACTTTCTAATACGAATGGACATGTTGCAATTGGTTCATTTCATTTTGCAACAGTGCATGGCCCACGTTACAACCGTTAATTAATGCTCGGTCTACAAATACGATTTTCTAACTTAAAAGTTCAATTCTGATCAATATTGAAAGCGCCCCACACCTCAACATGCCCGTATATGGCATCGTCGAGTTTCTGCTGCTAACTTTCTAGGAATATTTGATAATTAGTAGATATAATTAACGAAAAATCTAATCAAGCCAGATCAGTTGTCTACAGAGGTATTGGCCATGCCGAAATCTTGTAAACACTGTAAAATCCCAACTGTTCTAATATTTCTTTGAGTTTCATCCGTTCCACTTTCGTGTATAAACAAAAATCTGCCGCTGGTTGCATTTTTGTCATGTTTATATTGTGTTTGTTATTTTATAAATATTATAATTGTAATTATTTCAGTTGTTTCAGTTGTTGATATCATTTGCCAGTTCAGTGATGATGAGGGGGTTCCTTCCGTAAATGTATTTAAAAGATATCTGGAAGTTTATGATGTATCACTGAATACCCTGCTTTCAAAACTGAAGCCTACAGATTTAGACGATACGGTAAATTAATGTATTAACGGATTAAAAATAATTCACATTCTTAACTCGTTACTTCATCTGAAGCCTTTTTACTTGCAAGATCTCCTTGACGTGCAATAAATATAACAAAATATAAACATGTTAGTAGAACTGTGTTTAAATCTATTTTGGATTAAAGTAGTGTACGACACTCAGTTTAAAGTTTAATGTTGACGCCAAAGAGGGAGAGAGGGGGGGGGGTCTGTTAACGTCCACTCGACAAAAACTAGGTCATTTCGAGACTAACATATGGTTCAATTTTATTTCTATAATTCGCTTGCTGTGAGAGGAACCAGATGACGCGGAGAAAACCCACGAGTGTGGACAGGAAGCCCCACTCCTTGCCGCGTACTGTCAACCGGGGAATCGAAAACACGGCACTTGCATGGATCAGTGACAGATCTTATGATCTAGAACGCACGCGTTAGCCGACCCCCCATCCCGTCCGCATTAGACACCCCCCACCCGTTTTAGGAAACAGCAATTGTGAGTTGCAGATCGTCATATATGTAATATTATTGCAATCACTATTGTAATGTAATGTTATAAAAGAAAATGTGTGGCAATAATATAACCAGAAAACGAAAGCTGAAAGTACGGGCTGTTTATTGTTATACCATTCGGTCCCCCAAGCCCCCTTGACGCCAGATGACACGAACATACTGTGCGCTCCGTTAGTCCATGCACACGATCTCTTGCAGGTGGAATTCGACATAGTACATTTAACGATAAAAAGAAGATATATAGGTCTCATTACACTCTGACAGACAGTTTCATTAGTATTTGATCATAATCATGCCTATCGGGGATGATGTAATTTTCAATATCTGTCCCAGATTCGAAATCGGGCGTGATACCTGCAAGGTGTAGCGCCTTCGGTGAAGACAAGTAAACGGCAAGCTCGTCGTCCATAGGGAAGAAATCACGTTGGCCTTCACATAAAGGAACCATTAGCATTTGAAACTTCCTGATATTGTACAATGTGTGTATCAACATGACAGAAATGTTGTGTTGGCGAGACGTTACAACCCAATCGTCACTTTCAGGACAGTCTGCTTTTATTTTCAAACTTATGAAATCTTGTGAATACAGAGTATCCAATGAAAATTTAAAAAAACAATGCAATCGCAGTTATTTTTATACGTCCACATTCATAATGTGAACGTATTATGCCGTCGCCCCTGTCTGTGTGTGTGTGTGTGTGTATGTATGTATGTGTGTGTGTGTGTGTGTGTGTGTGTGTGTCTGTGGTTCGCCTACAGGGCGCAATTCTTCATGGATTTTCTTCAAACTTGGTATACTTATTCCTTATACCCCAAGGAAGATCCCTATTGTTTTTGGTGCATGCCCGACCCCCCGGGGCAGAGCCACGCCCATTTCTAGTATTTGTTTGTTTGTCGTCTACAGGCCACATTTCTTAACTAATAATCTCGAAACTTTGCATACACATTCTTTGTACCCTAAGGAACATCCCTATCGTTTGGGGTGCATGCCCAAGCCCCAGGGGCAGAGCCACGCCCATTTTCTTTGTGTGTCTGTGTGTCGCCTACAGGCCACAATTCTTAATCGATTGTCTTGAAAAAATTTCATATGAATTTCTTATACCCTAACGATGATCCCTATTGTTTTTGGTGCATGCCCTACCCCCAGTGGCAGTGCCACCCCCATTTTTTGTATTCATTGTTTGTCATCTACAGACCACATTTCTTAATGTATCACCTTGAAACTTTGCATACTTACTCCTTTTATCCTAAGGAACATCCCTATTGTTTGTGGTGAATGCCCAGCCCCCAGCGACAGAGCCACGCCCATTTTGTTTTTGTGTGTCTGTATGTCACTTACAGCCTGCAATGCTTAATCGATCATCTTGAAAACTTTCTTATACTTATTCCTTATACCGTAAGGCTGACCTCTATTATTTTTGGTGCATGCCAGACCCCCTGGGACAGAGCCACGCCCAGAATTTGTGTGCCTTTTGTATCGCCTACAGGTCACGATTCTTAATATTTCCTTTTGAAACTTTGCATACCTATTCCTTTTCCCTTTTCCCAGGGGCAGAGCCACACCCATTTTTTCTTTGTGTCTCTGTGAGTTGCCTACAGGCCACGATTCTTAATGGATTGTCTTTGAACTTGGGATATGTATTCCTTATAGCCTAAGGACGACAACTGCATGTCACGACCCCCAGGCGCAGAGCCACGCCCAATTTTTATGTTTATCGTTTACAGGCCGGAATTCTGAATGGATCAACTTGGTACTTGGCATATGTATTCCTTATAGCCTAAGGGCATCAACTATAGATTTTGCCTTTAACGCTCAAAGGCCACAGTTCTGAATGGATTATCTTGGAACTTGGTATATTTTATTCCTTATACCCTAAGGACGGCAACTATTGATGTTGTCATTTCAATAACAGGATGGTACCTATATATATTGTTTCCATATCCAACCCCCATGGGCAGAGCCACGCCCAGTTTTTGTATTTATCGTCTACAGGCTGCAATTCTGGGAACTTTGCATATTTATTCCTTATACCATAAAGACAGCAACTATTTATTTTGATGCTTGCCCCGACCTCCTGGGGCAGTGTCACACCCACTTTATTGTTAGTATTTTGTCTGTAAATTTGGCAAAACAAACTTGATGCCTAGTCTTCTTTGCCTCTGAACATAATACAGCCATTTCATATTTCATTCTCTTCATTTTAAAAAGTACCATATCAATCAAAGGTGGAATGTGGACGTATATTGCAGCATTAGCGATGCTCTTGTTTTCTATTTAAATTTCAACTGTTCAGTTGGACACTCTTCCTATGGAAATTTGTCGGGGGTTGTTTATTGGGGAGTAATATAAAATCTGATATTTTTAAATTGAAATTTTAAATATATTGTTTGCATTTGACTGTTTACAAGCCCACATTTCAATGTTGTAGCATACTGCACTCACCCCTATCTATCTGCCCATTGTCGAAATGTCTTTCCCATTCTTTTGCCCGCACAATAACGACCGAAAGAATTCAAATGAGGATACTTATTGATTTTCACATTTATTGATAATCACCTACGTAGGTCATTATGAAATCTTTGTGGCGCTTTATAGGTTGCAATTTATTAGGCTACACAAAAAAAAATATTTTGGTTCTCAATATTCTGCTTTTATTTTGTCAAAATTTAGCTCGTTTTTCATTTTTAAAAAACACACAAAATTATTATAAATTTAATATTTATTCAGACAATCCTTTTGTTTGTTTGGGTTTTTTGGGGTTTTTTTTTTGGGGGGGGGGGTATTTTGTCAAAATTTAGCTCGTTTTTTTTTTCATTACTAAGAAACACACAAAATTATTATAAATTTAATATTTATTCAGGGATTTTGATCGTAAAAGATGACAGATTGACAGTTCGCCATCTCTACATTCGATTATCCAGTGCTGTTGATGATTGTCAATAGTGTTTCCCATGGTTATGTACTTGATAGCCGAGTCTAGTCTCCATTTCCAGCTATCAAGAAACGTTCAATAGAGTTGAACGAGCGGAAATTATTGATTTTGTTTTTATTTATTTTTTTTTTAAATATAAAGACGTGACGCGGTGGTATCTGAGACCCAGAATATTTTTTTGTGGCCTTAATCTTTCATTTTGTGGTTTATGTTGCTTTTGTATGTTATTTAAATGAATGACTATTCATTTTCAACGATATTCGATACTGACATACCGAGTTAATCGAGGGTAGATTTTCAGTGATTGTTGATGATAACATCCATAATCACCCCACCCACCCCCAATGCGGGCGACTTAGCTGCTGCTGAGTGAGTATAAATGAAATAAGGGGGTGAACATTGATTGTATTATATTGATTTACTAAGTCAACTTGCATTTCCTTAGAAAGTCCTGTTATATAAATCTTGTATTTTATTGTAGATAATAAATGAATTTGTGGAGCTCGCAAAGGAGGATTTTGAAAATGGGTATAATGCTGCCAGCTTTTTCATTACATCCGAGGTGTTGAAGTTGGGACAACTTGTTTTTGGGCAGATGATAAATCATCGGACTACATTTTTAAATCTGATTGTTTTACAAAGTAAATCAATAGATATTAAGGTATGGGTGTCAACATTTAGATTTTTTAAACTTTATATAAACTTTATAGTTGATTACCTTGATAAGCTCTCAATAATTTACATATAGATGTTTCTAAATATGTATACAAGAAAGTCTTGACAAGATGCCAAAAATTTCAAATTCAAGTTAATGTAAATTTTCAATATTCTTTAAAATCAAACATGATTCATTGGATTTTGTCACAATACTTTCGAGTGAATAATAAATTTTTTTCGACACGCTTTCTTTTAAGTCTTAATACCTCTTTTTCAGAAAAACCCTGAATTTGTTTTATCTCAATTAAAACCACGTAAGTGAGCACTTTATTAGATTTGGGTAAGTTATTTATATAACGAATGTTTACAATGGTAAGGTTTTTAATTTTAAATCAACAAATAATTGACGTGTACATAACCCTCTTAATAATTTTTTGGGGTTGTATTTTTAAGTTATGCCTTTACTGGATAAAAATAGACCAATATGTGCTCAGGCATTCCAACTACAATCAGAAGCGTACGAAGAAAAACAAATTTACAGTCTGGCTATTGAACGAGCGAAGTCTGCAAGAGAAAAATTTGACGTAAGTTTTAAACGAAACACACCATTATACGGGTATAACTAAATCTATTTTAAAGGGACAATATCACTCTTGCTGGCTTGAAAGCTCCAGAAAATAAAAAAACAGCCTTATTCTACATGTAAGTACTAGATGGGTTAGTGTCCTACCTGTTGTGTAAATTATCCATTAAATCCTATTTTACTTGTCCAAAGGGTTCAAAAATATTTTTAAATCCAAGTCGCATTTGAAAAGCTTTACCTCAGGCTTTTCAAATCATTTAGTTTAATTTTTCCAATTTTTTAAATTAGGTGTGTTAAAATGAAATTTGGATTGTCAATTAATTAGAATATTGTAAAATATACTATTCAAAAAAAGTAGGGGATATTTGATTTTTAAGTGTTATTAAAGTCACCTAATGAAACTGACGAAGAAACAAATGACAAAATGAAATGAAGTTCACATTCATCGATTTATTCCAAATGATCGTTAGACTAAGTAAGGCACAGACTGACCATTATAAGGGTAAAATGATACCCGGGGTCAAACAGCAAAGTTACCACAGCATCACAACCAAGTCAGTAACGGGTAAATCCTCCTCTGTTTGCCAAACAAGCATTGATCCGACGTGGCATACTCCTAATGAGACGTCTAAGGTCATTTTGCTCCAGATTGTCCCATTCCTGTTGCAACGCAGCAGCAAGTTCTTGGACATTGGCAGGACGTTGTTGACGTTGACGTAACCTCTGTCCAAGCATGTCCCAGACATGCTCGATGGGGGAGAGGTCGGGACTCAGTGCTGGCCAAGGTAATGTGGTGATGTTCTGTTGTTGGAGGTAACCTGTAACGATCCTGGCCCTGTGACATCTTGCGTTGTCATCCTGGAAGATGAAACGGCGGCCATGACGTCGTGCGAACGGCACAACATGGACTGCCAAGATGTTGTCCCGGTAGTACTGGCCTGTAACACGCCCTGCAACAACATGTAAAGCCGTTCTTCCAGCAACAGTGATGCCTCCCCACACCATAACAGAACCACCCCCAAATCGATCATGTCTGATGACGTTAACGTCTTGGAAGCGCTCGTTTCGACGACGCCACACCCTCCTACGTCTGTCCAAAAAATCAACAGTGAACCTTGACTCATCTGAAAACATCACATTGCTCCAGCGTCGATTATCCCAGTGTTGACGATCCCTACACCAACGACGTCTTGCCTGAATGTGATGATCTCTCAAACAAGGGATCGTCTGGCCACTCACTCTCACACCAGTGTCTGAAGACGAGCGCTGATCTGATTTGCTGTGATGACACGATTTCTCAAGGCCAAGGTACGGATAAATCGATCCTGGGCTTGAGTTGTCGCCCTTGGTCGACCTGAGCGTGGTCTGTCCTGTACAGATTGTGTATCACGGTATCTGGACCATAGCCTGCTTATGACAGACTGAGAAACATTCATCGTCCGCGCCACAACCGCCTGTGTTGTGCCGATCTGTAGCATGCCAAGGGCACGTAACCTTTCATTTTGGGTAAGCCGACGCATATCAAAATTTGTTTTCTGGTCACTAAAACAATTAAACTGATGTTTCCACCCTGGAATTCAATGCCACAATGACTGTAACATTCAAAGTCAGAGTCGTGCAAATCTTGGGTTGGACCCCCATGATGATCCCAAGCATCACCTGCATTCCATGCGGTAGCTATTGGTGCGTTTGGGCGTCACATGTAACTGGAAATGTTTCTTCTGTTAGGTTCTATAGTGACTTTTTTCGTAGTCATTTGCATATTTTAGTATTATGCCCCCAAAATCAAATATCCCCTACTTTTTTTGAATAGTATAGTACAATTTGTTGACCAGAATAAAGATTGGGACATATTATTCAGTTACAACAAGAGTGGTATTGAGCTTTTAAGAACATTGTATTGAAAGCGTCAAATTCCAATTCATAATTAGACATTTAATGGACTCTCTCTCTCTCTCTCTCTCTCTCTCTCTCTCTCTCTCTGTGTGCGTCTCTCTCTGTCTCTCTCTCTCTCTCTCGGCCGAATGGTTAGCAGTATCATAAGGCCTGTCATTGAGTCAACAGGCGTGGGACATATTATTCAGTTACAACAAGAGTGGTATTGAGCTTTTAAGAACATTGTATTGAAAGCGTCAAATTCCAATTCATAATTAGACATTTAATGGACTCTCTCTCTCTCTCTCTCTCTCTCTCTCTCTCTCTCTCTCTCTCTGTGTGCGTCTCTCTCTGTCTCTCTCTCTCTCTCTCGGCCGAATGGTTAGCAGTATCATAAGGCCTGTCATTGAGTCAACAGGCGTGGTTTCGAATCCCCGGATGACGTGACAAGGAGAAGGGTCGCCTTTCCAACCTCGTGGGTTTTCTCCGAGTCCTCCGGTTTCCCCCCACTGCTAAAGACCCCTACGCGCAAGCGAATTATTGAAATAAAATTAAACCATATGATAGTCCAGAAATGACCTAGTTTGTGTCGAGTGGACGTTAAACCTCTCTCTCTCTCTCTCTCTCTCTCTCTCTCTCTCTTTCTCTCTTTGAAACCTATATTTTAGGCTCAAAGGTACCTTTTATCAAATAAACACCACCTTCAGTATCCATATGCAGCTGGCGATAAGTCCCCCAAACCCACACGATTCTGGAGATAGCCAAATGTTCAAACATGTCTATTAGAGTTGTAAGTGATTGTCGCAATTGTGGGGCAACACAGAAAATTGAACAATAAATTACCTGGCTAGTAGTTAGACATACCCTACTTTCCCCTGACATACAAACACGCACGCTTAAACAAATTTTCAGACAGTGCATTTGGGTCATTTCGTCACATTTTTGCATTTAAGTCGTATTTTTAAATCCTGTGAATTCTATGATTTAGCATGGTCGATACGAGATGAGATGGCTGTTGTAACTTAGATAATTATAATATAATTTGTTTCTTCAAATTTGTTCTCCGAGATATCTTTGCTCTCATATTGTTTCGTAATTTTTAAAGATGACGTTATATTTTTATACCCTTACATTGTCGTGTTAACATATTGTGCCGTCCAATCTGATTAAAACACATATCCTATTTCGTTTCGTTTTTTATAGTTCAAAATTTCGTTTTACTTGACTTCACAACACTAGGATCTGGAGTTGTTATATAAGCCGCGTTCTGGTTAATGTGAGGGATAAGCCAATGAAACGGTCTGTTACGAGTTCTTGGTGTGCGATGCACGGAACTGTGGGTAAACCACTAGAAACGTCAACACTGGTTGATTAATCAATGTTTGACGTCATAGGGTCAAAAGCCCGCTCGTATGACCTCTGACGTTCCAGAGTTATACCCAATATAGGCCACAGTAATTGCTAAGCAATCTTTTTTCAGATTTTGTGTGAAGCATTGGTTTCGATATCCAGCATTCCACAATATTCGGTTCTGTAGTTACCTGGACGCGATAGAGGCAACGGGTTTTAACGTATTTATTTCAAATTTGGTGTGTAGCATTAGAGGACGAACCCTGTCGACAGTCAGTCATCCGTGACATTCCGAAGTTATCCTCTTTCCGAAAACCTTGTTAACGCGATAGAGGCTACAGATTTCAACAGATTTATTTCTAATATGATGTGATTGAAGCAACCAGAGAATGACCCCTATTCTCTGTCCATCTATTGCAAAATATGGACGTATCTTGAATGGCAACCGCTTGTTTCTTGTCCAAATCAACTCCTGGCGAATTAGGGGTTGACCATATGATAGAACGTTGGTCTTGTTTCTTGGCGTTCGTGTGTTGGTGTAGATAATCATTAGGCGAATATCTTTGCTGTCTTCGACCATGTACATTTTACGATTAGAGTACGCATGGGGTAAATAGCTTGCTTAATTTATGTGTTTAGCGAGAGTTATGAATCTTGTCTTTGAATTTCATTTCACACATACAATGATTTAGGTTAAGCAGGGTCGTTATCAGTTTTATTGCTCAGGTGATTCTACTCACACATGAACCCTCCACAAGAACCGAGGGTAAGCAATGTCAGCTTTTGGTCCGTCCATGTTTGGAGGACAATAATTCTGATACTGATTGGGTGATAGTTATGAATATGGAAGACAGTATCACTGTACATTCATTTCAGTATGGTATGTAGGTAGTGGGCAGGGTTATCAATTTTATAATGTTGATATATGTTTCAGGGTGCTAGGGACAAGCAAAAAATGACAGACATAATAAAACGACTGGAAGAAAAGCAGAAACATAAAGAGACATCTGCCCTTGAAAATAAAGTGAAATCTGTCAATAAAGCCGAAACATCTAAAACTAAAATGGAACATGTGAAGTCCATCCAAGCGAACGATACCAAAGAAGCCACCCCAGTGAAAGATAAAGTGATATCTATTCCAGTGAAAGATGAAGAGAAAACTGCCCGAAACCAATATAGTACGAATATAGTTCAAGGGAACGAGAACGCAGTTCAAATTAATCCAAAAGCACCCCGAAGTTCCGTAGGACTCGGTCTAATGGACAATATCGAACATGTTCTCCTACAGGCTGAAGATCAACTTAGAGCCGGAACATTTAACTCAGAGAACGGTCGTCTGTTTAATAGCAAATTACATGAGTTTTTGCTCAACTCTATTGTGTTAGATGGCGATATAGTATATCTGTTAAGAGACAGGCTGTGTAATTTCCATATAGAGGTAAATTATTAATTACTGAATTGATTTAAAGTGAAAAGTCGTTTGTTTTTTTCTTCTGAAATTGACAAGATACTAAATTGTCTATGCTGCTTAATTTCATTTCTTATTTACACTCTTCTTCCCTTTATGTATAATTATGCATGATGCAACTCAAGACAACATTAAGTGAAATGTTAAAAATAAAAGGTGTTTATATAATAAATTATTTTCAGACGATTCCAGAAAATGTCCAGTTCATGTTGGGTATCCTTCGTTACATTTTCCATGGTAAGACATATGAATTAGCTTTCTAATAGTAATATTTACGGCAAATGAACTGATAGATAAAATTCGAACAAAATGTGCTTTCAATAAGATCAGACGAAATAAGGAATTTGATTGGGTGGTAAAGGCCTGCACGTGTCGCCTACGAACCCAACGGGGGACATTTTACCATTTGCTTATGTAAACTGCGGTGATGTGAATGACTTCAGACCGGCAAAACAAGATTTGACTTGCTTTTTTAAAACTCGATTGACCTGCAATTTGGAGTGAAGTTGCCAAACGTCCATATTGTAATATAAATACAATACTTTTTGAATTATTCCACTTTTAACAGCAGTGAACTGTTTTTCTCGGATATAAGAAAGAGCCCTAAATCCAAAGTCAGTGTTAAAGATTTGTTGAAAGGGTTATTGTCCATGTCAAATCCTTGTAAACACTGTAAAGACCTAGACCTTCTGCTATTTCTTTTGACACTTACACTCATTGACCTACTTGACGTATTTGAACATTTTCGTTATACTGTATTTAAATTGTGTTTTTTTTATTAAATAGATATTATTTCAGCTAATTGTAATTATTTCAGCTATTTCAGTTGTTGATATCACTTGTCGGTTCAATGATAATTGGTATCCTTCATTTAACGTACCAGCAAGATATGCTCAAGTTCGTGATGTATCACTAAAAACCCTGATTTCAAAACTGAAACCAACAGATTTAGACGATACGGTAAATATAAACGGATTTAGATCTTATTGACGTGCAACAGTAGATGATGATATTATAACAAAATAAACCCGTTTTGGTAGAGCTGTTAAAGTCTTCCTGGATCAAATGAACAAATGTGGTGTTCGTTGAACTAACAAAGATAGTTTTTTCTATCCGTTCTGTTCATACCAAAATTTGCCGAAGTAATTTGACATTGAGCACGTGAAGATAAAAATGAATATTATGGCAAGCCGGTCCCAAATTGACCTAAATAAAGTTTTGAAGCTCAGTTCTTTTCAAATCGACCATTGGGTTCCAATTCCGGCAATTAAAGCCTGGTTCCCAAGCGGGACTAACAAGTAAAGTGTTGCCATGTCGTTCCTTAGGGACTAAAAAAAACGAGGTGCTGTCGGACGATACGAACTATCCATGTACACTTCACCTTGAATGCATTTGGAATTCGACGAAGGGTACGTGGAAATGCCGCTGCCCGAGCAAAATGTTCGTCTTTATTATAAACAATTCCCGTCTTCATTAGCTCGCAAGTAAAGACAATTATGGCATTATACCCCATTTGATTTCATTTCGCTCTCTTGAATGATAGCTAGGAATGGAATTGTAAACAATTTCAAATTGAAAGAAATGTCGAGGGGTTGCGTTCCTGGGACAGTTTGGTTGTCACAACGATTTCCATGGCCCCATGACCCGTTTTACTTGCGGCCTTTTGTTTGAAGGTTCTACAAAATCTTGCCCCCATCTCCATTTACTTCCGTGGCAACCTATAAAGACTGTGAGCAACGCCCAGAAAGTGTTACCGATTTTATATATGATAAAGTATTTAAACAGCACGGACGACTTTGAAGCGGTTAACATATTAGTTGTCTGACGTGTTCTTCGGTGGTGTCTGAAATAAAAGACATACCATTGCTGACATTTATATAGATAATGTTTAGAACATCATGTCATATCGTCTTCGGTAAATTTATTATTTTATTTTAGATATTAAATGAATTTTTGGAACTAGTTAAAGAGGATCTACGCAATAGGTATAATGCTGCCAGCTTTTTTATTGCGACCGAAGTTTTGAAGTTGGGACATCTTGTCTTTGGAGATATGTTATATCATCGGACTCAATTTGTAAACCTAGTTATTTTACGATTAAAAGCAGTAGAGATTAAGGTAACAACAAGTACATTTTCCTGTTGATAGGTTCTTAAGAATCTTGTCGTCCCTTCATCTTCTAGGATTGGCACACCATTTTTTTTAAATTCCCGAAGGGATGCCAATTAATTCAAATTCATGTTAATGTGAAATCTCAATATTCTATAAAATCAAATATGGGTTTCGTCACATGTTCAAAGGGGTACAATACATGATTTTTGTATTCAAAATCTTGATAAATTTAATCCTCTTTTTCAGAAAAATCCTGAATTTGTTTTATCTCAGTTAAAACCACGTAAGTGAGCACTTTATTAGAACTGGGTAAGTTATTTATATAACGAATGTTTACAATGGTAAAGTTTTTAAATCAGCAAATAACCAATAATTGACGCGTACATGACCCGCTTAATGATAATATTAATGTCTGTATATTTAAGTTCTGCCTTTACTGGATAAAAATAGACCAATATGTGCTCAGGCATTCCAACTACAATCAGAAGCGTACGAAGAAAAACAAATTTACAGTCTGGCCATTGAAAGAGCAAAGTCTGCAAGGGAAACATTTGACGTAAGTTTTAAACGAAACACGGAACGGATACGTGAACGGATAAGTCCCCAATGGACGCAGAAGGCGCCCTTTCCGTTGGACGCATTACGAAGTCAACGACCAACGTGCCCACACTGGTTGGGTGCCCATAAAGCCGAGTGACATTGGCTGGGCGCCTTCGACGAGATTGACGGGACATCCAATCAATGTCACTTGGTTTTATGGGCGCCTCGCCAATCATGTCGTTATATATATATGCGGTGTCCCCTCACCCCCATATGGCGAGGCGTCTCATAATGAATCACCTGATTAACACGACAACTTGATTGATAGGGTGTGATCTGTGGGGTACCTTATCCCGGAGAGTAACCCATAATGACATGGTTGGTGAGCGCCTAAAAATGACAATATATGATTGTCGGACAGCACATAATGCAGAATACCGGGTGAGATTGGTTGGGCGCCCTTCCTTTCTTCAAATCTTTATAATGTTCATATCATAATATCATAATACGCAAATTTCGCAAATTCAGCTTCAAAAATTTCTGTGGGGAGAGCACGCTAGACACTTCTCTGAAACGAGTCCACGGTGCCGTTCGCCGTTGACCGTCAAGTGTAGGTACATCGGCGCCCCAAGAAGCCCTATCGGGCAGGGGGGTGGGGGGAATTTAAAGTTATAATAAAATGTCAGCTCACTTTGGTAACCACGTGTTGATGCATTTCGGCATAATTTAATACGTTATACCCAAGTAACTGAAAAACCATGTCATGTTACGAGGGCTGGCTGAAAAGTTCTAAGTTTGAAAAGGATAGATCAGTAAAAAGTTGGGTTGAAATAAACCTTTGCCACCAGCAAGTGCAATCATTGAATGACTCATGGATATAAGAACTGCAACTGTAGTGTTATTATTGTTTACATACCAGACCATCTTGTGAACCTACCCATTGAAATCACCAGAAATGGACAAAACTGACTATAGTACCTGCAACTGAAAGAGTTAACCCCAACACCTATTGGTCTCCACTTTAGGGGATGATGCCTCGTCCTTTTCCACAGTAAAGAAGTAAGCTGCGGAATTTAAGCATGGCAGAGAGAGCCTTGACGATGACCCGTACGTCTTGTAAGGCCATCAAAAGCAACCATTCAAAAATACATTACACGCGTGCATCACATGGTGATGTCAATTAATTAAGAAAAATTAACGATCACATTGGAATAACTAACCGATACTGTCACGCATGCTATGTTTGTCACGTGCATGTTCTTGGTGTTCGCACCTCCGAACTGGCGTTCGCCTTGATATCGAATAAAATCCATTGATCTGTCTTTGGTGCACAGATTGAAACTTCTTTTTTAAAATAAAGTTATGATCTAGAACATTTTGTGATCTAATTTGAAATTATCAAACTGTATTATAATTGATAGGAAAAAAACATGCCTATATATTTGTATTCCAATCATGGTTGAGTATATGTAGTTTATATGTACCGATTTCTTTCAGGAAACTGCCGACAAACAAACCATGACTAATATAATAAAACGACTGGAAGAGAAGCAGAAAATTAAAGAGAAATATGTCCGTAAGGATAAAGTGGAAACAACTCAAAATAAAGATAAAGAAAAATCCATTCCAGTGACAGATAAAAGGAAAGAAGCTCCAAACCAATATAGTACGACAATAGTCGATAGTAAAGAAAAATCTGTTAAAATTCAAGAAACCAAAATTATAACTGATCATGGCGAAATTGGTACCACTCACACTAAATTGGTAATTATTCAAGTAAAATCTACCATGATTATATCTTGATTTAAAGTTAGCATTTTGAATTGCAAAAAAGACAGAATCTGCCATGCCACGCGTAACTTCCGGTTGATCGACAATTATCTACTTGAAGCACTAGTTTTCTTTTCCAGTTCTGTTCAAAATGTCCTATATATAATGTAAACCTTTTTTTTAATTAGTGTATAGTTTAAATGCCCATTTTTCAGTCTACATGAATGACAAATTTTAAGTCAAACGAACCCATTTTCAATATTTCAGTCTCACGATGAGTTCAACCATCTCGTAGAAAAATGGGCTGAAGAATGTTTTGGGGGTGATATTGACTTTGAAGATACGGTGGTTTGTATATTTCATTGAATTAGCCTGGAAGTTGGATATAAATGTCACACCTTGTTCATAATAATAAGTCGTGTTTGACTGATAATTGTGACAATACCTTCTGCAGAGAGAGAGTTCGAAAATATCAGATTGACTGGTACCTTTTTAAAATCCCATTTTCTACGCGAAAAATGGAAATAAACCTGCAACAGGGAATCGGAAAGATGTCATGAAACGTCCGCATTGCTTATATTCAGATATCAAGAAAATGTCCCAGAATTTCAAATACCTCCATGGCATCGGGATAGAGGTTTCTAAGAGAAAATTCACACAAACCTTTCTAGATTTTATTCACTGAGTAATATTCTGACATTGTGCACAAAAGTAAATCATCGGTTTGAATTTATCTGACATTATAATGCAAAATGACTTGGTTAAAGAGAAAGCAATTTTGCAAAGGTGGCACAGTTGTTTTCACGAGAGTTTAAACCCATCCTAAACGTCCATATTTATGTTGTCACCCTGTCCGTCCTACAACAATTAGCTTGTGAACGCGATAGAGGCCACAATTTGTGGCGGATTCTTTTCAAATTTGGTGTGAAGCATTGTGGTTATGCGAGTACGACGTATTTCGATATTCAACGTTCTGCGACAAGTCGTGCCATAGATAAGCCTCCTTTTCCGGAAACCTTGTGAACGCAATAGATGCCATAGTTTTAACGCATTTATTTCAGATTTTATGTATGGTATGTTGTCAGGCGAGTAGGACCCATAGGAATTATAATATTCAGCGTTCCGCGACATTCCGTAGCAGAGTTTCTGCTCTTTTGTCTAAAACATTGTGAAGCATTTGGGGTTGTAAGAGGATTCCGTTACACCGCCCTTTGCAATAAAGGCTATAAAGTCTTTTCAATATTCCAAAATCGGTGTGAAGCAATGTGGTCATTAGGGGACGAACCCTGTTGATATTCAAATTTCTACGTTTTTCCTTTCAAGAATTATCCCCCCCCATTTCTGAAAACCTTGTTAACGGATTCTTTTCAATTTTGAATACAAACAGTGAGATTATGAACCATATTGATATTCAGAATTCTGCCACTTTTAGTTTTGGAGTTATCCTCCATTGGTCAATATCCAAGGGGATGTTCGATTAAACGTTCCGGAATTAAATTCTGTCAAACCCAAAAATAGTGACAATCGAGTGAAAATAGGATTGGAGACTAGAACGCATGCGCCGACTGCACGAGGAAATATCTCAACCAACCAACTTTCCGGTCTGACAATCGAGCATCCCCTGAGTTTCTATTTCGGATAAGCTACTGACGAGACATTGTTGCTGTCTGTGTGTATATCATCACTTTGTGTGGCTATCTCTTGTTATTTATAATTTATAAAGTTCGATCCTCATTTGGAACCTTTTATACGAGATGCGGAGGCAAGCCTTGTTCAAGAAATGTTCAACGAATCGACAGGGAACAATTTCCATGTGGATCTTAGAAGATTTATATCATCAAAAAGGGCCACCGAAGCTAATCCACATTTAATGACTTTTTGGACCATGGTCGTTACAAGCACTTTGATTGAGCGTCTCGGGGGGGTGTTTAAGGTAAGAAACCTATTGCTTGTTTTCCATGTGCTTTAGGCTACTTATAAGGTGCCAATCTAAATTCAGGAGTACTAGCGAGGTTAGAATTTGTTGTAACCTAAAGTGAATACCACGAGGTTATCGGAATTGACCTTTGACACTTACTGCTGCCAGATTGGCTAATCTGCAGATTGACTGTACTTCATATTGACTGTACTTCATATTGTGTCGATAAACTCACCAGAACTCTTTCTAAATAAATGTAAAACATGGGCTTCTTCTTGTCAGTGGTCAGAGGGCTTGGGGAGGAACATTATTTAGTCGTTCAGGTGTACGAAAATACGGAGACCCCGTGTACACCTTGACAGTAGGGGTGGGGGGTGATAATCACAATTTTGAGTAAACCCCTGCTCAAAAAAAAAATTGAAATTTTGTTCCACTAGCTAATTACCCCCCGTACATGCCCTCTGAAAATTTACCCCCCAAATTAAACCCTATTTGCAGGGTTATTTTTAATTTTGAGCTTGAATAACATAAAATAGTGGCTTATGCAACATTAGTTTAGGTTTTCCATGGCCTCGGAAATAATCTACGAAAATCCAATATGGCGGAAATCCAGTATGGCGGCCAAAATCGATCGATTTTTTATATAGAGGACAATAGTAACACAATAATATGGTTGTAATTATCGTTTTAAATGTTTCCAAGGGTGCTGAGTAAGAATATATAGTCAGAAATGCGTTAGATCCATTCATTATGCGGACCTCAAATATAACGATACACTTCAGATGGATTCAATGACTGACTATAAGCAACGAAATGAACGCTAACTCTTAAATTATTGTATCATCCTACAATACTTTCATCTGTATAACTCATATAACATCATAAACGACAGGACCTATTAAATAGATTTAAGTGTCCATTGAGATCAGTGCTTGGTTAAAATCTTTGAGTGTTACCGTAGTTTTTGCAGTTACATTACAATGTACCCAGGTATATTTTCAGATTCGTTGCATAGATGTTCGTAGGTAAGTTTTTATAGTCTTTTTTCAAACTGAAGATCACTGATTTTTGGGACAGATAGCGCTGTATCCCTTGCATAGCGTACTTCTAGAAAAAGGCGATTATTTTTTACAGTTTCATTGATGGTCATATTCACTTGTACACATGAAGTGAATGGTCCCCCATGGCTTTCAATGCATCCAGATCTCTATTACGTCTCTTATCTACAGCCACATTCGCGATCTTTTTGTTTTTTAATCCCTGCTTCATTTATGCTTCCTGTTTTTTTACTCCAAGCTTCTATAATTTCTGGGATTTTGCCTCTACGTTGTACCATTTTAGTGTATTTACTTTATGAACCTGACGGCTGGGTATCTATCAAAACAACAGACATAGATTTTACTTGGGTTGAAGCTGTGCATGCTAGTTATTTGGCACCTCTTCTCTGCAGTTCATAGTTGATAAAACCTACATTGCACTCTGCTGTCAGATTGTGAATAGAGGCCTTCTCTAGCTTTTCGGTGTCCATATTTTCAAGTGCATATTCAGATTCCTCATTTTGATAGTCGCCAAATCCGAAAAGTTCCCCTTACTGATGTTTTAATCCTTGTGCCAGCTTCGGTAATATCATGGATAGTACTTTCAGCACTTTGTCGCTCATGTCATTCATCGTTGCTTGCAAAGCTTCGCGTACATGGTTTCATTGAACCTTTCTTGCGATCTAAAGTTAAATGCTGGTGAGTTCATGTTCATGAGTTCAGAAGGATCTGTACTTATCAAATCATCATAAATATAGTTGTTTAAAGGCAGGTGTCAGCTTTGTGTATGTCGTTTTACTGGATGTCGTTAGCGAGAGAAACAGTTCTACAAGATGTAGTCCCACTAGGGCTCCTACACAGTATAAAACTTTCAAAAAGTCGAGATCTATGAAGCATCTGACCGAACATCTTATTACCAACAGTCACCACTGCTCCTTCAGCCTGATTTTGACTCATAAAAACAACTTTTCAATTTATCAATGGTTTCATAAACGTCTGGGCGAACTTTCCGAATGCTGTCGCGTATATGCCGATATGGTTGTGGTAAATCGTCACGTTTTGGAATAAGTTCATATAACTTTTTTCTTAGTTTAGGCTTTTTCATATGCAAAGTTGATTGTTGGTCTTAAGAAGATTCGCTTGGCTGAAACTCATCTCCTATTTCAGTTTGATTATCCTCATAATCAGAAAGGTCACTGAAACCAACTGTTTGCTCAGATCTCGCTTTATCTTGTTCTGCTCTCTCACTCATTCTTTCTATTGCTGCCAGATCCATTCTTCTCCGCTGCATAGTTTTATTCAACTTTCTGTCATCAAAATGTTCACAATACATCAATCGTTCAGTTCGCTGATCATTCAAAAAGTCCCATTCCTCTCCTGTCATTTTTACTTGATAAGCATTTTCTTATCGTTTCATCGTAGCTTGATCCTCACAGAAAATATCGAAGATATTGTTTGCTGCTTGGTTGAATTCTTCAACTCTTTCATTGTATTTCTCGTTTCGACGTTCTTTTCTAGTTTGTATCAAATTTGTGAAATCTGAATAGAGTTTTAGTATTTTATTCTTGATGTGGTTAGTTCTTATTGTATATACATTACAAAAGATCCAGTGTTCCTGAAGCAATTCTGCTAGAATTAATGCAAATTATTTTGTTATTTTTGGTCATCTATATCAGATATCAATCTATTTTGGCCCCATATTGGATTTCCACCATATTGAAATTTCGTAGATTATTTTTGAGGCCGTATTTGGACTCAGCACCTTCGAAAACCTATAGCAAGTCGTAGGATAAGCCACTATTTGATGTTATTCAAGCTCAAAATTGAAATAAATCTGAAAATAGGTGTAAATTAGGGGGTGGGGAAGAGGTAAATTTTTTTCAGAGGGCATGTACAGGGGGTTAATAGGGTCGGAACAACATTTCATTTATTTAAAATTCTTCTGTACTACATTCTCCATATTTTAAACAGGGGTTAAGCAAAGAAATTGAAAATCCCCCCCCTCCCCGAATGACAGATGGAATTCAATTGCTGTCCGGGCACAATTTTCCTCTTGGAGTAGGTCATCGTCATTAGCCCTATTATACCCTATTTCCCTCATTCATTGCTGTTTACTGATTTTAAGGTCTGTTACGGCTTTAACCCATTAAACTTAATAATCACAGACCACCGGTCATACGGTGATAAATTATAACGACAGACATATACTAAATAGTAGACAGTACAGGAGTAATTTATGATATTACAGAAACCATGAAGCATGAATTAATGGCAGGCCCTATAGTCCAATCGGTAGTACGAGGATGAAATTCGTTTGATTTTCAATACTCATTTCTATGTCCATAGTCCTTGTGATTTTCAACGATATCCGAAAATTACATGCAGAATTAGTGTCTATAATCGTTTGATTACAGAGAGTGCCAGAAACTTTAGTAGGTTACCTTGGAATTTTGCGGTATATATTTCACGGTAAGTTATTACTATTTCATACATTTTTTGATGAGGATAAAATGTGTCCACCAAGGATAACGTATTTAAGTTCGTTTTATACACCCTTATTGAAATCTGGTCGTTGTTTTGTAGTTACTTCTGTCCGTCCATCGGACGCTCTAAACTTATCAGTCGACATATATATACACAGTATTTTATTTGTAATTTGAAGAATGCCACTGATTTTAAACGATTTTCAATAGTTTCACAGTTATTTTCTTTGATCATCCTGAAAATTCTCGTTTGATAAAATTTATAATAAACATTTGCTTTTTTGGTAATCATCATTTAAAGTATATTTGGCATTTACAAAAAAACGTCAAAATGCAATAAAGAAATAATTGTGAAAAAATATTGCTTCAAATTCTCCATTTTCTTCTGGGACTAATATGGTCTGTTTCTCGGAGGAAATGGAGTCTTGCATTGTAGTGTTAGTAAAGCTTCAATGTAACAGCAGTGATGGTGACAGTCGTTTACTTTCCACTATAACATGACTGGTATAAAATCAACCATATCAGATACTATTTCAAATTGTGTTTTTATACGCCCACATTGAAATGTGGTCGTATATTGTTGTCGCCCCGGTCCGTCCGTCCGTCAGGCGTCCACAATTGCCTGTGGACGCTCTAGAGGCTAAAGTTAATATCCGATTGACTTTAAATTTATACACAGTGTTTAAGGTCATGAGACGAAGAAGCCTATTGATTTTCAGCGATTTTCGATAATTACTGCCGGAGTTATGGCCCTTGATCACTTCAAAAAATCTTGTGGACGCTCTAAAGGTCAAAATTAATATCCGATTGACTTTAAATTTATACACAGTGTTTAAGGTCATGAGACAAAAAAGCCTAATGATTTTCAAAGGTTTTCGATAATTACTGCCAGAGTTATGGCCCTTGATCACTTCAAAAAATATTGTGGACGCTCTAGAGGTCAAAGTTAATATCCGATTGACTTTAAATTTATACACAGTGCTTAAGGTCATGAGACAAAGAAGCCTGTTGATTTTCAGCAATTTCCGATAATTACAGCTAGAGTTATGGTCATTGATCACTTTGAAAAATCTTGTGGACGCTCTAGAGGTTAAAGTTAATATCCGATTGACTTTAAATTTATACACAGTGTTTACGGTCATGAGACGAAGAAGTCTATTCATTTACAGCGATTTTTGATAATTACTGCCAGAGTTATGGCCCTTGATCACTTCAAAAAATCTTGTAAAGGCTAAAGTTATCATCCGATTGACTTCAGATTGATACACAGAGTTTAAGGTCTTGAGATTTTCAATGATTTTTTATAACTTGAACAGCTAAATCCAAGATGTTAAAAGTTTCGTATACTAAACTTTAGCATGGAGCAGAACTTTATAAAAACCAAACAAGTTCTAATGGTTTTCTGATAATTACTTAATGATTTGTTACTCTTAATCAGATTTTAATGTATTATAAATGTTTCATTACCGAAAAAAAGTAAAAATATGCGACAACTCTTGTTGACTGCCCGGACGATATAGCTGCTGTGGGCGTATGTTTCGTTGCATGGCAACCTATCTTTTACATATTTTTAATGGATTAATTTTCGGTTTCTAGTTATTGCAGCGATTGAGAATGTGGGAAGATTGATGGCATCTGATGTTTTATCACCAGTTATTGGGATACCGGCTGATTTAAACAGTCTTTTTGATACGTGCTGGAAAAAAATGCCCCTGTTTTTTAAAAAATTGAAGGTAGGTCATACACTTCAGTGTATGAGTATAATGTCGTAACCCTGTTCGCCGGTCCACCCGTCAACAATTATCTTGTGAAAGGATAGAGGCTACAATTGTTAGCATATACAATATGTATTTTGGTATGGAGCTCTGTGATCATGAGTGGACAACCCCTATTTGGTTTTAGCTTTCCGCGACCTGCCGTTCCATAGTTACACACCCCTGTCGAAAACTTTTTTAACGGGATATAGGATATAATTTTTAACGGCTTTTTTGCAAATGTGGTGCGAGGCATTGGAGTCCTGAGAGGATGTACATATCAATCAACCTTCTTTTCCGGAGTTAACCTTGTGAACATTGTGAACGTGGTCTGGTTTTTCGTGACCCCCTTGCCAGAGTTAAACCCCCTTTTCTGAAAGAGGACGATTCCTATCGATATTTAGCGTTCTTAACATAACGTGTCGGTCGAGTTACCCCCGCCCCCTTTCCCCGAAATCTTATTAACATGATACTATCAACAGCTTTAAACGGGTGCTGTTTCAAACTTTGCCTTCATAAGAGGACGAACCCTGTCGATATTTAGCTCATTAAAATCTGCCGTGACAGATTAAATGGTTGGTAAAAGGGCAAAAGGATTCATTTCGATTTTGAGAGGTTTTGAAAAATGTATCTGTTGATAAATGTGTGTACATTCAATAAAATGGAGTAGCAGTAGCTTGTATTACCTTATGACTATGATTATGAATAACCATCGGACGTGACATTAACTGCACATTTATCAAATACTAAAGCCCCAAATATCTATTATTAACGAGCCTGGATATTATTCAGATTGTTGGTTGTTAGAACAATTTAAGAAGATTGTTTTTTTTTTCTTCTAATTTTTCTATACAATTTTTGTAAGTAGATGGCTGAACGTAGATCTCGTGGTAGTATGTATACGTTTTGTGGAAAGATGGACAGTTAATTAGGCGATAAAACTTTCATTAAAAAATTGTTACCTACAATTTGGGTGTTCAAATTAATTACAGGAAAATCCAAAGTATATAAAGGAATTGACAGGAATAGCAGAACTAGCTTTCCAGAATGGTAATAATAATGGATGTTTTTTTATTACCGAAAGACTTTACGAATTGATTCTTGAAATGAACCATGGTATGCCAACAAAAAGTCGACTATTGTCAGATCTTCTTATACTGCAATATAAAGCTGTAGATAGCAAGGTAAATATTAAAAATAATTCTGACGACGTAATTCATCGTAAGATAAAATGGAATTAGGTTTGATTTATTATTGAAAATGGAAGGGTGTGAAATTTACATTCTAAAAATGGAAAATGAGTTAAACTTCTTTCAGAAACGCTTACTAAGCAATCGGTATTCCTCGACAAATTTTGGTGATTTCCGTTGTGTGTGTATGTTTGTCCGACTATTGTATAAATTGAACCGACTACAAAATTATGGCCGTCTTCATTAGCCCAGGTTAGGAGCAGAACAGTAGGACGTTAAACCCCATTTAATTTAGGAGCAGAACAGTAGGACGTTAAACCCCATTTCATTTCATTTCATTTCACAAAATTGTGGAAGAAAAACGTTCCCAATATCATTTCAATGTTCACGGTGCAATCTGCATATGTCAGCAGTTCAAAATACCTATATTAATTTTACTATTGTATAAATTGGACTACAAAATAGCAGCACTGGAATTGTAGTCAGTCTCCACTACATTCTACATATTTCAAATTCTATACGTGAAGGCCATTTCGAAATTGATCCGCAGTACATATTCCCATTGTCCACTGTATAACAGTTTGGATAATTTTATCGAAAAACATACGCGAATCTCCGTATTACAATTGTTTTTTTTTTGTCCAGACATTCTTGTGCAGGAATGATCGAACATGAATACATTCCTATTCCTCGGGTGGATTCGGGAACAGGTACCCGGGGAAGCATCAACAGCATTGCAAAACATGTGGAACCATCGGGAGGCCTCGGGAGAACTGTGAAAAGTTTCAGTGTTTGCGTTGAAATTTTTCATTATGTGTTCCCGACGTTTTGTCAGGGAAACAGACTGGGAGGCATCCCAGAGCTTTCCAAATAAACGGAGAAGTTCCGTGGATGCTTCTCCGGTTTTTCCGCGAAATATTTTTCCCCAAGGCATCCCCGAAGCATCGACGATGTCTCGCTGAATTATCAGGAGACCTTCCAGGATATTTGAATCATCGGTGAATGTTCGGTGACCATTCGATGATCTTTCATCGACACATTCCCGATCTCGGGTTTGCACCCCCGAAAATTCGCCCATATTTTGGCGACGGTTGAAAAGTGCATTCTTCCTAGGGCACGGATTGGTTGGATTTAGCATAAAGTACATCTCTTTTTGAATCGGCGATCATCTATGTCCCACTGCATGTACTAAACGGAAATCGCTTAGCCTCGGGAGGCGTCGCAAGCCATATGGAACCATCTTGAAGCCTCGGGAAACGATTGGTTATTTTCATATCCCCAGTGGAACCTACGCATTACGCTCCATGTAATCATGAGTTTAATCTTAAAATGATTTTGCCATTTATTTGTGTTTGCAATTTGATATCTTTTCAGGCATTTCCTACACACGTTATGAATATCGCCGGAATAAGTAAGTTTCCAACGCAAATCTTGATAATTTGCTCATTCAATATTTCTGGTTAGGCTGTTGGAGATACTATAGGAAAATGGATCAATGATTGGTTATCTATTTCAATGTGTTAACCTATATCCAACCTCTAAATAAATATTCTAAAGTATCATTGTTTCCAAAAATATTTCAAACTTTTCGCTCAAAATTAGGCAATGTTATTTCGAAAAAGTCATTCTCCATTCTAAAGTAGCATTAACTTAATATGTTATTCTGAAATATTTCCTTCCGTAACTGATTAGAAATTACAGTAAAAACAGAAACGATCGAATGTAAATCAGTTTATATACATTCATATTACATTACTATATGCGTTGCGTACCATTTGTGTCCATTTCTAGTTGCCAAAGAATAGAGATTTAGCTCCTTTAAGGTCACAACTACTTGAACGATTGGTGGAGTATGTTTCGCTGTCCGGTTACCTATGCTTTATTCAGTCTTCCTAATTACAATATGAAACTTACTTATTACATGTACTTGTTATTTGAACAAGAAAGCCTTGTATCATTGATGTTTTGCCATATCGTCCGTTTCAGTTGTGTACCATTTTTACTTTTTATGTTTTAGTCCAAAGAGTTGCCACTACAAAAGACCACACAGGACACGCTTTGAGTTTTCAAGCAGAATTTTTTAAAGTAAAAAAGATTTACGACCTTGCTATACAAATAGCAAAGCAAGCCAAAGAAACTTTTCAGGTAATACATAGTATACTATTCAAAAAAAGTAGGGGATATTTGATTTTTAAGTGTTATTAAAGTCACCTAATGAAACTGACGAAGAAACAAATGACAAAATGAAATGAAGTTCACATTCATCGATTTATTCCAAATGATCGTTAGACTAAGTAAGGCACAGACTGACCATTATAAGGGTAAAATGATACCCGGGGTCAAACAGCAAAGTTACCACAGCATCACAACCAAGTCAGTAACGGGTAAATCCTCCTCTGTTTGCCAAACAAGCATTGATCCGACGTGGCATACTCCTAATGAGACGTCTAAGGTCATTTTGGTCCAGATTGTCCCATTCCTGTTGCAACGCAGCAGCAAGTTTTTGGACATTGGCAGGACGTTGTTGACGTTGACGTAACCTCTGTCCAAGCATGTCCCAGACATGCTCGATGGGGGAGAGGTCGGGACTCAGTGCTGGCCAAGGTAATGTGGTGATGTTCTGTTGTTGGAGGTAACCTGTAACGATCCTGGCCCTGTGACATCTTGCGTTGTCATCCTGGAAGATGAAACGGCGGCCATGACGTCGTGCGAACGGCACAACATGGACTGCCAAGATGTTGTCCCGGTAGTACTGGCCTGTAACACGCCCTGCAACAACATGTAAAGCCGTTCTCCCAGCAACAGTGATGCCTCCCCACACCATAACAGAACCACCCCCAAATCGATCATGTCTGATGACGTTAACGTCTTGGAAGCGCTCGTTTCGACGACGCCACACCCTCCTACGTCTGTCCAAAAAATCAACAGTGAACCTTGACTCATCTGAAAACATCACATTGCTCCAGCGTCGATTATCCCAGTGTTGACGATCCCTACACCAACGACGTCTTGCCTGAATGTGATGATCTCTCAAACAAGGGATCACGCGAGGACGTCGGGCGCGAAGGTGACCCCTATGCAGTCGATTCCGAATCGTCTGGCCACTCACTCTCACACCAGTGTCTGTTTGAAGACGAGCGCTGATCTGATTTGTTGTGATGACACGATTTCTCAAGGCCAAGGTACGGATAAATCGATCCTGGGCTTGAGTTGTCGCCCTTGGTCGACCTGAGCGTGGTCTGTCCTGTACAGATTGTGTATCACGGTATCTGGACCATAGCCTGCTTATGACAGACTGAGAAACATTCATCGTCCGCGCCACAACCGCCTGTGTTGTGCCGATCTGTAGCATGCCAAGGGCACGTAACCTTTCATTTTGGGTAAGCCGACGCATATCAAAATTTGTTTTCTGGTCACTAAAACAATTAAACTGATGTTTCCACCCTGGAATTCAATGCCACAATGACTGTAACATTCAAAGTCAGAGTCGTGCAAATCTTGGGTTTGACCCACATGATGATCCCAAGCATCACCTGCATTCCATGCGGTAGCTATTGGTGCGTTTTGGGCGTCACATGTAACTGGAAATGTTTCTTCTGTTAGGTTCTATAGTGACTTTTTTCGTAGTCATTTGCATATTTTAGTATTATGCCCCCAAAATCAAATATCCCCTACTTTTTTTGAATAGTATATAATAGGTCTTCCTTTGTATCTTCGATTTAGTTCATAAATCATTTTAATGTTTATTTTGTTTGGGTTTTTTTATGGGAGGGTGGGAGGCACCCGTGGCATCATGCTGACGATTAAGCAATTATGCAGGGGGAAGTACGTCATAATGTGGACGTATATTGCCGTCTCCCCTCTGTGTGTGTGTGTGTGTGCGCGTGTGTGTGGGTGTGTTGGGTTGGTGTGTGTGTTGTGTGTGCGTGTGAGTATGGGTGTGTGTGTGTATGTGTGTCGCCTACAGGCCACAATTCTTAAGTGATCATAATTATTCCTTATACCCTAAGGATGATCCCTATTGTTTTTGGTGCATGCCCGACTCCCAGGGGCAGAGCTACGCCCATTTGTTTGTTTGTCGTTTACAGGTCGCATTTCTTAACGTATAATCTTGAAACTTTACATACTTATTCTTTGTACCATAAGGAACACCTCTATTGTTTGGGGTGCATGCCCAACCCCCATGGGCAGAGCCACGCCTATTTTCTTTTTGTGTGTTTGCGTGTCGCCTACAGGCCACAATTCTTAATCGATCGTCTTGAAAAAATTTCATTTGAATTCCTTATACCCTAAGGATGATCCGTATTGTTTTTGGTGCATGTCCGACCCCCAGTGACATAGCCGAGCCCATTTTTTGTATTTATTTGTTTGTCATCTACAGACCGCATCACCTTGAAACTTTGCATACGTATTCCTTCTATCCTAAGGAACACCCCTTTTGTTTGTGGTGAATGCCTAACTCCCAGGGGCAGAGCCACGTCCATGTTCTTTTTGTATGTCAGTATGTCACTTAGAGAGCGCAATTCTTAATCGATCCTCTTGAAAACTTTTTTTTATACTTACTCCTTATGCCCTAAGGCTGACCTCTATTAATTTTGGTGCATGCCCGACCCCCTGGGACAGAGCCACGCCCAATGTTTGTATGTCTTGTCTTTCACCTACAGGCCGCAATTCTTAACAGATCCTTTTGAAACTTTGCATACCTATTCCTTATACCCTAAGGATGACCCCTATTGTTGGTGATTGCCCACCCCCCAGGGGCAGAGCCGTACCCATTTTCTCTTTGTGTCTCTGCAATTCTGAACGTATCATCTTGGAACTTTGCATATTTATTGCGTATACCGTAAAGACAGCAATTATTTATTTTGGTGCAAGCCCCGACCCCCTGGGGCAGTGTCACATCCACTTTTTATACGCCCACATTGAAATGTGGTCGTATATTGTCGTCGCCCCCGTTCGTCCGTCCGTCCGTCCGTCGGTCCGGCGTCCACAATTGCTTGTGGACGCTCTAGAGGCTAAAGTTAATATCCGATTGACTTTAAATTTATATACAGTGTTTAAGGCCATGAGACGAAGAAGCCTATTGATTTTCAGCGATTTCCGATAAGTACAGCTAGAGTTATGGCCCTTGATCACTTCAAAAAATCTTGTGGACGCTCTAGAGGCTAAAGTTAATATCCGATTGACTTTAAATTTATACACAGTGTTTAAGGTCATAAGGCGAAGAAGCCTATTGATTTTCAGCGATTTCCGATAATAACTGCCAGAGTTATGGCCCTTGATCACTTCGAAAAATCTTGTGGACGCTCTAGAGGTTAAAGTTAATATCCGATTGACTTTAAATTTATACACAGCGTTTAAGGTCATGAGACGAAGAATCCTATTGATTTTCAGCGAATTCCGATAATTTTTGCAAAAAATCTTGAGGACGCTCTAGAGGCTAAAGTTAATATCCGATTGATTTTAAATTTATACACAGTGTTTAAGGTCTTGAGACGAACAAGTATATTGATTTTCAATGAATCTTTATGACTTGAACAGCTAAATCCACGATGTTAAAAGTTTCGTATACTAAACGTTAGCATGGGGCAGAACTTTATAAAAACCGAACAAATTCTAATGGTTTTCTGATAATTACTTAATGAGTTGTTACTCTTAATCAGATTTTAATGTATTATAAATGTTTCATTACAGAAAGAGTAAAAATATGCGACAACTCTTGTTGCCTGCCCGGACGATATAGCTGCTGTGGGCGTATGTTTCGTTGCCTGGCAACCTATCTTTTGTTAATATTTTGTCTGTAAATTTGGCAAATCCAACCCAACGCCTAGCCTTCTTTGCCTCTTGTCATATTACAGCCATTTCATTCTCTTCATTTTAAAAGTTTCTTCATTTTAAAAAGTACCATATCAATCAAAGCACGATGCACTCGTTTATGTTTCCCACCAAGATTACTTTGGCTTTGTAATAATCAGGCTGTGTGCTATTGTATTACTATATCATCGAGATGGACGAATCCGTATTAATCACCTGTAAGTAGTTCTACCTGCCTGAAGCCAATCAAATATTTAGTTTGGTCACAATCATTTGTTTGATATTCAGTGTGATGAGGAAAAGGAGAGAATGGTAAAATATATAAAAGAATTACAGGAGCTAGAACAAAACAAAAGCGATGTTCCAGAATCAAGCGTTCCTTATGTAGACGGGGCAGATGAAGAATATGATGACTGGGTAAAAGTATATCCTTTTATATAATACATGATAAATATACTTATATTTCGACATCATGGAACATATTCAATAGTCATTAAACATAATATCGCAACTCTATACCATAGTTATTCACATTAATTTTGTCTTAGCAATAATTTCTCATTCATGGACTGTATCCCATATTCGATATCAATAATACGACCTTCATTTTGGAGAAATGTTTTGCAAGACTTGTATTTGGAAATTTGTTGTTCTAGATTTGTTTTTCGTGGTATGTCTCTGATGAAATGTAAATGTAGGCTATTTTTTGATTTTCGAAATTAAATTTTATCTTTATATTAAACTAGAATTAAACATACATTATGCAAGAGCTAAATCTGCCTTTCTTTCTTTAGGCCTAAAATGGTATCTAAATTATTAATTAGACATTAATTAACTTATCCAGTCCATAATCAACTCTCGATGTCATCGCTAGTGTGTGATGTTTATTGGATTATGTTCTGATTTGTTGTCGACTTCAAATCATGTTTTTAATAATGAAATGGATAATCGAGACTATGTTTTTTATCGCACCGACTTTAGTAATCATGATCGAGGCTAGGCCGAAAATTCAATCGCTAAATTCTCGGTTCAGACTGAATCAATTTGACTGAAATTTTTAGCAGATTTCCTTTATATTCTCTAGTCCTTAACTATTATAGTGAGAACTGTCAGCTTCTTATCTAATCTCCCATAATGTATCTTTAAATTAAACAAAAATACCATTTACAAATCCGATATGACAAATATTGATTTTAAGATACAAATATTAATTTTAGTGTACAAATGTGACAACAAATAAAGATATAAGAATAAAGAACTATGAATTAAGAACTAAGAATAAAGAACATTGAATAAAGAGCTGTTTGGTGCTCCATACATATTAATGTAATATGAGTGTACATAAACTGATGTGGGTTCATTTTTTAAAAGTTTTATCATAATTTATTGTAAGTTGTGTTCGTCGAAATACTTGAGCAGTCCACGTTGAATGACGGTCGCTCGAGACTGGTTAGTTCATTTCACGTCATCGGAAACACGGTTTTACATTTCACTTCGACACTGACATTTAAAGGAGCTAAGTCGCTAATATTTGGCAACTAGAAATTGACACAAATGGGTTGCAACGCATACAATAATGTAATATGAATGTATATATATATTGATTTACATTTAATCGCTTCTGTTTTTACTGTAATTTCTAATCAGTTGGGTTCGAAGAAATACGCCAGTATTCTCAATCGAATTTCAATCTCTAGCGTCTGGTTATTCCAGTCTACGCCGTTAGTATTTATTGGGCATGCTCTCAAGATAAGAATATAACGTCACCGTTTGGCATGACTTGTGGAATATGCCTAGCCCCCTTTTTTAAGTCCCTTATTACAAATAGGGCTGAAACGCATTATGGTACACGATTCGTGTACCAATTGTAAAATGTTTATTTTGTCTTAAATATTGGATATCAGAAGGCCATCTTTTCCCGATAAGATCACAACATCAATGTTGATTTAAACCGACAAAGAAATCGTGTTTTCAATGTCGAAGATTTTGAATGATATTGAGTTAGAGACTTAGCTACTTTAAATTTGGATATAACAATTTCTCGTAAGATTTAACAACATCACTATTGATTGAAATGGGCCAATAATTCGTGTTTGGGATGTCCAAGAATAATATTTAATTAAAGCTTGACGCCTTTTAAATATCACGTTCATGAAGCGTATTTTATATAAATATCGTATCCATTAAGCAGACTGCCACTACCTATCTGAATCAAAAATATGTCCAAAATGCAATTCTTCGGATGATGATAACTACCACTTTTTCTTCTCTTGTCCACTTATTCATCTATCAGAATCGAAATATTAAATTCATTAAAGATATTCACAGAAACTATTTATCTAGATCTAATTTTGAATGACTCCACAGGCCTTCGAACACCTCTAATATTTTGATTTTTGAAGCAGTCCATAATTTTATAAAAAGTAGCAAAAGATTTTGATTCGCTTTTACATATTGTTGTATAATATCAAATAATTGCATCAACTATATTTCGCATATATCATTTCCACATGAAACTGTATATGTTCGGTTTTACAATTTATTATATTTAATCTTATTTTTATGTATATGTTTATAATAAAATTTATCGTTTATTATTTTCTTTATCCCTGGGAAAGAACTTATATAGGCTTTGTCTGTTGTTCAATCCTTTTCAAATGAATAAAATATTGTTTAAACTAAGCAGACCATTTTCGGGCAGTGCGCCTTATTCATTAAAGGATACATCTCATATAAATTGCAGTAAATAAAATTTGTCTGCGAAATACTCTTAAATCCCATTTTTCTAGCCCCAAAAAGTTATAGCTCTGTGATGCATTTTTATAAAACTACAAACGTCGAGGAGAGGGGTGATACGGGCCATGCATGTTCATCGATTCTTTTTCACCTGAATACATTTATGAAAAGTATCATGCTATTTTTGTCCAATAGTTTGATGCTAAAGATTTAGTTCCACGGTTAAATGGAGAAATAGAACAACTTATTGACCAGACAGAACAAATTATTATACATGGTAAATTTGATAAGAAAGCAGCTGAAGAATTTGATAACATGCTAATGAATCATTTGGGAGGAAAACATGACCATGAAATAGAAAAGATTTTGAACCGAATACTACAAGGATTTGGCATGATACTTCAGGTACGCTTATACAAAGTAATTATATTCTCCAGATCAATGGGGTATGGGCCACGCTGGCTAAGTGAGTAAGACGCTGGTTCTCTAGTCTGGTTGTCGCGGGTTCGCTCCCGGTGTTGGCTGAGAAAGTTCATCGTGATTGTCCTGCGTGGTTTCCCCTTGTCAGTGGAGCAGGACGAAGGGCCTGACAAGGACAGGTGTGTAGTCGTCCCATGTACACATTGTCGTGCACATAAAAGACCCTTGGCAGTTGGAATTTGATATTAGAGTTGGTCGTAGCGCCGCTGTCCGTCGGTCCGTTAATCTGTTATTGTTTTCATGGTAGGAGCAGTCAAGCTCGGGTATTATCGAATCAATTCAAAAGGATTAAAATTATAGCCCGCTTTACAGAAATATGCCCTCTTCATTATCCCAGTCGTAGCAGAACAGTAGGGCGTTGAACCCCATTTCATTTTATTTCACAGACATGTGGTTTACAACTTAAAGTGAAACTTGACAAAAAGCAACTTTATATATAATTTACTACATTTACCATAATCTACATGAAATAGACAAAAAATATTAAAAACAAATCTTAAACCCACAAAATGTGAAATATCGTAGGCGTATTCAATTGCACTTTTTAATGCAAGATAAGTGAATAATATTTAAGACTCACAAACTTATCTCATATAGTTTGATCATTAACATAGTTAACAGTTAACTAGATGAAGAATAATAATAATGCTACATTCTTTAACACCATAACACTGATTGATTGGGTGCGGGATTAAATCGGTGTGAAGCATTGTGGTCATTGGAGATCGGATCCTATCGATATTCCGTTCGAGAGTTATACACCTTTTCCGAAAACCTTGTGAACGCGATAGAGGCTATAATTTTTAACGAATCTTTTTCAAATGTTGGGTAGTGACGGGTCATGGCGAGGGCAACAGAGGCAATTGCCTAGGCGATATTTTGTGAAAGAAATAAAGAAGATCCATTTCCCAAAAATTGCGAAACAAAGTAGCCCATTTTCGGTAAGTTTTGAAAATATTTGGTAGGGAGACACAAGGGGCATCGGATGTACTCCACAAACCACCATATCAGGTCAAAATTTCAAACGTTTTCTCGGGTTTCCCCCCCCCCCCCCCCGTGTCCTCTTGTCACCAGGGCCCGGTGACCTCATGATCCGTCACTGATAAAAAGTAAAGCAGTGGACGAACCATATCATAATTGAGCGTTCCGCAAGCTACCGTTCTACAGTTACCCATGTATGCTTTAACGAGACACATTTGATCTAGCAAATCTAGGAGCCCTAATAATAAGCTGTTACTTGGTTAGCTCATACCTAAATCGGCACTGGCAGCTATAATTGATATATAGGAAATATCTGCGCTATCAATGTATATTTGTTTGTTTTCTTTTACAGAGTTCTCAAAGTTTGGCTACAATTATTGGCTGCTTACGAAATCTGTTTCATAGTATGTTTCCAGTGCTTGATAATATCAAGGTTTATTTTACATGCAAACATTTAAATGAAATCGTCTACATTCAAAATAAAAAAATAGTCTGTCATATTTTATTGCTATATTGTAATTGAATGTACATTTTAAATTTGGTCAAAACTCGAAATTTGTTAATATATTATTTCCAAAAAGATATAATTTTTCTTCAGTGGCGATTACCCTAAAGGCTTGTTATTGTATTTACTCGGAAGATAATGAATTGAAAGTGAACACATCTTTTCTGTGCATGTTCTATGTTGTGGCCAATGCATTATTCAGCGCCCAAAAAGGCATAGAAAAGAATGTAAGTAAAATGCAAAACAACAAAACAATTTTTAATTCAGGGGCTTAGTTATCTTTAAAATAAGGTCTAACGGGTGACTTCTAAGCCTATCAGTAATAACTATCTATACAGACAAGAGATAAGGTTTTTTTTATGGATGAATCGAATTAAAATATCTTATCTTATAATGTTTCTTTATACCAACATAGCTGTGAACAACAAATCTGGAACCGATCAAAGAAAACGTTCCAAATTACACCCCATATAATCGTTTAACTGAGGACATGGGGGGTTGGATGGCCGAATGGTTAGCGTGTGCGCGTTATATCATAAGGTCTGCCATTGAGTCAACTGGCGTTGTTTCGATTCCCCGGTTGTACGTGACAGGAAGTAGGGTCGTCTGTCCAACCTCGTAGGTTTTCTCCGGGTTCTCTGGTTTTCTCCCACTATTGAAATAAATTGAACCATATGTTAGTCCCAAAATGACCTAGTTTGTGTCGAGTGTACTTTAAACCCCATTGCTCTCCCTCTCTCAACTGAGGACACCCTATAAATCCATTCAGTCATGGGCAGATCAATCATGCTGATAAACCATGATCTTAAGTAAACTCTACTGAGGTACTGTCTTGTAGGCGGATTGTATCGGATTGTCAACTTAAGTAGAATACACACCTCTCTAGTAGTTTTAACATGTAAGTGAAACTACTGACCAGGCGTTAATTCAACAAGTTACATGGATCGAGATTTTTAGTACGGAAGTGCCCGTACTGACAAGGAAGCGTCTTGGTACTGATAATACCAGGATCGACCGGATCAACCTGATTATTGATCCAATATGTCACTTCATAAAATGATTCAACCACAGGTAGTTTAGCCCTAGCTTGAGCATGGAGATGTCCAATATAAAATAATACTATATTACTACCGTGTATCGCGCTTTAGATTAACAAAAAAAGATGTTATTCTAGGCCTGCGTTTATCATTTTAAAAGAATAAAATTTATATATCAAATGGTATTTTTCAGTATAAATATCATGCTTATCACAATGCAACAAATGACACATTCGGGCGACGTATTAGCAGTGGGCTTATGTTTCGTTGTCTGGCAACCAATGTTTATATATAAGTATTTAGCTATCTATACTTTCAGGTTTTTATAAAGTTTTGTAGAGAGGTAACAGATCTGGCTAAATCGAATCTCAAAGGGGATGAAGATTTCAATCCAGCATCGTTCTTTATATGTAACGAAATCAGAAATTTCCTAACAATTCTTCCTCCAGATACTAATGAGCTGATCCGTTCGAGGGTAGTTCGTGAGCTTAGTCTCGTTCTTGCTCACAGTTGCCGTGTAAGTAAAGGTTTTAAATCGTTTCCTTGATGAAATTAATACTGAAGGATATTTTGCAATACAACAAGTCATTCATGGTATAAATGGGAGTTCAACACCTACGTGTTATTTATCTTTCAGGATCGCCCAAACAATGTTATAGTACTATGCAGAGACGGTAAGTGGTACATTTTGAATAGTAAACATTTTCATCAAAAAATATTTCGCGGTTATTTGTATGGCGATTTGAGAAAGGTCCCATTGGCTAGGGTTTTTAATAGCAACACAGCAACTTCAACACAAGATTTACAAAATTATAAAGTTAATTATCAGATTGACTTAAAATTTATACACAGTGTTTAAGATTATGAGACAACGCGGCCGACTCTTGTTACATTGAAAAATCTTGTGGACGCGCTAAAGGCCAATATGTTAGCATGGGACAGAACTAGAAGCCAAACAAATCCTACTGATAATTAATTAATGGGTTGTTACGTACCAAAGAAATAACTCTTGTGGACTGATCGAAAGTCTTCCCTACTGTGGGCGTATGTTTCCTTGCCTGGCAACCTATAACTTGTGAGCACAATAGTGGCTATATTCATTAATGTGTTCTTTTTAAATTTGGTGCGAAGGATTGTGGACATTTGAGGATGAACTCGACGGATATTCAGCATTCTACGACTTTCCATTCCAGAGTAATTATAGTACTTTTATACCTTTGCGATCAGAGACTAGAATGTTCTGTAGTCACAGATATAGGGGGGTTCTCCAAACTTGTATATTTAAACAATATCAAAACCAATATTTATTACAGTGATTGGTTTAACACCTGTAGATGATACACTGAGAGATGTTGATATTGAAATGAAAGTACAGGCTTTAGAATTACAAGCTAACGCATTTAAGATAAAAAATAAATTGGATCAAGCGATAAAAAAAGCTACAGAAGCTAAAGATCTTACCAAGGTAAACATACAGTTTAACATATCTAATTACTCGTTCTGAAGACTGTTGACATTATTTGTTTTTGTTTACGAACATTTTGTCTGTAATGTTTACGAACATTCCCACGTCAGTTGCGATCCTAAATGCAGAACCATTGATTGGAAGACATATCCAAACTACACGGGAAATATATTTGTTGGGCATGACATAATATCTAACTAGCAAACAAAACAGTACCCAAAACTATGATTTGTTAATTTACCATTAGGCGTCCCACGTGCGTGTGAGATTACATGCCGTTTTACCCGGTGGTAGTTTATATCTATAACGCTTGGCAGTTATTTTACCCCCAAGTTACAATCAGTATAATGTAAAGTGTTTACAGCGACACTGGCTTCAAGGTCATACTGCTTATACGGGATCGTTTTATGCTTACTTCAAGAATAATAATAATATTTACAGGATCTGGAAGCCAGGGAAAGACTTAAAAATTTAATCGCGGAAATTAAGTCAGAGTTGGCAAAAGAACAAGATCTAAGAAATAAACATAATACTGAAGAATTACAGAAGTTACAACAGGTACAGAAATATCAAACAACACCTTTGTTGATCTCAGATACAAAAATATAGTGTATATTATATAGGTTTTAATATACCAGTATATAATGATAGGATTTATCCATTATACGATTTCTGGTGATTATCAGATTCGCGATAGATTTGCTTTAACACGTTACTGAATTACAAACCTTGTCTCCACCGGCAGGTTTACAACACCGTAGATTTTACACAGGCTCTTATCCTGTAGCTTAATATCCCACACAGGTCTCATTAAAGTTCTCTCAAATACTATATCCATAGAAAACGACAGGTTACTACAAAAACATGTAAATCGTTGATTGTGGTATATGCTATTGGAAAAGCAATTTATGATCAATATCGATGTTTCATAGACGGTTTAATCACAGCAAAACTATTGTGAATTGCAAACATTGTTTCTCATACCTTAGTGTTTTAGACAGTTTCTTCTTATATTAATATAGGAAAGTGGAGCTACAAGATTGACAAAGAAGACTGATACCAGGAAAAGAAAACGGAGAAGATGTATTATTATTTTCGTCTTTTTCTTATAACATTAAAAATCGGACACATTTATGCCTTCCTTGTATAATCAGTTAATTGGTAATCACAATATTTTGAACATTTGTGTTTTACGCCAACCTTCATTATATCTTGGAAGATAATTCTGACAAAAAAGTCAACATTCCCAAGAAATACCTGTGTGTTGGACTTATCGCATAATTGTTTTTTGATATATTTGTCAGATAAAAAACCAGAACCAAAACCCATTGATGAAATAAAGAAATCCAAACATAGAGATGTTTCACCTATTCCTAAATATTTACGTACAACAATCTCAGGTATGTATAAAATTCTTTATCTAGCAATTAACTTATGACAAGGTGGGTTAGAGTATTAAACATTATTCTTTCACGGGTTTTTGAATTCTGGTATCAATTTAATCAAAGGCAGATAACGCCCTAGCTATTACGTATGACCCATGCATCTTTTCTTACTACATAGTTTAGTAGCCCTGTGATCGTCTAGTATTTTCATTTGTCGTATTTGCTTCTCCTTCACGTTGTGTATTCTCTACTTCTTATCTATCTCAGGTTGTTAAGACGTTTGTCTTCTCAGGTTGTTAAGACGTTTGTCTTCTCAGATTGTTAAGACGTTTGTCTTACCAGGAATAACAATACAACAGTTCGTTTTTACATTTTATATATCAAAGCTGGATACATAGATACAAGCGTAGTAAATTACAGTAAAGTCATTCTTTCAAACCCCATCCAGCCAGACTCGCTGGGGCGAGTCTGCTGATAGAAATTGCTACATCTTTTCCCTTCTGGAATCAAGTTGCTGTCTGACAATTGCTCAAAGATATGATAGTCTTGTAGCTTTGGGTTTTGACGTTCAATTATCTAATTGGTCAACTATGACGTAAATAATTATAGAGATTGGTTAATTTTCCTAATGACGCCGAAACCTACCCTTAGAATTCAATGTTTACCACATTATGACTCTTTTTTTAATATAACAATCGGTCACTCATTCGCTCATTTTGATTTAAGTGCATATTAGACAATATGACTTCTATACAATGTGTAAATCTAATAATTAGCCAAAGATAAATAATATAATACTGCTAACTAAAAGAGCAAAAATTCTAGCAATATTGCTACATGTATACGTATATTGTCGTCGCCCCTGTCCATCGGCCCACAATTTGTTTGTGGACACTATACAGGTCACAATTTTTATCCAATTTTGACGAAACTTGAAATATAGGTTTACCTCCAAACGATCTCGATTGCTGTTGATATTGGCATGTATCGAACCGTAATTTCCTTAACTTGTGGTTCCTCTAGAAGTCAACATTTGTAACCGATTGTACGATAAATCGCGTTTTTTTAGCTTGTTCTCTATCCATCTCTTGAAATGGCCAAGTGACATAAGCTATAGGTTAACGATCACCAGCACTGCATCACAGTTCCGATAGTTTTGTATTGTAATTTGCTTTCTATTGATGGTAAGTAATAGGTTGTTTTGTCTTTTTTAGATATTCGTGGATCGTCCGATGATGATTCCGACGTGGATTCGTGTGATAGCTTTCCTCTGTCGGTATCTACAACAACTTCCAGCATTGATCATGAATCTGACGATAGTGCTTACACCTTTTTGTATAGTCAAGATAAACACGAAGATGAAGCGACGGAAATTAAAGGTTCGGAGATTCCACCGGAAACAACTTGGTTTGAAGAAAGTGAAGCTGTCTACAGTGGTAAAAAAGATAAATTGTCGGTTTGCCTTCAGTATGATATTGACGTTAAAGATGACATGAAAGGTAATCTTCCATCATGGGAACCCTTTTACCCAGAATTGAAGTCTTTAAGAGATATAGATGAATGTATTAAAACACAACCGAATAAATACAAGAAGTGTATTATACATATTGAATCAGCACAAATAGCTGTCGCTCGCCCAGTGGGTTCACCAACAAGCAGTGAAATAGATATTCGTGGACGATCGAAAATAGGACAAACTTTTCACGAGGATGTTGTTTGTGTTGAAATCATAGACGACAATTCCCAAACAGATCCCAATAGAAATCGTGTTTATGGTAAAGTTGTGGGTATATTTGATAGAAATCGACACAGGAACGTAAAGAATCCGGTATTTGTGTGCACCGTTGACGACCATGAAGCTCATCTTATGCGACCTATCTGCAAAACCATTCCAAAAATAAGTACTTTTCACAATATGGTTGCAAAGAATTCCCCAAAGATGAAAAACTGGCGTATAGAAATGTATCAAATTGATAATCACAAAGTAAAATTCAAAAAGTATTTTAGACTTTCGCCAGACAAACGAAGTGAATATCTCTTTGTTGTAGCTTATATTACCTGGGATTCAAAATTTGCCTACCCTAAAGGTGTAGTATTAGATGTTATAACAAGTAGTCAAAGTTATGAAACATGCCTTAAGGTTCTTGACATGCAGTATAATATCGATCCTGTATATCCTCAGAATGTTGTAGAAGAAACTAAAAAACTAACAAAAGGCACCATCACTTCTCGGAAGGGTATTGAGCAGGTTATCACGATAGACCCCAAGGGTTCCAAAGACCTGGATGATGCTCTAAATATCGAATGTATTTCTAATAATGAGTTCGTCGTTGGCATTCATATCGCAGACGTTGCTAGTTGGGTTAAAAAGGGTTATTATATCGACCTAGAAGCGAGAAGGCGAGCTGTTAGTTTCTATCCAACGAAATGGAGGACAATTCATATGATTCCTGAACCACTGAGTCAAAATCAATGTAGCCTCATTGAAGGTGAGAACAGACAAGCCATATCAGTTTATTTTCGATTAAATGCTGAAGGCGAAGAACTTGATGACCCCTGGATTCAGAAATCGGTCGTTAATTCCGTAAAACAGTTATCCTATCAAGAAGCCCAAGAAATTATAGAAGGAAAGTGGCAGGGAGATGGTGAGAAAACAGAATTCGTGAAAAATCAAGTTATTAATTTGTATAAATTATCAAAGTCACTAAGAAAAGTGCGACTATGTGATAAGATGCTACACGTGCCGTACAGTGACGGAGATACAGGTGAAGACTGTGTTGAAGCTCACTATTTAGTAGAGGAATTAATGATCATGGCCAATTTCTTTGTTGCTAAACTGTTAATCAGTAAATTCCCCAGTGGTATACCAGTGCGTTATCAGGAAAACCCCGACAATGTATCATTAATTGAATGGTTCAACCAGTATCAAACCATTGGAAATGTGATTTTGAATCTCCAAGGCAATTCATGTGAAAGTGTTGCTGGACAGCACACTTTGTCACTGGGGACAGCTCGAGGACTCGACGGTAACTACGTTACTATTCAAAAAAATGTGTGGAAACAAATCATAAATGCTATTCAAAACAAAGACTTTGAGAAGGCAAGGAGGTTTTTATGCATGGATGAACTGCATCCAGGACATTTCGTTGCTCGGAAGAAGTGGGAGAATATAATGGAAACAGCACAATACACTTGTAGTGCCGAAGAAGGTATAAACTTGAATCATTTCTCACTGCAGAAGAAGCCATATACCCATTTTACTTCTCCCATCCGCCGTTATGTGGATTTAGTTGTCCATAGATTTATTCATGCCTATCTTGATGGAACCAGTGCGCCATACACAAACGGTGAGATACAAGAACTTTGCATCCATCTGAATGAACGGACAAAAATGCAAAAACGGCACCAAAAAGAAACATTAAAGATGGATTTAGCAATGGATCTAGGACGGCACCCTGTTCCCTTTAATGGTTACATCAGCCATACCGATGACGATGGTTTACAACTTCAGATACCTAAATGGAAATTCTTACCGTTATCAAATCAAGAAGTCCCATTTCATTTATTAGATGTTTGTGAAAAGCCCGAAGTTAAGCAAGCTCAGTATATAAATGGGGACATTACAACAACTACATGGAAAAAGAGAAGTTACCACACTCTTGGAACTCAAGTCAGTGTTCGCCCTAAACTGAAGCCTTACGAAAAGCTAGAGTTAGATCCCAACCAGAATTGTGTGTATCTGAAGATTTCAACCTGGGCAAAGCTCATTTCTGATGTTGTTGGTTCGTTGAATGTCGAAATAGGGCAACAGAATCGTAAAAGGCACCGAAAAGATGCCATGGGAATAGTTGATTCAATGGGATTAGATGGACAAAGACCACCAGTTCGATTTGGAACTGCCGATAAGGTGAGCTGTGAAGGAGGAAACAACACTACATTACTTAATTTATGCAGGTTAGTTTGTTTTGTGGTAGTTTTTTTTTACCTAGGTGAACAATTCAAATTAGCAATTCCCTCCCAGTTAATACATGCATTTTAAACAATTGAAATCAAATTTTAATTTGATTAAAATATATATTTCCAAAATGTTACCCGACCATTTGCAAACATAATCAGATATTAATTTTAGATCTTATTTTCGATTAATAAGACTATTAAGGGTAGGCTTTATTGACTGATGTTGCTATTTTATTTTGAAATGTGACCATATGTATGTCCGTATAAAGATACGTGTGCAACTAATTAACGTGCGTCATCTATTCTATTTATTTTGGAATTAAGCCTGGTAACATCAGCTTCACCATGTTGCTTGTTCTTCCAGATTCAGTTACACTTTTGCACCTGGAAGATTGATTTCAGCAGAGATGTCTTCTGTGATCGAGAAAGGTATACCAACACCAAAAATATCACTACTTCATTTAACAAAGAACTTGAGCTTCTGTCTGACACATAAAGAAAATCCTGTAGCATGTTTAGCCAGATTTGCCCATCAGTCAACATCAGAAGCAGCATGGCAAAGCGTGCAAGATTATATTGAAGCTTGGCATGCAGTTTTAGAAATGGAAGCTGCTGTGACCAGTGCAAACAGTGGAGACGAGACGATATTTCTCGAAGATGTCACAATAGACTTTTTAGGGTTACGAAAGGGATGTTTCATGTTAGGATTAAAATTTTGTTTAGATAGGAATATATTTGGTTTAGATTTTGCAGCACCAAGAAAAGATACTGTGACGCCTATATCTGATTTTATGTGCATTCGCTATGCTCCTGAAAGAGAAGGTGATAGAAGGTTTACATGGGTTGCTCACGGGGTAATGGAATCTATAGCACGTGATGATGATATGCTTTGTATGCAGTTTAGTTTACACGAAAAGGCATCCACATTAATACCAAGAAATATGATGGATGGAGCTGCCAAACAGGGTTTTACTATTGAAATTTTACCAAGATCTAAAACTGACAGGTGAATCAATATTTTTCGCATTAATGTCCTTTACTGGTGTTTAATGCTAATTGGCACAAATACACGTAGCTGTGTTAAAACTTCCTTGAATATTAGAAGTTGTGTCACCTTCATGTGTGATATCCTCCGCAAACTAAAGCAATAATTTGGACTAGAAATTTTAGATTGAAACATTCTCAGTCGAGGATGAGTTCTTCGGCATACACATTTGAACCTGTAAAGGTCTGTTGATATATTTGTACCCCCACCCCCACCTCAGCACCATTCTATTTAAAAAATGGAATTGCTATGGTTGAATCAGAGAAGGGGCATTCTATAGTCCCACAAGTAGTTTGGGCGTGTATAATCGGTGGACATGATAAACGGTACAGTGTTTGACGGAATTTGTTTCAAATTTGGCGTGAATGATTGTGGTGAACCCTATGGGTATTTAGCACTCCGCGACTTGCCGTTCCGGGGTTAATCCCCACTTCCCCTTTGCTGAAAACCTTGTGAACGCGATAGAGGCTGCAGATTTTAGCGGCTTCATTGCAAATCCGGTGTGAAGCATTGGGGACATGATAGGATTAACACTGTCAATATTAAGCTTTCTGAAACTTTTCATTCCGGAGTTACTCCCCCGAAAGCCTTGGGAACGCGATGGAGGCTGCAGTTTTGAACGCATTGTTTTTTTTTAAAATTTGGTGTGAAGCATTTGGGTCAGGAGAGGATTAACTCTATCAATATTAAGCTTTATGCCACTTTTCATTCCGGAGTTATCCCCCTTTGTCGAAAACCTTGTGACCGCGATGAAAGCTACCGTTTTTAGCGAATTTTTTTATCAAATTTAGTGTGAGCTAGTGGGGTCATGAGGATATTTAGCATCCCGCGACATTCCGTTCCGGGGTTACCTCCCTTCTGTTGGCAACCTTGTAAACACCATGTAGGCTAGTTTTGAACGGAGTTTTCAAGTTATGTGTGAAGCATTGGGGTCCTTGTATTGGATTTGTTTTAAATCTGGCACTGGGCGTTGTGGAGAGGACGAACCCTATCGACATTCAGCGTTGTGTGCTGTGACTATTTGTTTCAGAGTTACCCCCACCCAGCCCCGCCCCACCCCACCCCACCCCTACCTTTGCCGAAAACCTTGCAACCGCAATAGTTGCAACCGATTTTTTTCAAGCGTCGAAACACGAGAGAGATCAGATGTTCCTTTCGAATAAGCGGCTCCCGACACATAGCTGCTTTGTGGGCATGTTTCAACTCTTTGCCAATATCTAAAAACATCCTTTAATGTTGTATGTAATATAACAGTTAACAACTGTTAGCTTATATTGTTTTGTAATTTATCATATTTACAGGCGATTAAAGAATGCCCTGCAACTTAAAAAGTTAAACGATGCGCCTTTGGCTAAAGCTATTGCTTTAAATCGTCCTATACCAAAACTAGGTTTGTTATATCTTATTAGCACCCCCTCCCTTAACCCCTTGGATTCCGGGTTTTCTCCAGGCACCCCGGTTTCTCCGAATTTTATAGACCCTTTCACGCAAGCAAATTATTGAAATGATGAACCATATGTTAGTCCCGAAATCATCTAGCTAGTGTATGGAAACACCTACTTTTTCACACCGCCAATATGCATTACGAAATTATTGAATGAAAAATCTATACAATAGCTTTAAACAATCTACGATACATTTGCAAGGGTCAGTTAAATCATTAGACTTAAAAACCCAATCCTACGTTAGCCTAATAAGGCTGATGATGAAATACAAGATTTATGGATTATTTCGTATTTGAAAGTGGTTGTGGACCAACCCTCAGCCGAACACCGTGCTGAATCATCAAATAGATTAACGTTTATTTTTACCTTTTCGCTAACAACCGATATTCAATGAAGCGATCATAGTGCCATGGAATAGGTGCGCATGTCAAACTCCATTGGTTATATTTCGGTTCTTAGGAGGAGTTAAAATAGTTATTATCGCCATATAATTATGCCATTAGCTATTAGACTCGATCATGTATTGTTTCTTCTCTTCATATTTTATTGCTGTAGATGGCGATCATTATCACCTAGGCATTATGGCGGAGCGTGATATTTCAGAAGATCTACTAAAGAGAAACAAATTACCAGGAAATAATTTAGGTCAGCTCGAGGCCATTGACAAAGCTTTGACGTCATCGTTTACTTTGATACAAGGTCCCCCAGGTAAATATTTATGAAACAATTTTACAGTGGTGGTATACTTTACACTTGACCGATGAACAGCATGCCCAACGAAATGAAAAGGGGTTTATCCAGGGGCGGATCCAGGAATATTTGCAGGGGGGGGGGGGGGGCATGTTCCTAAGACAATGTATCTCCCCCCCCCCCCCCGCATAGTCTCTATCGTCATAGTCTCTACATACACATTGAGCTTTTTAAACAGAGAAATTCAACACCTCGTTTGACGTCAATTTTTATTATGAATTAATACAATGACATTGTGATTCAATTTCATGTATGCAAAGCATTAATTGTTATATCACATAATGTCTATATCATTATCTCGTGCTTTGAGTGCCCATGCTGTCCCTCCTGTCCCAAATCTTACGATAAAGGATAAAGCACACGGCCGAGAAACCTTTCTCATAAAAAGTGTTGATTTACCCCCCCCCCCCCCTCTGGATCCGCTCCTGTTTATCGTGCTACTATTCTGCTCCGACTGGGTTAATGAAGACGGGCATACGCCATGCAGTGTGCTATGAGGGTAATGGACAGCGGCGCTACGGCCTATTCTTATTTCAATGTTTCTTTTACGTGCACGCCACTGTCCCATCCGAACGACTATACATTGCTCCTTGTCAGGCCCTTCGTCCGTAACCTTCATTAAACGGGCAATCACACAATATTATTTAATAATATGATGAAATATTGATATCTCACCGACCCAATTAATGCACGTGGGATATTATGAACAATTACAGGACTTACAAGAGTGTCGTATATTTCCTATTCTCCAAAATAAAAGCTTCAATGCCCAATTGACTGGTGAACAGCTTATCAAAACAAAAGCTACACAGACACCTTAAGCGAATGTGTTTATGATACCAATTCACATTCGTGGTGTACAATGTTACCATTATATACTAGTATGCTCCCTGCATTCGGGTGTCCGAGAACAAGCTATTGATTTACTCAAGCAGCAATTTCAAGATATTGGTATTTTATTAAATGGTCAGATTGTCCTCTCAATTGATTAAAATCAGTTGATCTTTAACAATGTTCATAACTTTTTAAATTGTCAAAACGTTTCTAACATCAAAATCGTCAGGTTTAGGTAGGTCTTATATGGATGGTCGGGGGTGTGCGTATAAAAAAAAACAAATATAAAGTAACGGAACGGACAACTGTATATATGTATAAATGTTTAGTTTATATTTAAATCTCAAATAATTTTATATTTTGCATTTTTCTATGTCCTTGCTGTATATATGTTCTGTATCTACATAAATTAAACTTATTTTTGTAAATTCTGGAGAGGAGTCAGCATAGGCCCAGCCTGTTCTCCAATCCATTTTCAAATGAAATAAAATATTGTTTACAAAAAAAAAAATTAAAAAAAATGTTGAACCTGCATACTTCATCATTCTGAAAAGAACAATGTCCGCCGAACCAGAATCTGGAAAGGCGTGAGATGTTTTAAAGTCGATATGTTTTAATTACTGGTATATATAATGCACAATAAATCTATTGAAATTTGTATGCTCTCGCCCGTTAAGTTATATAGTACTAGTCCTCGGATCTACATTGTTAATGGATTCCCAGTGTGTTTATTGTATGCTTTCGTCCGTTAGGTTAAATAGTACTAGTCCTCGGATGTACGTTGTTAATGGATTCCCAGTGTGTTTATTGTATGCTTTCGTCCGTTAGGTTAAATAGTACTAGTCCTCGGATGTACGTTGTTAATGGATTCCCAGTGTGTTTATTGTATGCTTTCGTCCGTTAGGTTAAATAGTACAAGTCCTCGGATGTACATTGTTTATGGATTCCCAGTGTGTTTATTGTAATCCAAGGTTTGTTCTTTTAGGAACCGGTAAAACCTATACTGGAATTAAATTGGCATACCTGTTTGCCAAAATAAATAACATCAGGGAAATAGAAAAAACTGGAGAAAAATCAAAGGCTGATGAAGATGAAAAAAAGAGCCAGAAACATCAAGTTCTTTATTGTGGTCCATCAAATAAAGCAGTTGATGTAGTTGCTAGTAAGTGTACTGAGTGGTCATTATTTTTATTTTAGTTAGTTAGAAAATATAATACATTCGTGCAATCCATGATATGCATTAGGGAGTTCCGGAAATGAAAAAGATATTACAAACTGTATTGTTGGTCAGAATAAATATATAGAGCTGACCATCATACACAATCACTTTTATTAAAAACGATTTTTGCCATTTTAAATTTATATTGGTTTCCACTGATTTCGCGCCGCCATCTTTAGCTTTCCTAGACAATTAAACAATCATACTTTTCGTACAAGCTACGAAAAATCGTGGGTTTTTTTTAGCTTGGAATATATCACCGTGACACCATAATGACGGTCGAGGTCGAATTTCGTGCAAATCGGACCGAAACTGTCCGACAAAATGGCCGCTCCATGTACGCAAATAGTGTAAAAGTATGTAATACCAAGGTTGTAGACACCCAAGAGGTCATAATTTTTATCCGATTTTGACGAAACTTGAAATATAGGTTTATATCCTAAACATCGCGGTCCCTTTCGATATTGGCATGTATCGGAACATAACTTCATGGATTATGACCCCTTATTGTACGAAAACTCATGTTTGCAGCTTGTGGACACTAAAGGTCACAATTTTTATTCGATTTTGATAAAACTTGAAATGCATGTTTAGAACCCGAAGATCCCAGTTCCTTTCGATATTCAAGCATATCATACCGTAACTTCCTGAATTATTGTCCCTGATTTACGAAAAATCGCGTTTTTTGCCTAAGGTCCCTCTAGAGGTAATACCAGGTTGTGGGCCTCCTTGAGGTCACAATTTTTATCCGATTTAGATAAAACGTAAAATATTGTTATATCCCAACGATCTCGGACTGTAACTTCCTGCATTATGGCCCCTGACAGTACGGATTAGTGCCCCTGATTGTACGAAAAGTCGCCCCTTTTTCTAGCTTGTTCTCTATCCATGTCTTGCAATATGTGGGTGCATCTTGCATGACCAACCGCTTGTTATTCTCAGATGTGCTTAATTGCATAAGAACACATAACAATTACATAACATGGAATAGCATGTATGTTTCTTCTTTATAAAATAAATGTAAAGTATGATTTATTGTGGAACATCAGAATACAAATGTCTTTCTTATAATTGTTTGTGTTACAGTCATCAGGCTATGGTTATACCCTTACCGCGAGACCGCCAGACCTCTTTGCGTGTTCCTCTTATCAGAATAGTATTCATATTTTACTCTATAGAATATATCTAGATCTACCGATTGCGCGTCTGTTTGAAAGGAAAACAGATTTTAAACGAGTGAATCTCCTAGCAAGACTCATTGATATATAAAAGTTACTTGAGTAATACTTCTCCCTTCAAATTATATTGCAATGCTAATCGTTTGTCGTTTCTCATTTAAGGAAATTTAAAGAATAAACTTGGTGAAATTTGCCCGAAAATAATTAGAATATATGGATCAGTGATAAAGAATGAAGATTTCCCTATTCCGGGGCAATACATATCCAAATCAGCAGTAAATCGGGAGGGTCGGTGTCCTAAAGATATGTACGACATTTCACTTCACCATGTCATAAGGCAATCTGGTAAGCCATATGCAAAAAAAATCCGAAATTTCGACGAGGTATTTAGAGAAGAGAGACAAAGGCCAGATTCTCAAGTTATCTCTGCTAAAATTATCCGAAGTTACAACAAACTTGTAAGTGAAGCCGAGAGACATGAACTTCCAAATTATGACGTCATTCTGTGCACAGCTGCTATTGCCGGAAGTCAAAAGTATACCTCGGCAACAAATATCTTTCAGTGTATTATTGATGAGTGTGGTATGTGTACAGAACCAGAGAGTATGCTTCCTATTATAGAAACAAAAGCCAAACAAGTTGTTCTTATAGGAGATCACAAACAACTCCGTCCTATTGTATTATGTTCTGAAGCAGCTAAGTTGGGTTTGGAGAGATCTCTGTTTGAGAGGTATGCGGAAAGGGCTGTTTTTCTTAACAGACAGTATCGAATGGTATGTACTAGTATATATATTTATATGCCCCGTTTTGTTGTGGTTGTATTGTATAGAGGCGAATTTGCAGAGGAGAACAAACAAACATGTGAAGCATTGGCGCCGTGTTTACCTCACTCAAGTCTAACCTTATACATGCATATAGCTAATGAGAAGAAATCTTGTCCCGGAGCTTCTCTTATTATAAAGTTCTAATTTTGATTCCTCAGACCTCAAACCAAACGTGACGTAGTCTCCATTCCCGACCCCCACCCCCTTCGCCTCCCAAATTTCTGATCGCTGGTGCGGGGTATGGGACTTGGATATCTATTTGCACCTTCTCAACCTGGTGGGTTTACTCCGGTTTCCTCCCACAGTAAAGACCCATGTGCATGCCCTATATATACTAAAATTATCCTCGGTAGAAGCGGGCGTTAAACCGTATGATCGTCCATCTGTCCCCACATTATTTTGTATTTTATATGACTGTATGGATGCAGTTACTGGTATTTCTGTCTTTTGGTTCACAGCATCCAAGTATATGTAAATTTCCATCAACACAGTTTTATGGTGGCAAATTAGAGACGGCCGCCTCACTATCATGGAAAATTGACCGTCCATTGCGATTTTTGCCAGCAAATACGGTTATGATGTTTTACCATGTTGAAGGAGCTGAGGAATCTTTAACTGTTCATACTGATGAAGGTCATGAAAAGTCCAAGTCGAATACAGCAGAAGCTAATAAAGTGGTAAATAACTTAATAAATATTTTCATAATCTTTATAAATCTGCCAAATTTTTTACCTATATCTTTTCAATTGCCCTTTCCGAAACCTTCATGTGGATTTATGCTTTCAAAACATCATTTCTATTTCATTAGGAAAGAGAATTTCTCTCAAATTCAAATTATACAGAACAAACTAATCTAATTACTACTGAATCCAGATTTTCTGTTTAATTCATGTAATATCATTTAATGGGGTTGTTTCAAATTTAAAATGATAACTGCAGATACTGGTAAATATCACTCACTGGTCAATACTATACTAAACAGCAAAGACAAACGTCAGTACGATTTCAAAATCAGAGAGGCACTTTAATCAAATCATTCTAGAAAACGACTTACTAAATGGATCAAAGCAATTTTTTGTGAACAGTATATTGACACATTAGTGATTAATTCATCACAATTCCAAGACATTGCGAGAAGGTTTAGAGTCTGTACACAGTCTATACACCAATATCTGGTGTGTCCACCGCGAGTGTCAATAACAGCAGCACAGTGTCTGTACATGGAGTGGACCAGATGATTGATGAACGCCATTGGCACCTGGAAACACCCCCCAGAAAAGCCTGGCGCAATCCATCGGCTGTGTTTGGTTTCGGTGCCACGTTATTAAGTCTCCTCTGAATTGCATCCCAAAGATGTTCAATCGGGTTTAAGTCCGGACTAAGGGCTGGCCAGTGCATAACGTTGACACCGTTCTGCTGTAGAAAGTCCCGAGTAACTCTGGCGGTGTGGACACGGGCGTTGTCATGCTGGAAAACGTTGTTTCGATGACGTGCGAAATATGGTATGACGTGGGGTCTGAGAGCTGGATCGATGTAACGCACTGCTGTGATGCCGCCTCCTCTCCCTGAATCAAGATTTTGGAACACCACAGGCCCCACTCTCTGGCTCAGGCCGATTCCACCCCAAACCATTATGCTTGGAGTCTCGTTCCATGACACATTGGTCAGAATAACGCTGGCCACGTCCTTGTGGTAACCGTTGGTCTACCAGTTCAGGGGCGATCATCCATTGTGTTGGTGACCCGATAGCGTTGCTGAAGCCTGTAGATGGTCCGAACATTGACCTGGAAGTGATTGATTGGCAACGGCTTTGGCAGTGTGGCCTGATTCCTCTGAGCTGTCGTGAGTCGTGGCATGCTGTTGACGTTGTAGTTTAGATGATTCAACCGGGTATGGGGTGCATTTTATAGGGCTGGTCCCAGTGAACAGCACGTGCAGCATGAGTTACATGAAAATCATGGAGAACACATTACCATCTCAGAAGTCAGGTTGCGTTTTTGAGAACATTTCCTGGGTTCAATTCTGTATTTGGGAAGGAGGCTTATTGCTCACGTAAAGTTGGAGATGTGGTCACAAATACATGTATACAGTAAAACATTTGGCAAGTTTTATGGAATGCGTCTATTCAGAGTAACATACCAACCGGACGTTTCTTTTGCTGTTTAGTATATTTGAATGAGAGAAGAAAATCAGCCAGGGAAGGTGACAAACTAGAATAAACTATATTTATTGCAGATTGATTTATTTTTGCACATGGTAAGAAAGGAAGGTTGCCATCCTAAATCTATCAACATTATGACCCAATACAAATCACAAATGTCACTTCTTCAAAAACGTCTAAAAGAACTAAATTTTGACGTCACGGTAAACACAGTTGTGGCCAGTCAAGGTAAAGTTTTACGCTAAAATAAAATAAAAACAACAGTTTTTACATTCCCCCACATTTAGAGATACACAAGTGAAAAGTTTAATCCTTACAAGTAAAGGCCCCTACGCGCAAGCGAATTGAAATACAAATTGTATCATATGTTTGTCCCGGAATGATCGAGTCAGTGTTAAGTGGAGTTAAACCCCCTGGAAGGCTAAACAGTATGTATACTACTTGTAGCTATGGGCCTAAAGTGGCCAGATTTTATGGAATAAACGAAATAGTGTAATTAAGATAAAACACATATCCGTCACAGTGTTTCGTCTAACCCCTCCCATCATCTTCTCCACTTACCTGTAAACTATGGATAGCCAAATAGCTCGCTTCCGATGGATTTTCCTACTTTCTATTTACAGACACGCGTTAAGACCGGTTTTATTACCTGCGAAGCTAGGCCTGACAGACTAAGCGAAATAAATTCAAAAGCTGGCGATTGTAGTGAGCAAAGCTAAGCGAAGCTGGTCTTGTCGTGGGCGGCCATGTTGTTAGATGAATCACTTGATCGCCACAGCAGACGTCTCTTGTTGCCGAATATCTGATTGGCTGCGATGTTTTGAGCTAAGGGCAAGTTAAACCAATTCAACTCCTGGTCACCTTCGCTTTGCTCGAAAAGACGTTGTGATGCTAAAACTTTGTCGCCGAACTAGGCTTTGAAGCACGTGTATTTTATTAAATGGGTGTAATTACTTCAGTTTGTTTCATACGAGTTACTGTGATTATTTGCAGGTGGTGAATGGGATTACGTCATTCTGAGCACGGTTAGATCCCAGCCAACTTTTAACATTGAACCATGTCCAACATTAGGATGGAAAATACAAAACCTAGGTTTTGTTGCTGATCAAAATCAAACTAATGTAGCTTTGACCAGAGCAAGAAAAGGTTTATTTATAATTGGTATGTAATTAAAACAGATTTTCTATTGAAAACGAAACGTAATTGACGCTTGATATTAATAGCTGATACATTTAGTCCTTTTTATACGCCCATACGTCCGTCCACAATTTGTCTGTGGACACTCTACATGTCACAATCTTTATCCGATTTTGACGAAACTTTCGATATTGGCATGTATCGGATCGAAACTTCATGGATTATCGCCCCGGATTTACGAAAAATCACGTTGTTAGCTTGTGGACACTGTAGAGGCCACAATTTTCATCTGATTTGGATGAAACTTGGGAACAAATTTGACTTAGTTTTTGGTGTACAATTTTGTTTCCGGAGCATATCTCATAAACCGTTCAAGATATCTTTCTGAAACTTTGTACACACATCAACCTATTGCAGTAGTTGTGCCTTTCGCTATTTAGGAATTTCTGGGATTTATATTTGTTGTGTTTCCATGGAAACAAATTTGACTTAGTTTTTGGTGTATAATTTTGTTTCCGGAGCATATCTCATAAATCGTTCAAGATATCTTATTGGCACTTGTACAAACATCAGTCTGTGATAGTTGTGCGTTTTGCTATTGAGGATTTTCTGGGATTTATATTTTTCGTGTTTCCATGCAAACAAATTTGACTTAGTTTTTGGTGTTCAATTTTGTTTACAGAGCATATCTCATAAACCTTCCAAGACATCTTCATGAAACATTCTACAAAAATTAACCTGTTATATTAGTTGTGCCTTTATCTAATTTGGAATTTCTGGGATTTAATCATTTTTGTGTTTCCATGGAAACAAATTTGACTTAGTTTTTATGCACAATTTTGTTTCCGGAGCATTTCTCATAAATGGTTCAAAAAATATTTTTGAAACTTTGAACACATTACAGTAGTTACAGTAGTTGTGCCTTTTGCTAATTAGAAATTTGTCGGATTTAATAATTTTTGCGTTGCCATGGAAACAAAATTCTCTGTTGAATGATTTTTACTACACATTTGAATTATTTTTTGGTATATAATTAGTATTCTAGAGCATATCTCAGAAACTGATCAAGATACCTTTATAACACTTTTACATTCATCAACCTATTATTTTATTTTTTGATGACCTTCCTTCTGTCCCGATTTCATTTCTAGAGCATATTTCATTATCTGTTCAGAGAAATTTTTTTAAAACTTTATACAAACATCAAACTATTAAAGTATTTTATTTTCTGATGTATAACTTAATGTTTGACATACAGCAGCTGATTGAGATAGGCAAAGGTTGTTGTGCAAACCTTACAAGGACTGTGCCTTGCCGAGCTACTAGATCAGAGTATGAATCTTCTGACTAGTCCCATTGATATTCCAAGGGCGCGGGATGGTCATGACTTATCATCTTGTTTAGCGTGTTCTCTATCCATGTCCAGTGCCGGACTAGGCCCACCTGTCCACCTGTCCGTGGGCCTAAGCTCATTAAAAAAAGTGGGCCTAAGCCTATAAAGAAAAAAGAGAAAGAAAAAAGAAAAAAAGAAAAAAGAAAGACAGGAGAGGGGGAGGAAAGAAAAGAAAGAAGGACGGACAGCCTGTGTCCTGTCCTCTCCTTCCTAATGATAGTGCAATTAGATCATTCTGTTATCTAATTGTATCAGGAAATCAAAAATTTGCCTTCTTCTGCTTTGGTCTGAAATGCTTGGAAGATGGGTTTGCCGTTGTCAATTTTCAAAATTTTCCTGGGGGAGAACCCCCCCCCCCCCCGGAGAAACCCTCGGACGATGTAGCGCTTCCTCACGCTCGTGGCGCGCATTTGGCGCGTACTTGTGTGGGCACTGTCCATGTCTTGTATTTTGTGGGCGTATCTTGCCTGGTTACCGCTGGTAAAATAATATAGAACAATCCTAAACATCCGAATGAAAAAAGAAATTGCGATATATAAATCTTAACTATGGAAGACCATAGGGTCAGTCATATGACAAAAATATCTTTGTCTTAATAAAAACAAGTTAAAACAGGTGGTGCAGCTGGAAGATGTTTGGCGTCATCAGTGCGGTTAGAAAGAAAAAACTCGTGGACAAAAAGAATTCGCTTGCTTTATATGGAAAAGCGAAGTGCTCGCGGTAAAAACCACATAGCTGGACCAGGGGATTATTTACATATTAAACACAGGTTCCATGGTTAAAAAATTATGTTAAAAGTTCTTTAATGCGGTTCATAACTTCAGCCTTTAAAAGTTAAAGGCATTCCATTAGGGTTTTTCATGCATTTGCCTCTTCCCAGATAAAAGTTAGCTGAAAAGAAAAAGAAGAGCCATAAATTAAATTAAATTGATTAATATGCATTGTCATTGTTAATGATGGTTGTGTAGGTCTCTGTTCTTTTTGTCATTATTTTTCTCTAATATAGTATTATATTAAATCATACAGTAGACTGAACCGCCATACTGTCCTACAACAATACTTCCTTCCGTTGTAACTAGATATGCAGTTCCCTATCTTAATGTCAATTTATTCTGATATCCTGCGAGTTTAGCCACCAACCTAGTCTACGCAACCAGTTATCTTTCCATGACTAGTGCTCTTTTCGCAACTAACTTAACAGTTAATTCCCAATTCTGCTATGAATTTTGATGTCGCTTCATAAATTTTATATGACATATTCCGAGAGTGGAAGAGCACATTCTGGAGGGTATATTGAAGTTTGGCATCTTCCATTAACTTCTTACAAGGAGTCTTTTCTCTTCCAATTGATTGCACGCAATGACGAAATGATCGCACTTCACTGGTTTATATTTATGGTCGGTAATTAAATCTACAGTTCTCGGTCTTGTGATTAACCCACAAATTTTACGCGATTGGTGATTGACCTCCGTCTTTACACCCAGATCGCTATTTAATTTGAATCCCAGATAGCTATTTAATTTGAATCTAAAAGTATTTGCCCTGGCCAACTCAGTTTTCCACTAATTTTAGTTTCAACAAAGCTATTAAATTCATGAACGCTATATTTTAGGTCTTCGGTCTCGCAGAGGCTGAAATCATTGCGAGCCAGATTGTCTGCAGATTCATTGCCCTCTACGGTTTATTTTTGTTTCGGAGGGAACAAACACTTGCTCGAATTTTCTGAACAATTTCTGGTCTAGATGTTGTTTTATCATGTGTTATTGACTTTATGCTGCTGAGGGAGTCTGATACTTTGAACGGTGGATGACACAAGCCACTCAAGAGAGTCAAGAGCTGTAGATATTGCCATTAATTCTGCACTATAGATGGAACATCAATCTTGTAGCCGTTTTGATATTAACATCAAATTCAGGAATGACTACACCGAATGCAGTTTTGGTGGTGTTTGGATTTTGAGATTCGTCCGTGTATATTTTCACATGAGATGACCATTTTTCGTTCAAGAATCCCCTCGATAGCATCTGAGCGTGTTGTGGATTTTCTTTCTTAACAACATTGCTTAGACTTATGTCCATGGGGCTTGATACGAAAATACCTTGTCAGTAATCTGATAGTGATCTAATCTTAGGTCTTTTAATAGATCATTTGCGCTGTGGCCGAACGGTTGAGTCTCTGATTTAACATTTCTTTTGGATTTTTTCCTTGATGTTTTTGTACACTTAAATGTTGGACTACTGTCCCCTAGATATTGTATTTTATCCCGGTAGTCCAATGTTAGCTCGTTGCGCCTCAATTCAAAAGACATTTCATCTACTTCTTGCAATAGACTTTCCCTTTTTGTGCCAAATGAAGCTGTCGTTGCTATCTTTATTGCCTGATATTGTAAACTGTCTAGTTTAGCAAGGGCTGTTTTATTTGCACTCGCAAAAGCAACACAGCCGTAGTCATATATTGATCTTATCAATGGACCTATAGGGTGGTTTTATTTGCTCCCCAGGGTATGCCGGTCATGCATCTCATTACATTATGTCCTTTTTTAACAATATTTTTAACTATGGTATAAAAGCCATTTTGCGATCAAAGGTCACCTCTAGAAGCTTTGCCTGATCTTTGAATTCGATTCGGATATTGTTCAATTCCAATTCCCTATGATCCCTACAGAAGAGCATTATACCTACTGTTTTACTTTTAGAAAATCGAAATTCCCATATATCAGTGTATGGCGAATTTGTAATAAACAAGATAGTTATCTTATAATAACGAGATAGCTATTTTGTAATAACGTGATAGTTATCTTGTAATAACGAGATAACTATCGTCTAATAACAAGATAAGTAGAATATTTATTTTTCATTTGATTGACCCTAATGGTCTTCCGTAATTAACCGTGATGCGGTGTCAGTTTAGAATTTGTTCCAGTGAACTGTTATTCTCTACTGGTTAGTGTTACTTCCATCTTTGACTACAGCCACATCAGTGGAGTTTTGTCTTTTTAATCATTCGATAGCAAGAAAGTGACAGGGCTGTAACTACCTTAACATTCAATTTATCCAGCCACAAAAATCACTACACATAGCCTAACATATAATTAACTACTCCACATTGAAATAAAAGTGAAATCTTACCACATAATTCTATGAAAAAATTCAACGGCTACCCGTGATTCTAATTCTATGTGCATAGGTAACGTCATGACCACTTGTGTATATACAAAAATGTAAAACGCTAATATTGCCACAAAAAAAGATCATTCTATCCGGTGACTATTTTAATACTTAATACATCATTGTTTGTGATAAAAGCGTTTATTTCGATACAAATTAGGATGATATATGTTTAAAATTGTTCATTTGGAGCTATTAATTAAAAAATCCATAATATGCTCTTGCAGTTTTGAATCTTTTTACAAATTTATATATGTTACAGTCAATGTCTACAATCGGGCAATGTGTACAATGCCTGAAATAACCAGTCAATGTGTACATTGCCTAATGAGGCCAGTCATTGTGTACATTGCCTAAAATTTCCAGGCATTGTGTACATTGCCTGATTAATTAGCCCAATTATTGTACACATTGACTGATTGTTGAAGAGCGATTATTGAGAAGACTAGATTACCACAGGTTTCGTTCTGTGATCACATAGGCTTCATTTCATCTAAAAGATACTTTAATAGGTTTGTCACTAGAGTTGTTGTTTTTAACTAAATAAATGACAAATATCATACACACTTTGAAGGATGAATTGACTTTATTTCACACAGTATGAAAATACATGAATTTCTGATTTCCCGATAGAATACATGTGAAATACTCAAATACTCAGACAAATGGTAACATGTACATGTCAACTTGATTACAACCATGATATAAGTGGCCATGAAATATGTCAACAATTTTTGTTTTGACAATTGATGCTGTTGTGGCATCTGCTGTTACATAACAAACCCAACTTGTAACATTTACACTTATTTGTGGCACACTGTTTCCCACTTTTAGAACAGTTACACCTCGTATAACCTTGGCCTCCACATTTCGATTCTGTTTGAACTGCTTGTCTAAGTCCAATTTCTTTCTCTGTGGTAATGTCTTTGGGAGTGTAAAGCCTCTGGGGGGCAAAGGTCAAATTGATTTCTTGAATATCGCCCTTTCAGGACACCTGCCTGTACACCAATCTTGTACATGTCATTTTCATTTCTGTCCAGAACCACACCCATAATGTTGCGTGGGTCACCCTTTCCACGATCAACCATGGGGATAGGGACGGTCACGTTGTCCCCAGGGTTAGCAGCAACATTGATTACCCGACTGCGGTTTATCATTCTCTCTGCTTGCGTCAGGATACCATCAGCAGCTCTCTTCCCACATGACATGATATTGGCATGTTGTACATCAAGTTGTACATTGTTTATATAAATACCACGATGACGCTTAATTTCACGATTTACGATAATTACTTTCAGCGCAAGTTTATCGATTGAGTTTATCGATTTTCAATATTTTTAGATAATTGCTTTCAGTGTTATTGTCCTTGATATCTTTGAAAAATATAATCTGATGACTCAAATTACACACACAGTATTTATGTTATGAAATTAAGAAGCATTGATTTTCAACGATTCCCAAAATAATGTTACTTTCGGGGTTATTTGTCTACTTGTAGGTAATGAAAATCTTCTCCGTTGTGATAAAGTGTGGAAAAATCTGTTAGATGATTATAAAGACCGTGGCTGTATAAGTAATGCTGGAGATATTCCACGACCTACAATTAACAGACCGCCATTACCATATTGTTAGATTAAACAATATTGAAGGAATTGTTTTTTGTTTTATTTGTAGTCTATATCATTGTTTTATACTGTGTTTATTAATGTTATTCTTTTTTGTTTTTGTTTTTTAATACTGTTGTTGATTTTGATCCATGGAAATACGTAACACATGTGTATATTCAAAACATGTTTCGCCGTCTTAATTAGCTCAGCTCGCAGATGGAGCCGAAAACTAGGACTTTCAACACCATTTCATTTCATTTCAAAACACAAATCTGTACAAAATATATTTACAACATTTCTATACGCCTACATTGATATGTGGTCGTATATTGTCATCGCCCCCGTATGTTCGCCGGTCCGGCGTCCAGAAGACTTGTGGCTAAAATTAATATCCGATTGGCTTTAGTTTTATACACAGTGTTTAAGGTCATGAGACGAAAAATCCTATTGATTTCCGATAACTACTGTCAGAGTTATGACCCTTGGTCACTTTTTTAAGGTCATGAGACGAAGAATCCCATTGATTTTAAATGATTCCAATAATTACTGCCAGAGTTATAGCCCTTAATATTAAATGATTTGTGTTCTAAAGGTTAGTATAGGACTACTTAGCTGCTGTGGTTGCATGACAGCCTATCGTAATTTTGGAATTCAAAATTAAATTAAAATATAATATTAATTTAGTTAATAGGTAGTATTATTTTCATGATACTTAGTTTCTAAAACTTTTTGTGCTTTGCTCCCCTTATGTAATTTGTTCTCGTTTACAGCGTTGAACATAAACGTCATATCAGTGTAAATATAAATAATGTTCTTTTAACATTGTCTATTTTATTGCTTTAAAATTATATTGCTTTTCGTCTTGTTGATTTTTTCTGTTTTTTTACGCTACATTGTGATCTAACCCGCTTTATATGAAAGCCGTATTCTGTCATTGACAATCACATAAGAGAGAGAGAGAGAGAGAGAGAGAGAGAGAGAGAGATTTGTCACGTACAACAGTTTACTTAACCACACAAAAAAAACAAGCCTTGTATACAAATACCGAACATTTGGTCAAACGATCTGAACGCCGAATTAAAATTAAAACAAATGCCAGACGTTATAATGATGTTGTCGTGTCGTCTACATAGCAGGGGTGTGTCCAGAGTTACTCCCCTATAACCCCCCGCCCCCGACACGCCCTTAACAGACTCCATACTATGATTTTAAGGTGAACGGTAACGTCTACACCGAAGTGTGACGCAAATAATTCATGAGGTACAAAGCATTTTTTTATTCTTATTCAGTTTGCACATAAAACTCAGCAAGGTGTGATAGATTATTATATAGTTCATTTAATCATTGACAATGTTTTAATTATCTAATTCCATTAAATGTGTTGGTTTTTTTTTTAATACCATAAGTCTAATTAGGCCATATTTTTTGCAGTTACCAGTATATGTGCGTTTTGTTTGTTTAGTTGTTGGTGGTTTTGGTGGATGCATCACTATTGTTTATAGACTGATCCGAAGAATATATTCTTGGTTTTGTGTTTGATTTTCTGTTAGTCTTACGAATGAATATATGGAATTTGTTTTGATATTTTCCTCCTATCTTAATAAGAGAATGAAAAGTCATTAATCATATATTTTCTAATAAAATCTGGCACATCTTTTTCTTTATTTTAAATAAGTTATTCGATCATCTCAATGTCAGTTAAGTCTGGGTGTTAAAATGGTGTCCCGGATCGACTGTTGAAGAATTTCGTCGCCTCCGTTTAAAAGGTCTGTGGACCATTATTTGTCATACTGTCATAAGGGTTAGTGACATAGTATTTGAAAGTAGTCGTATCATTTACAGCCTTACAGGCCTATAAAACTTTAATCAAGTGCAGTTTTTAGTTTAATACAATGTAAATTTTCACCCGCTTCAGTATTACCCTTGCAGATGACATTCCAAAGATCTGCCAAATGGGAAAAGTACACCAACTGAAGCTTAATATGGATGAGAAAGGAACAATAAAAATATCATGCATTATTGCCCATTCCAATTTTGAACTTTGATATTCATGGGTCCCATAGACTCTTATGGGCCCTGGGGCGGCCCACCGACTGCACCCCCTCTCGTGGGGCCTGGGTGTGAAGAAGTGCATGTATTGCCATTTGAAAACCCGCGCTCTCTTGAACTTGGTCAGGTATTGCCTTTATTTCCTTGTTTCTTTGGGCGGCGCATGTATTATTTTCCTTTTTCAGAGAATCTGGTTTCCAGAATTTACAATCTGGATATTCATCCATGAATGTTATATACATACTAAATCTTGAATAAGTGGTGTCAATGCATTTTCCTGAGGCAACGACTGCGAGTTTTACAACATCTGGCCAGGGCGGGTTTGCACGCGCAACTGGGTCCACCTGTCCGTGACAGGTGGGCCTAAGCTCATTAAAAAAAAGTGGGCCTAAGCCTATAAAGAAAAAAGAAAAAAAGAGAAAGAAAAAAGAAAAAGAGAAAGAAAGGAGAGGGGAGGAGAGGACATGAGAAAGAAAAGATAGGAAAAAATGACTGACAAACATCACAAAAAAAGAAGTGTACTACAAGGAAAGAACTTTATGAGTTTGACCTCATTATACCGAGAACCGTGTAATTCATCTTTTAACCTTTACTTAGTTCTTCATAAGTCATTATCGCCGAAATAATCGCCAAAAACTTGCCAGTTTTGAGTTTTTCGCGAAAAATTATATTCTGTGATGTGCGTCAACAGAACTGTCAAATACGTGTACTGTATGTATACTAATTTGCATTATTTTCATCACGTAGAATAAAAGGTTTTTGTTTTTGACACTGAAGAGAATTCTCAGATTCATCTAATGATAGTGCTCTTGGGTCATTCTGTTATCTAATTGTATCATGAAATCAAAAATTTGCCTTCTGCTTTGGTCTGAAATGCTTGGAAAATGGGTTTGCGCTTGTCAATTTTCAAAATTTTCCGGGGGGGGGGGGGAGAATCCCCCTCGGACGCGCCTTCGGCGCGTACTTGTGTGGGCCTTGGTCAATGACCTGACAGGTGGGCCTTAGGCACACCAGTCCAGCACTGAATAGGGACTCATTCGAACGCACTAAGAACGAGACGAGGACGTGTTGAACTGTCTCTGTATCTAGTTCGAAAAAATTGCGGACGTTTTGGGAACAGTGTAGAACTTGTTTGGTGTGATGTGGGCTTAACGCGTGGACTTCTAAATTTCCCTTTAATATTATAAGAGCAAATCATAATATTGTTTTGTTTTGAAAGAATCCTTACAATGGTTTAATACTTGTTTAGTTTACAAGATGTCGGACAAGTAAGAATTTCTTTTTCTCACTTACCTTGAATCCGTAGTTGTGGCAAAAGTCGTTCAGAGCTGACATGATGTCATTATTACTAGGAAAATGACAACCGGCTAGGTTTTTTTTTCATTTTGGGAAACTGGTCTCATCCATGGTTACAAATCTGGGCAAAACATTATCAGGATCTGCTTCAAAATGAAACTCTGTAACAAAGTACTCTATAACTTTCATCAAATTTAACGACCATTTAGGTGCATAGAACTTATTGACCTAAGCTGCTGTTGATAATACATGTATATTATATTGACTTTTCAACTCTGTATATACTTCTGTTTAGTCACGTTCTAATTAAAGATGTAATTAATCCCATATGCCATTTACAAACTACATATGATCAGTGCACACGTTCCGCATTACTTCAAAGGAATACGCACTGGTCAGTAAGCATACCATGACGGGATAAAAGAGACAATTGCATGTATGATCATGAGTCTTATCTATTGTCCGGGGGTATGTAACGAGGAGTTTGCTGGCAGTTAGGGAGACGAGCCGAGAGAAGGAGAGACGCAGACGAGAGAAAAGCAGAGTCGTAGTCTAGTTCCCGATGTAGTCTAGTTCCTGTATATTAGTTTAAGTTCCTATATTGTTTTGTGTGTAGATGTGTTATATTCTGTTCCGATGTAAATAAACCATATATTTACGAAACTGATCTCTGTTATCACTAAAATAGTGTCACAACTTTTCTCATAACTCGTTGGCGATAATGTGCTCAACCCTCTCATGAGAGACAATACTGACAATATGTCGAGTGGTCAGTCGTCGATCAGGCATCACTGTGTCATGCACCCAGGTAATGTTTTCTTGAAAGGTTGCGGTTGATGGCTTACCAGGACGTGGGTCATCCCACTTCTTTACTGTGGAACAGGAAGGGACATCATCCCATAAAATGGAGGCCATGTCGGCATGTATCTGTGTAAGGTATAGTCCTTTCAGTTGCAGGTACTTGATGACTGCCCTATAGTCAGTTTTGTGCAAATTTGGAGATTTCAGTGGGTAGGTTCACAAGATGGTCTGGTACAAGACAATAATAACACTACAATTGCAGATCTTATGTCTATGATTCATTCAATGATTGTCCTTGGTGGTGGCAAAAGTTTATTACACCCCAATATATCTATCCTTTTTGGGGTTAGGACTTTTCAGCCAGCCCTCGTATTTTCATTAGGGTCGAGCACAGCATGTGGTAAGAATAAGCCTTTTATGGTCGAGCGGGTAATAATTGCATGTTTGAATCATGTATTCACAGTAATTACGAATGTCGGTCTTTGGAATCATATTACAGGCCATGCTTTCTACTAGCCAAAGTTGGTATGAAAATAGATTTCAGTAGCTGTTTTCAAGAAGGAAACTCAGCATCACAATGCAACATTAGAGTAATATATTGGAACAATATTCAGGTATGAAGGGAGGGTGAGACCGATTCTTGCACATGGTTTCTCTTGTCAATAATTAAACGTCCAGTATTTGAGGTTTTTGCCATAATAAATTGAACAAATCTTTTAAAATAAAATAAAAAATATATTTAATATCTTGAATATATTAAAGCAAATGTGCAGATCACACTATGCTATGCAAAATGTGTGGTCCATGTTCTCTAAAACAAACCCAAATAAACATATTAATAACAACAATTTCTTGTTAGTAAAAACAAAGATGAATGAAAGCTTACGTATGGGCATGGACCGTATGGGCATGGACCTGGACCGTATATGGTATGGGATAGAATTAGGCATAATAAATACAATATTTTCAGTTTCAACAATTTCAAATGCAGCTCAAATTTTTTTGTGCATAAAAATATCACAAATGTAAAAATGTTCTGTATTTTCATCAATGTCATATCTAATGTGTAATGTGTTGCCCTTCAATTTTAATATAAATATTCATAAACCTATTTTTCATCATGTATTATAAAGTAGCAGCTCTATTTCAATCATAAATTCTTGAATATAAGTTAGTTCATAGAATGCCTTTAAAGTCAAATAAAACAGGGTTCTATCCAAATCACAATTTGTTTGAAGCATTTCATAAGTACCATGTTAGTTGGATTTTGATGGAAAAAACCTTATTCAAAAGCCATACATTGTAAATAACTTGTAACAGATTATTAAACATACATTATGCAAATCTGCCTATTGCAGGTCTTTCTTTAAGCCTGAAATGTTTTCTAAATGATTAATTAGACATTAATTAACTGATCCAGGCATAATCAACTCTTGATGGCATGGGATTTCTCCGATATTAAATAGATTAGAACGGTTCAGCCATATTTTAATTTAATTTAAAAATGGAGGAGCGAGACTTAGCCTCGCACAACCAGTACAGTGCAATTTTTGCACACGTCTTGTCAAACCTTTTAAAGGCTAATATCTTCGCTCGCAATAGAGTAATTGGAATGAAATTTTCAAATTATTCATTTTACATATCTATTTTCGAATTATTATAGCAAGAATTATCTAAATCTTACATAATGTATCTTTAAACAGTTTCAACATGAAAACTGTAAAAAACAAAATGGTATATAAAAAATGTTCAGGATATTAAACTATATTGTATAGAAAAAGTGAAAATTTTAAATCTCCTACACTTATGTACATTGAAAATAGTGATACAAAAACTGTCAATTCCTAATATATTAATGCAACAATATAATATGATTTATGATGTATTATTAATCTACATATGTATACTCTTTAATAATACCTGAAGTCAGGATGATACATAGTTAATCCCCCATTCCTTATTTAATTTCAAATACCAAAAGGTTTGCATGAATAAACTTTCATATCTGATGATAGAAACTAATTTGATATTCTATACCTCTAAGTATTTCAACGAATCATCAATTCATCTATTATCACAATCTAATTACAACTGTGTATACATTATTAAAATGGGATAACGGTCATATATAATTCCACGAACTACTTGAGAGGGGTATAAAGATAAAGTTTCTATCCTACTTTGCCATTACCCTCCCTAACTTCGGAGACCAATTAAGATTTTTGATAACATTTCAAATATTTTTAATTGATCAACTTTGAAGTGGACTTTAATTAACAACAGTTGTCAAATAAATAACAATTTGAGACCTAAATATTAGCATAAAAAGATATATAGGTGACTAGAATGTATGATTTAGTACAACTACTATAATAAATATTAAAATGAGATTCATAATTATGTTATAATGATTTGATATGATATTTATAAGGAATGTATATTTTCCTGACTAGGATAACACAACACAATAAAAAACCAAAACGTTTCATTGGTCACATCACAACTAATTTAGATTAAATAATGGGTGCAATATTAGGGTATCACAGACTACGTGGGGATATCTTCTGGTAGATCAGCATTAGACCGGGACATATTCAATGGTAATTCACTCCTCTTTATGTGAATTCTAAAGGCATACCAAGTACTACCCAGTAAAGATACTGCACACATAAACCCAACAGCCTGAAATACAACAAAATATGTCATCAATCAAATGTATGTATCACCCACCTATCACTGTAACCAGGGTATCATTTATTCTTGTGTATTTTAATTTAGCATTAATTTCTTTCACAATTTTTTAATATCAAATCTTTGTTTAAAAATTTGTAAAAATCATTTAAAATCACCCAAAATCATCTGATTTGTACTTGTGTCTAGTTTAAAGGCTCAATACCACTCTTGTTGTAACTGAATAATATGTCCCAATCTTTATTCTGGTCAACAAATTGTACTATTTTAGAATATTTCAATTAATTGATGATACAAATTTCATCTTAACACACCTTATTTAAAAATTTTGAAAAATTCAACATAATGGTTTGAAACGTCTAACGTAAACCTTTTCAAATGAAACTTCTATTTAAAAATATTTTCGAACCCTCTGGACAAGTAAAATAGGATGTAATGGATAATTTACACAACAGGTAGGACACTTAAACATCTAGTACATAGATAGAGATATTATTTATTTTCTGGAGCTTTCAAGCCAGCAAGAGTGTTATTGTCCCTTTAAAGCTGACCATTCAATTTTGACAATGAGTGTCTAATTTACAAGCATTAATTTCTCGATCACTGTTAAAAATTAATCATTATACCAAATAATCAGTTGGGTTGTTTATTTTTTAACAGAGATCGAGAGCGTTTGTAAATTGGACACTCATTATCAAAATTGAATGGTCAACTTTAATCTGGACACAAGTACAAATTGAATGATTTTGGGTGATTTTAAACGATTTTTACAAATTATTAAACAAAGATTTGATATTAAATAAATGGGGAAAGTATCCTAGTAGAATCAGCATTAAGATACTTCCTGATGCACCCAATGTTCCATAGAATGAAATAGCACACATCTGATATACTGTATGGTTGATGTGGGTTTCCATATTCAGATTGTTATAGAACATCACTCCATGATTTCTTATGCTATTTGCAATTGGAATAAAGAGGTTGCCAACATTCACGTCTGGATTCAGGACCAAGAAGTAAAGCTTCAGTTTTCTCATCATTAAGTTTTAGTTTATTTGCTGTCATCCTCAATTTAATTTGTTCATAACACCATGAAAGTTGGGATTTGGTTGACACTGGTGTAGGGAATGGCCTTGGTACTTGTATGTGACTGAACAATTCAGAGCTAAGGTATTAATAAAATTAGATCTACATGTACAGTAGTCCTATTCATTACTACGCTCATGCTTCATGACCACAGAACCACCGCTGTATTTTCAAATTACATGTACAATAATCTATGATTTTAAATAATTATTAATAATACCTACCACAGCAATTTCGAAATGTGAAAACGATAAATTGGCTTCCTGAACTGGAACAGATTTTGAAACCTCTGTCATTGCTACACATAAAATAATAGTAGCCAAAGACAACAATACACCTAGAATACCATTAATCAACAAATCCTGGAATAGTCAAAATCAACAATATACAACTAAGTGGATGTAAACAACTAATGTTTAATATCATCAGTCCTGTTAGTGGACAAAACCCTGACCTGATTGTGTATTGTTTGTGACACCATTCTCTTGTACATGTAGTTGCAATTTTCAATAGCATACTTTTGTAATTAATAAGGGGGTGGGGGGGTGATTAGCAAATTCAGTGTAAAATAGAGGTGAGAGAGAGAAATGGGGTTTAACATCCACTCAACACAAACTAGGTAATTTCAGGACTAACAATTCCCTTGCGTGTTGGGGTCTTGAGCAGTGTGAGGAAACCGGAGGACCCAGAAAAAACCCACAAGGTTGGACAGGCAACCCTATTCCTTTTCAGGTACAACCAGGGATTCAAAACCATGCCTGTTGAAGATTAAATCCATTTCCATAACCTCATGATAACTATATGCCTATAGCAATCTGTTAGATGTGCGTAGGCCTACATTATATAATGATATTTACTTTGAAATATAGCACAATTTGTATTTAATAAAATAATACTATTTTAATTCTTAGCTGCTATTTCTAAGTAATCATATATCAAAAAATGTACATCAATTGTCCTATGGGTCAGGGCCAAGGGGCTTAACCACACATGTATTAAATTAAAACTCAAAAACCTGAATTGAACTGATTACATGAAATCTTTAAGAGGCATTTAGTAACTGGATAGAGCAATAAACTATAACACATACTTATTCATTTTGGGCAAGTTTTGAAGAGAATTCTCTCAACGCTATCAATGTACAATATGTAGTTGAATTAAGAAACTTACCATCAATGGAGATATGAATGAAGAATTGAAGAGGATTAATGTACACATAGCAATGGCAGCCATAAATGTCAGGACAGACACACCCAGAAAAAAATTGACATTGTTGATTATATTGTAATCATCCTTATTTAAGCTAAGATATCCCAATCCATGATTTTTCCAGCTAGCAATCAGAGAAAATGCCAAAATACTTAACAACTGAAATAAAAATCATTGAAGAAAACGGATTTATAAGTACATATATTCTGTACAGGCGGAAAAACACATAATAATTAAAATAAAACCAGATTTATGTTTGCTTTAACATTACACATAGATTGTAAATCATCGGTTTCATACCTACCGGTATTTAATACATTGAATTTTTTGGCATTTATAAACTCCCAAGTCAAATCATGAAGATGGTTGGCGATTTTGCTCAGCTATGCGCCATTGCTGAGTTACACATCTGATAGTCTGTTCAGATGCTTTTATATTTAAAATCGTCGTGGGTTTTCAGACGGGATAATTTAACATTCATATCTAATGACCTCGTTGGTTAAAGGTTAGAGTTAATTAAGCATGGACACATGTTGTCATTTTGCCTAAATTTCGTTTTGTCATATATGGTCGAGTTACGTATATTTGTGCGTTACCCTATATTTAGATTTCAATGGCTTCTGCCAAGCTGTTTAACAGACAGGGACGTATTTTTAACAGCATGTTGTGTCACACATACTGACTCTAGCGAGGTAAGCATGGTCTTATTTCTGACTAAAATGTTTCTTTCTTTTGTACAGGCATTCAAGTGACTGTTTACCAGTAAAATGTTGCCCAGTAAAATTGACTGGGGGCTGAAACTTTTTCAACAAGGATTCAATAGTGTGGTTCATGAACCTACAGGGCGAGCAGTAATCATGTAATGAGACCTACATGTACAATTAGAGCTGAAGTACATTCAGTATTGATAACAAACCTCATCTCTCAACCCTCCGTGTTTCGAGATTAGAGATGGTGCTATACTATATAGTTGCACGTAGCAAAGCCCAACGCAAATCACATCGGGCCTCAGTAAGCAAAATTGACAATATTTTTCATCACAACAACGATTGATTATTGTTATTTATAATATTTCTGCCACATCCAACTATAATTAAGCATACAATCCTACCAGAAACGGGTATAAATAATCGTATTTACTAGGAACGCCATTTTTAAACGGGAGATTATGACGGTGTATGTCTGATTAAAAACAACGCTTCATTAATTTAAACGCGAATATTGGAATTGTTAGGCGATAGTTGTGCCACTACATTGGCCTCTGTAAGTTTAAATAGTCATAATAATATCAAACTATCTTACTTTTAAAATGTTACATGCATTAAAGTAGCTAAGTCTCTAACTCAATATCATCCAAAGTCTTACACGTTGAAAACACAAATTATTTGTCAATTCAAATCAACTTTGATGTTGTGATCTTACCGGGAAAAGGTAGGCTTCTGATATCCAATATTCAAGACAAAATAAACATTTTACCCAATCGTGTACCGTGCGTTTCAGAGTCATTTGTAACAAGTGACCAGAAAGAATGAGGCTAGACATAGTCCACAACTCATGTCAAATGGTGACGCCATGAGAGCATCCGCAATAGGCTGGAATAACCAGACACTAGAAACTGACATTCGGTTGAGACTCATGCCGTATTTCACTGGACATAACATAACTGAGTTGAAGTTGGAGTCAAAACGGAAACAATTGAATGTAAATCAGTTTATATACAATTAGATTACATTATTATTTGCGTTACGACCCATTTGTGTCAATTTCTAGGTCCCAAATATTAGCGATTTAGCTCCTTTAATAAAGAAATTGAGTTTGTCACTTGGAACTAATAAAGGCACCCAATCCTAGCTAAAAACAATTTGTGGGATTTCAATCTTTCAAGAGAGCACTTTTTTATTCGTTGGAATATTTAGTTGTGCAATGGATTTTATTTAACGGGAGTTGATTTCAAACACACGGGTAAGTTTATAATAGCCAAAGTTAAGTAGTTTGTTCATAATCGAAGAAATCCGATTAAAATTTACGATGGTTCAAACACTGAACAGTAGGTACTACTACGCTTACACAGATTATCCAGTGCCACTCTATCAAACAATATTGTTTACATACAAATTACTCAGCTATATAAAAACAAAATAAATAGAACAGCAAAAAGGGATGATCCCTGCCTTCCTTACAATTTCAATAATACGCAAGACATTTCGCGGATACAAAAAATTTTTGGTTCTGAAGGCAGCCATCTTGAAACATCGATATGAAATTTAGTTTCGAATATTTCTATTTTACACAGCTTTCTTCTTTTGAATGTATACCTATCTTTAAAACAATTAAAATTGGCCTTTAATAATTTGAATACATAGATCTAATAATTGCCCCAATTTGAATACTAAAATAACAAAATAACCATGGTCCATTTGTGATTCATGCGAAACTAATCAAGCTCCACGCAAGGTGCCCAGATGAATTTTGTGTTTTATATCGGTTTTTTTTTTAGGGAGGAGGGGGGGGGGGCTGTTTTTCTCCATGCATTCATTGTTTAAATAAAAAGGAGTTATTAAGAAATATCCCAAAATTCAGTGTGCAAATTCTAGTAACAAGCAATCTCCCAAACAGAGTTGCTTTCCCTTGCAGTCGAGGACTTTGTGGAGAGCACTGATCTATATATCAGTGGTGGAGAGTGGCAAACAAGTTCAAGAAACCTTAGATTGGGCGGAAACGGAAAAAGATACATACGTAGCGCCACCTATCGGTTCTCTGTTGCTAACATTCCTGTAAACATTGATAATCTGAAATGATAGGTGTTGAGGATAATATTAATAATATTGATTAATATTTCAGAGACACAAGTTTTTATTTACAACAGTTCTGAAAATACACCATAATTATGAGATTAAAACATTTTAAGAATCTAATGGCACCTCAGGTAAATTTGTGGAATGTTTCTGTCAATAAATAATGAATATGATATTATAATTATGATGATATTGATATAAATGTCATTTACTTTACCATAATATAAGGTCGATGCTTTAACTTACCGGTAGATCTAGATCTACTAATTTATTTGTGTCAGTGAATTTATTTATAGATGAATGAATTTTATCAAATTAATTTTAATGACTCTAGATCTACATATCATATACATATTACATGTAAGTATAGAATGAATATCCAGACACCAAATTCAGCGAATTAAATTTACCACTAGACACAGGGGCCATCGCCCTGAAGTCAAAGAGCACCCTTTTCTCTGATTCCGGCCCCTTTTCTTGGACATGTTGAGTAAATGTATTACAGTTCTGTTTTTCTGTTGTAGGATGGGGCTGCAAAAATATGTGCTTTAGCGTGGTCACCGAATAATCATAAGTTTGCAGTTTGTACATCAGACAGAGTTATAGTCCTTTATGATGAGCATGGAGAAAAAAGAGATAAATTTTCTCTAAAACCAGCAGATAATAAGGTAACTATGAACTATTACAAACTTATATGAACTTTTTCAAGAGAAGCCATATTTTGTTTTCACAGTCCCAGTTGTACATTTAAGTTCATAACCAAATTTGATGCAACTTCCGGGAATGTAAAAATGCTATATGATCATGAAATTTTTAAGACTTTTATTTATTATACCTCTGTGAACAAGGCTTGTGATGTAAGAAACACACTATCTGTTTGTTCAAATTTTTGTTGGGGTAAGTGCAGTTCCTGAATACATTCAAAGGATTTCATTCAAAATGGATGCATAAAATGAAGGAAGATAATTCTAATCTTCAACTCGTTTGCTTTGCAACTCCTCTAAAACCCTTCAATTAGGGATTTCATTCAGACTCAACAGACAAGATAATTCCAGTCCTTTCATGTTTATGAGATTTCCTTTTACCACAATACTTACACTTGTCTGTACAAATTTTTATTTGTTGTGCGTCAGAGAATTATATCTTGATGTGCATGAAGGGAGATAATTGAGTTTTCAGAGACTGATTCTTCTTCCCTTCCATATAGTAGTATTACAATTTTAATTGCGCTTTATCACATGTCAGTGACCCAGACTAGCATAAGATGAGGAATTTAAATTCTGAATGCATGATTTTATAAACATTTTGTATCGTAAAAATTTTGTATCGTAAAATTTCTTTTTAGATCCACTCACCCCTGAAAAAGGAAACTATCAATTTCATATTTTTATTTCAGTATGGTAAAAAGAGTTATACTGTTAAAGGTATAGCATTTTCACCTGATTCAACTAAAATAGCTATAGGACAAACTGATAATATTATCTTTGTTTATAAGATTGGTGAAGAATGGTAAGTTGCTTACATGTTCTTGTCATCAGTCTACAAGAAATAGAAATCAACAAAGTCACTTTGGGCATCAATGATGCTGCTCATCTATTTTGAAGGAGTATTCTGTAGGAATGCATTGTTAAGAGTCTAGGGTTCAAATTCATCGACCAATAACAAAGAACTAAATTGACAATGACGTTTTGCTTTAAAGGCTCAATACCACTCTTGTTGTAACTGAATAATATGTCCCAATCTTTATTCTGGTCAACAAATTGTACTATTTTAGAATATTTCAATTAATTGATGATACATATTTCATCTTAACACACCTTATTTAAAATTTTTGAAAAATTCAACATAATGGTTTGAAACGTCTAACGTAAACCTTTTCAAATGAAACTTCGATTTAAAAATAGGCTGTAATGGATAATTTACACAACAGGTAGGACACTTAAACATCTAGTACTTAGATAGAGATATTATTTATTTTCTGGAGCTTTCAAGCCAGCAAGAGTGTTATTGTCCCTTTAAGATTGGGGGGGGGGGGTGGCTGAATGGTCGAATGGTTAGCACGTGCGCGCTGTACCATAAAGTCTGTCATTGAGTCAACTGGCGTGGTTATGAATCCCCGGTTGTACGTGGCAAGGAGTAGGGTCGCCTATCCAACCTCGTGGGTTTTCTCTGGGTCCTCCGGTTTCCTCCCACTGCTAAAGACCCCTACGCGCAAGCGAATTATTGAAATAAAATTAAACCATATGTTAGTCCCAAAATGACCTAGTTTGTGTTGAGTGGATGTTAAACCCCATTTCTCTCTCTATCTCTCGCTTTAAGATTTTAAAAAGTGTTGAATTAGTCTGATATTATATGTGTTATTTCCGGTAATTAGTTTTGTTTTGTCATTTGCTTTAAAAAAAATAAAGACATCGGTTATAAATATCTAAACATAATTCATGTACACATTTTTTTTACTACACTTAAATAGATTTCTAACTCTCAGAAAAAAAATGAACCTGTCAATTTAATCAAAAGGCCACCTTAATTTTTCACCCTATTCATATAGGGGCCATATCCTTTCAAAAGATTTTATCCCATACACATGTCAGTGTATAAACTACAATCCTACCTCTGGTGGTTAAAATTAAAACATTTAATGGCTTAATAATCTGTTTCAGGTCAGATAAAAAAGTTATCTGTAACAAGTTTGTTCAACAAAGTGCTGTGACATGTTTAATATGGCCACCAGATCAACCTATTATTTATGGTTTAGCAGACGGAAAGGTTAGTTTATATTTAATGGCACTGTTGACTGTACAGCACCATGGACACTAAGGGCTAGCCACCGGATCCATTCACTTTATCTGATATATACGTTTGTTGTTGTGATGTCTGTATATAGTGTCTTGTCCGTAGATTTGTGGGGGGGGGGGGTGGCCAGAAGGTCCGTCATTGAGTCAACTGGTGTGGTTTCGATTCCACGCCGCTTCTACGTGACAAGGAGTAGGGTCATTGTCCAAGCTTGTGGGTTTTCTCCAGGTCCTCCGCTTTCCTCCCACTGCTAAGGACCCCTGTGTGCAAGCAAATTATTGAAATAAATAGTTTGTGTCGAGTGGACGTTATACCCCATTTCTCTCTCTCCGTAGATTTGTCTTGTGTAATTGTTTGTATGTGGTGCAGTCCCCCTTCACTTACTATTAATAAAGATACTTTCTCACAAAAGTATTTATTGGGTGGTTATTTCCAATAAAGATATGGCTATTTTGGTATATGTGGGAAGTGGAGACACCCAATCTTTGTAGAAGAATACTGGATTCCTTGAAAAACATCCATGGAGCACGACAGGACAAGAATGAAAGGGTGTCACTAATTAGAAGCCTGACAGTTAAGGGCTGTCTGCTCAAGTGACCTCTAAGATTGCACGCAAAGATTGTCTGATCTCTCAGTATATGTTGATAAACTTGATGGTGAGCGGACTAGGTTTTACTGACTAAACCCATCGTAAAATCGAAATTCATTACAGGTGCCTTGATATAGTTGATATCATTGAATATATTTTAAAATTTTTTACTCTTTACCTTACTTTCTCTATATTTCAGGTACGTGCTGCCAACACAAGAACAAACAAATCATCCACTATTTATGGTACTGAATCTTATGTTGTTTCTCTAGCTGCTAAGTAAGTCCTTCAATTCAATTTTTTAGTAATATTTCAACTGTATAACTCATGGTATATACCTTAGAGCCAGTGTCCCCATTTCCCAACCTTTTTAACTAAAATCACTTGTAATTTAATTATCATAATCTATCTATAAATGTATATCAGGCGACACAGATCCATGGAACTTGACGGCCGCATGTGGTGATCCCTGGCTTAGACAGATCCTACTGCAGAACATTTTTTGTGATTTGAAGAAAATTTTAGAATTAAGTTTCTAAAATATAATGTCAACAGTAAAGATTGATTGTTTTTAATTATTTTCAGTCCATCAGGAAAAGGTTTCCTATCTGGACATGCTGATGGTTCTATTATTAGATTTTTCTTTGATGATGAAGGTACAGGTGATAGTCAGGTAAGTGTTGATTTGTCGATGTTAACACACAAGTAACTTATGTATGTTATGTTATGAGCTCACTGTCTTACATCTTGAATTAAAGATATGTATTACATTTATCAGGTGGGCCACGAAAAAGTTGGATCTCCCTGGACTATATCCATAATGCTACTCTCACATTCGCCACATAGTGTCGAATATGGTGCCGAATGGGCTTTCAACCAGTTCGCAATGATCACAGGATGATCACCAGACATTCGTAGGTGTTCATGAGCATTCGAGTTTATGAATGGGTTGTTGTGAATATTAGGATCATTGCTTACACAACACTTTCATAAGCAATCTCAAGCCATTCTTATTGATCATTAGACGTGTTAGAGTAGCATTACAATTTTTATGCTACAGTAATATTTTCCTCATAATTTAATATTATGATCTCTATGTTTCAGGGTAAGCTGTGTACCCACCCCTGTCCACCATACGCCCTGGTTTTCTCACAGAACTCAGTAGTTGCTGCTGGTTGCGACAAAAGAATTATTGCTTATGGACGAGATGGAAGAAGTTTTCAACATTTTGATTATAGTCGTGATGATGATGAGCATGAATTTACAGTAGCTGTTTGTAGCCCCAGTGGTCAATCAGTTGTCTTTGGTAGCTATGATAGGTAGGCAAATTATGGGTTTTCGGTGTTACTGCAACAGTGAATTGCTTATCACGCAGTTGATAAAAAACAAAAGTGGCCTATTTATAGTTATTACTTTAAAAGTATTGTATAATTAAATCTAATCGAGATCATTTGGTATGGCCTGTATTTCTTTACTCTATTTCTCACATATAACGTAACAATTTTAGAAGTTAATTTTTGGATGATTCCTAAGAAGCAAAGATATTCTTTATTGCATCAAATGCTCATTGTATTAATGCTCAAAATTTGAAAATGCTATCAAATCTTAAACGTGTCTTTGCTATATCATATTCATGATATAGTTTTAAGGGGTGTATAACTTCTACTATTATAATGGAATGTATGTATATGCATTCCGACACTCACTATTTACTATTATAATCGGCTTATTGTCGTCAGTTGGCGATTCAGTTATTTTTAATTCAAGTATCAGGCAATGCAGGTGCAATGAGTTAAAGGAAATAAATATGAGTCAACTCAATACAAGCCAATACCACTTTTTTTGCACCGACATGTTGAATAATTATTTATATATCCTTAGAATTCAAGCTTTAAATTGGAGTCCAAGGAGACAGATGTGGGATGAACCACAGATTAAAGAAATTAGTAATATGTATACCATATCCGCTTTATCATGGAAGAAAGATGGTTCCAGAATAGCTGCTGTAAGTTGAACAGCATACTATTTTATTAGTCTTAAAAAAGGCATATATATTGAATATAAAAAAGAACAGAATACTGACTTGCTTTAATACTTGCTCTGTTATATTATTGATATTATTATACATGTAATTTTATTTTTATGTCTTTAGGGAACTCTATGTGGAGGTGTTGAGTTATTTGATTGTTGTCTCAAGAAAACTATCTATAAAAATAAATTTGAAATTACACATGTTGGGCTGAGTCAGGTAGAGTTTTATTTTAGATATCACAATTTTTATGTTCAATAGAGAACAATAATGTTTAACATTGGCTTGTGTCAATGACCCTTTATTTAGTGATAAAGTAGGGTTGGTAGGTAATTATATATGGTTTAACACTTGAGAATGAAACATTAAGTAATCTATTGATGCTGGATGAGGGCATTAGTAACAGTGTTGTTACACAGGGCTGGGGCCATTACATTGCCAATGTAATTAATTACATTACCATTACCATTACTTTTTAAAATGTAATCATTACAATTACTTTCTCATTTTTAGCAATGTAATTAATTACCATTACCCATTACATTGAAAGTAATTTTATTACCCATTACTTTATGACTTTATTAATAAAAATAAAAACATTTTTCATAGAAATTGTAAAGATAACCTTATTTTTCTGCTATGAAGCGTCTACAAAATCAAAGTCAAAATAATCGTTGTCTCACTTTAATAGATATTTGTTTATGAATTGTTATTTCTATAAATTATAACATAAAGACAAATTTTCAAGTGACAGGCAATGGTGACAAAAACTGATGTTTTCACTGTATGAGTTTGGTTATAATTAAAAGTGAGAGCTATGAAACTCTTGAGTATAGATTCATTATATCATTACCTTGACTAGGTTTGAGAATTTTCTCCTTAGGCTAAGGAGCGATAAACAATTTGATTGGTCAAGATTTTGGAACATAACAACTCTGCTTTTAATTGAGGTAGAATGTTTAAACTTGATGTAGATGTTCATTAGGTGAATATCTTGACCAAGTTCAATGGTTAACATTTCCCACTAAAACTAAGCAGAGCTAAGCAATTTCTTTGATTTCGATTCTATCTGATAGAGAGTGATGAAACTTAGTGTATGGTTAATAATCAGTTTTTTTGCTTGATACTTTTGAAACAGATAAACGTGCAATTAATTAATATGTGTAATCTATTTATTTCGGGATTTCGGCGGGGGACATCAGCCTCACTGTTGGCTTGTTTCTTACACTTCTGGGATGTAAAGTTTGTTTGATTTACATCAAGATATATATAGGCTTTACACATATATAGGCGTGTAAAACAATGTTCTTGTTACAATTTCGAGGTTTGCAAGTCGATCAATCATGAAGAGTATCACAAAAAGGACGTATACTACCCTTTAAAATCATGATGGTAAAATGTATGATATATATTGTGCCAGTGCTTGACATTTTGAAATATTTAATTCATGAGAATTATGAGTTGTGAATAAATACTTAATGTTTTTAAGCATATTTCATTTATCTTTCTCTAGGTTATAGTAAAGAACCTGGGTAACAATTCTAAAGTTGTTTTAAAATCTCACTATGGTTACGAAATCGATGATGTAAGAATATTAGGAAAAGATCGCTATCTTGTTGGTCATACATCAGATACATTATTACTGGGAGATCAAACCACTGGAAAACTCAGTGAGATCCAGTGGCAGTCTGCTGGAGGCAATGAAAAGTTTTATTTTGATAATGAAAATGTAAGTTGTTGTTTTACAAGAAATATAAGACAATATATGATACAAGATGTGAACAACTGTTAGTTTCTAATAGGCAGTGGATCCTAACTCCTCAAACATGTAACAAATAACATGAATATGATTACAGACAATTAAAAATCTGTAAAAATATGTAACAAATAGGACATGAATATTTCACAGACAAATGTCAAAAATGAATAAAATAGAACATGAAAATGTCACAGACAATTCAAAATTTGCCAAACAGGACATGGATAATGTAAAATGAATACATGGAACTTGTATTAAGAATAGTTTAATTGAAATGATGAAATATTACTCTTTTTATTATTTAAAGCCAGATCAGTGCCATATTGTGTGACTTAGATTATTATTAAAATCAAAGTAGATAAATCACTATCTAAACAAAACTATTTTTTGTCTATGTTATGTAAAGACAGGTCTTTAATTGGTAATGACAATTTTTCAATCTGTAGGTTTGTATGATTTTTAATGCTGGAGAATTAGCTTTAGTTCAGTATGGTGAAAATGAAATCTTGGGATGTGTTAGAACAGAATTTATGAACCCACACCTGATAAGGTATTAATCTATATATTATGAGTTATATTATTCAGTATATTTAATATCAAGAAAAAACAAGGTATATATTGATTATATTACTTCATACTACATATATAGTTATTGAAAATATATACACAATAATATGGATTATATTACTTCATACTACGTGTAAAGGCAATTATATAATCCTTATATACCATAAGTTTTGTGTTATTATGTTAATTATTTTTGAAACTTCTAAAATATTGGACTCTGTTTTTCTCCACTATTATGTATATATCCTTGGAAGTCATCTTCCCCATGACATATCAGTGTTCTTTGAAAAAAACAATACCAGGTCAGTTTCAGAATGTTCATCATCTAAATGACTAACTATTAAATGTGCTGACATGACAAGTCACTTTCGTTTCATCTATGTACATTTTAACAGCATTGATATATATTTTTCAGTGTAAGACTAAATGAAAGAAAACAAAGAAGTGGTGGAGAAAATAAAAAGATGGCTTATCTTGTTGATTTAAAAACAATAGCTATAAGTAAGTTAGAATACCAAAAAGTAAGCGCCTGATAAATAAGAAGTGGTATCTGGTGTTCTAGAAAGAGGAAGCATACCCTACTACCCTTCAGTTCCCTGTATTATGTGTAATTTATTTCTACCTAAACTGTCTGACTATTCCTTACTGAATATATTTGTTAGTAAATTGCGTCAATCTGTGATTTTAATCATTTTAAATCAAGATCTAGATCTCTATCATTATATGTGGTTTATTTTACAGTGGATCTGTCGAGTGGATTAGGTATTGGTCAGATAAATCATGATTCAAAAATTGACTGGCTTGAGGTGAGTCTGTTGTTTAATGGGATTTTGTTTTTGTCCGTAAATGAATGAATCATTATTTAATGTCTAAGGAAATATTCTTTCTAGTCTGTAACACATGATATTGATATAATATAACTACATGTTTCTCCGTTTTTTTCTAGCTCAATGAAACCTGTAAAACGTTGCTGTTTAGAGACAAGAAATTGAAGGTGGGTAATAAGTTATCAACATTGTCTGTTGAGTTTCAATATGTATATAATTCAATAGATCTATTTCCTGATATATTCTCCTTAATGTATATCAATATAAATGTGGATTGGGTGTACACTGTGTGTTTTATAAACTTCTGTGTCTATAATACCTATTTTACATAGGTGTACAAGGCTATATATGATTATGAGGATTGTAAAATTTTATCCCAAATTTATTGAAGAAAAGTTACAGTGTGCCCTTACTTAGCAGAATGTCCCCCTTTTAAGTTAAAAAAAATAACATCACATTCAGGGTGGGAAGGGGTGTGGGGGATGTGCCATAGTCTTTCGCAAGGCCCGTCTAATATGCCTATATGCCTATATCCTATGCATCATATAGTTAACCTTATGCGTGTTGATCTTATACATAGGTAATTAATATATTGATTGGAATCTGTTGTGGGTTTTTTTTTCAGTTACACCTGTATGACATAGAGACACAACAGAAGTCAAGTATCCTCAATTATTGTTCTTATGTCCAAGTAAGTATATAAATAATCAAAACATTTATATTTTCAATTTTCAGAATAAATAGTGTTTCAGTTTACTCATATCATCTCCAATTTCACATCTTTGTAACTAAAAGGGCACATGACACTGCAAATAAAAGAATTTTAATGTTTATGTATGTAAATAAAATGCCACAATGTGAGGAAATGATCTGAAAATTTCAATTCAAAATATTCAACAATTCTTCAGTTTTTTGAGTGACATGATAAACAAGATAACTATGACATTGACAAGTATATAGAAATGTTTATCCAGACACCTACACAGCATCGATTTTTAGGACTGATTATCAGTCTCACAGGGAAACTGAAACAATTTTTTTCTTTGTAAAACGTACCACAGAGCTTTAGATATTTAAACAGGACTAGGTTATAGTTTGCTAAGAGTCTTTCACCTTGAATTAACCAGTTTTATTCACTGATATATATTTTAGATTTTAACTTTTTCTACACTTTTTTTGTGAATGTTGTTTCATATTATTAAATATTTCAGTGGGTTCCAGGAAGTGATGTTGTTGTAGCACAGAATAGAGGTAATTTATGTGTTTGGTATAATATTGATGCTCCTGAAAGAGTAACCATGTTCCCACTCAAGGTTAGTTCAGTTTTCTTTATTAAATTATTTGGGTCATTTTTGTCTATCTTGCATTAATGGAATAGATCTGAATCATTTTCTTTCAATCTACTTATACTTAAGAACACAGCCAATCGTGACATACACTAGAACATTTCTCATCTGCCGGTTACATGGAGATCCAATAAAAAAGCATGGATGACAGGATTTTTGTTCAAAGAATGGTAGCAGGATTTTAATCGATAAATGAAGATAAATAAAAGAAACGTTTTGCTATTCATGCACAATGCCCCGGGCCACCCGGATATGAAACTATCAAATGTCAAGATCGTGTTCCTGCCTGCCAACACAACATCAAAACTCCAACCACTTGACCAGGGAATTATTAAAAGCTTCAAGTCCTATTACACTAAGAGGTTGATGAGATATGTACTAGCCAAAATTGATAATGACGACACGATTGATGCTGCACAAGTGTGTAAAAACGTTAATGTTTTAGATGCCGTCAGATATGTGGCAGAGTCCGTTAAAGACGTTAGTCCGTTATGTGTACAAAAGTGTTTTAAAAAATGTGGAATTTTGACAGACGTTGACAACATGGACATTGAAGATGAAGATGACAGACCCCTAAGTGAACTTAGAGACCTAATGTTAATGACACAAGATCGACTGGGGTTGAAAGACCTCATGACAGTGGACGAGTATCTTGAAATGGACAGCGGCTTACCAGTTTGTGAAGAATTTGACGATGACTGGGAAAGACAGTTCATAAAAGAGGTAAAGAAATCAAAAGATGGTGAAATTAGTGTAATAGGGAGTGATAGCAAAGATGATATCGAGGACAATGAAAAGCAAATTTCACAAAAAGAAGCATTCAAGTATGTTGATAAACTGAAAAACTTTTGGAACAGATGCAAACATTTGAAGCAGATTTAGAGGCTGAATCAGTAAAGATTAAGTGTAGCAATACCCAGGCAACTCTTCTAAAATATTTTAAGTAAATCTACTGCTGTACATGTATAATTATTATTTATGTATATAATTATAATTATGTTTTCATGATGTGTTTTAACATTATTATTTATGTATATAATTTATGTTTTCATGATGTGTTTTAACATTACATCTGTTATTAGTAATAAAGTACACGTACATGTCTATATAATTTACCTAACACTGTCTGTTTTTCTTTGAAATTGCCTCAAGCATGCTCACTCAGTAATGAGACCAACTCACTATTAAGACAACATCTAGACAGTCCCACAGGTGGTCTTAATAGAGGGATTTCACTGTATGTTTAGAAATGTTTATTTTTTTGAAATTGATTTTTTGTGTTGCCTCTCTTTTTATGAGTTTAGTTTCATTTAACTTTTAAGTGAAGTCTGTATCACTACAGACCGGAGACCTTACAGTGTAGTTGACAATTACAGCTGGCTCCCGGATCCATTCCTTTGAATTGATAGTTTCTTTTAATATTTATTACATACTATGTCCGTGTGTTATGTGTGTGATATGTCTTGTCTGTGAGATCGTCTTCTGGGTTTTTATTTTTTAGTATGTGGTGCATTTCTCCTGCACTTACTATTGAAGTCTTCTTCTTCTATTAGTGTTTAACGTTCGCTTCCACCTTGGGTGATATCACAAACAAGTTGTCTTATTTTGTTATGCTTAGCATATGTGCAGGGCTCTCTTGTGAGAGGAAACCGGAGTACCCGAAGTGAACTCACGAGGTTGAAAAGTGAAAAGGTGCCCCTATCTCCAACCACATACGCTCACACCAGGGATCGAAACCACAACAGCAAACCAAAGGTGACCAGCCAGTTAGAGCTCGAAGCGCGACACTCTAGACCACTAGGCCATCTCCCCTTCTCCACCCCTCGCTATTGAAGTCTGATAAATTGATTTATTAATAGGTCATTACTGAAGCATGCAAATGAATGAATCCTGAATTATTTATTAACTCAGTGCTTGTGTTATTGGTATAAAGTGTAAAGATATGTTTGAATTATCTACAGGGAGATATTGTTGATTTAGAAAGAAATGAAGGAAAGACAGAAGTGATAGTAAAAGAGGGTGTACAGACTATAACTTATACATTAGATGAAGGACTTATAGAATTTGGTACAGCTATTGATGATGGTGATTACTCAAGGTAAAGAAGATTAAATAAAGCATTTATTTCTTATAATAGTATTTGTATATGTAGGAAATATGTTTTTGCTACAGTTAAAACCTAAGACATTTTTCTTAATCAAATTTGACAAAAATCTAGGTTGATTTAAGACAGAAAACAACTAAGTCATGAAATCAGTAGAAAGTGATGTAAACTTTAGATGACCATAACTTATGTTAGGATTGGTCAGTTTTTTTCATTTTTGGACCAGTCTGTCTTTTGATAAGACTATTTTTTTAATGTGTATGGACTGGAAGTCTTTGACTTGTAGTGTAGACTATTTTAGCAAATAATGTCCTAAAAGTAACAAGTTTATAGAACCATATGTTCTGTAAACTCCCTATAATGATATTTTGACAATAATATTAATAATATTATGTAATTAGTTTTTCTGTATCTCACATTTTTACTATCGATTCATTCCATGATCCGTCAAATGGGTTTAGTTTTAGTTAGACTACAGTATATCAAAATCTGCATGTTTAATAATCTGCAGGATTAACTGAATGATGTTAATTAATGGTTTAATATGCTTTTAGAGCTGTAGCTTTCCTTGAATCATTAGAATTGTCATCTGAAACAGAAGCAATGTGGAAAACATTAAGTAAATTAGCTTTAGAAGAAAGACAACTTCATATTGCAGAGAGGTAATTATGTCTTTTTATATCAATAATAAAATTTCATTTAAAGTTTATTATGTCAAATTATTAAGTTATGTACTTACTAATGGTATACATATATATATATCCATTGTGCAGTTTTGAAATATATTGAATTTTGCTTCTAGATGTTATTCAGCACTAGGAGATATTGCTAAAGCCAGATTTTTAAAAGATACCTTGACAATAGCTGAAGAAGCTGCCAAACATACGGTAAGAATCTTAATATAGATAAATATATATTATACTGTTATGATTGTAATGTTTAATATACATACTTTTCAAACAGCTATGAACCTTTTAAAACTTGTCTGGAGTTACAATTCTATCTAGATAAACTGTTGGGTTGCTAGTGAGAAAGCATGATACAAAAGCCGTTTTTGCAAATGTCAGGATTTTATAAAAGCGCAAGCACTTATATTTACAGGGAGGTAATGGATATAATCATTATAAAGTACGTGCTAGATTAGCCATCATGGAAAAACGTTTTAAAGAGGCAGAAGGCATATATCTAGAGCAGGTAAGTCTACTACAATTGATTGTATTTTAATTTATCAACAATAGTTAAAATGAAATTAATTTGATAGTCTTTAATAGTAAGTGCAGAGGCACCGCACTACCCACAAACAATTCTGGTACACAAGACAAACCTACGGACAGGACACAATATACACACACCACAAACAACAAACGCACATATCAGACAGGTGAATGTATCCGTGCTATAGACTTCACTTTAAATAACCAGTTTATTTTTCAAAGATGAACATTTTTTTTTTGTTATATGGTTTAAACAGTATTTATACTGAAGGTATTGTACAATTTAAAGGCATAAGAATTAGTTAATAGCAGGAAGATGATTGGTTTAGATGTTTAGTTTAAGTGTGTTTAATGACTTAGCTTGATTTAACCTGTATGTTGTATAATTGATTTTACCTATGTTTATAGAATCATGTTGATGAAGCTATGGAAATGTATCAAGAATTACACATGTGGGATGAAGCCATTCAAGTAGCTGAAGCTAAGGTAATACCAATGTTTTAATATATCCAGATACCTGCTTCAATGTATTTTTCTGCTGTGTTCCCTTTAATCACATTGGCTCCAAAATGACTGGAGTAACATTTCTTTAAAAGAAGAAAATAAAGTTCAAATCATCTATATGAATATCCTGATCTTTCATGAAAATCTAGATTTTACTTGAATTTGCAATTGGAAATAGCTTAAAACGTTTCTTTTATTGTAGAGTCATCCTGAACTTGAAACGTTAAAACGTAATTATAATCAATGGTTGATGGAAACTGGACAAGAAGAAGCGGCTGGTGATGTAAGTATATTCACTATTAATATGTCTTTGAAAGTGGAAGGACAGTTGTTTACCTATAAAAGTTTTGTTATTTTTATGGAAATTATAGCTCCAGGTTATGATTAATGAAATGTTGTTCTGTTGTCTTCCTTTACGCCTTGTTGATAAAAATCAAATATCTACCAGATAGATAGATTTGTAATAAGTTAAGTACAGTGATTGGTGTTAAAAGTTTGCTTATTGTTTATAGTTAACAAAATTCAAATTATTAAATGTATGTTACAATTCCTCAACTTTGTAAAGATCCCACTGTAACATGTCAATGATAGTTTGACATTGTATATAATGTTAGATTTAAAGGATGTTAGTTAAATGCTTTATAAAATCCTATTTTTAGTTAAAAGAAAGAGAAGGAGATTATATGTCTGCTATAAATCTTTATATGAAGTCTGGTTTACCTGCTAGAGCTGCTAGACTAGCATCAACTAGAGAAGAACTTATGTCTAACTCTGAGCTCATCAGTCGAATAGCTGGTGCTCTAATTAAAGCAGATTTATATGAACGAGTTAGTATTAAAATTATATCTGTGTTGCTTTATTTATTTGTTAATACATAACACATTTTCTCAATATTGTAAATAGTGAATTAATATTGTTTAGTGCATATTGCTGGGATAATATCTTTTAAATATGTTCAATATTGTGAATACTGGATCAGGTTTTTTTTTAGGGAATATTGCTGGGATAATACCTTTTCAATATGATATATCTTTGAAATATTTTCATAGATAACATTTTAAGATACATTAATTATAATATACGATATCTTTTTTTTTTATTTCAATTATCACTGGTTTGATTATTTTATCATTTAAAATTTAAAAATATGTAATTATCTGTGTCTTCTACAGGCTGGTGATCTGTATGAAAAGATCCGAGATTATCAAAGAGCTATGGATTGTTTCAAGAAAGGAAATTCTTATAGAAGAGGTAAGCAGATCGGTGGATGTTTTGTCTGTATAATTGCTAATCATGTAATCTAGTAATGTATTTATATTACAACATTATGTGATGCTCTATGTCTATAGACCCATTTCAGCATCGTGCACTATAAACATATTAAGCAAATATATGAAGATCAATTTTTTTAGTTTATTGGTAATCTACATAGGCATAGGGTTTCTCTTGTTCAAAGCTGATATTTCCCAATTAAGTATTACACTCAACTTAAAATATAAAAGTAATAACTTTTGTTTGGATTTTTTTCAGCCGTTGAATTGGCTCGTCATGCTTTCCCTAGTAATGTTGTTAAGTTAGAAGAAGAATGGGGAGACTTTTTGGTTGGTCAAAAACAACTCGATGCAGCTATCAATCATTTTATAGAGGCAGGGTAATTACACTTTCACATGACTTTCCCTTCATGTAGTCATTTATTAGAGCTTTTAACTGTGCATGGAGCAAATTTATTTGAAGAGAATCGAAGGACTGGTGATGTACAATAAATATATATAATTTCAGCTATCTATTTTAAAGTTAGCAGATCCCCATGCAGTATTTATATTTGGTTTTTGTTTATTTGTTATAAAAAGTCAAGAAATATTTCAAGAAATATACCTTGATCATTGTTCTACTAGAAACAATTTGTTAATACTTTACTTGTGTAAGAGTCAATATCTTTTTCCATTAATACTTTATTTATGTAAGAGTAAGTATTTATTTCCATTTTGGGGGATCTATATCAGCTGATTATTATTTCTTGTTTCAGTGCTACAATGAAAGCCGTTGATGCAGCTATTAATTCTAGACAATGGGCGAAGGCTGTACAGATATTGGAAATGCAAGATTCAGCAATGTCTGCTGGTTATTATAAAAAGATTGCCGATCATTACGCGTCTGTTGGAGAATATGAGGTAATACTACGTTGGTTCATACAGTTTGTTGTATCCGCGAAGAGATATATTGAAACATTATGGAACAAAACAAATAATGGTTGACTTAAAAGAATTACAAGAAGTATAACATTCAAATAGGATTGGTGCTTTGTAAGATCCAAAAGTCTAGTAAATTTAGATCAAAATAATGGTGCCAATTTCTTGGTTCCATAGCTCTTGTGGTTTACATGTGTAATGTATATAGGGTACTAGTAATTGAAATATCATCAACAAAGTAACATTGATAGATATTTTGTAATTTTCAGACAGCAGAGAAATTCTATGTAGAGTCTGGATGTACAAGAGAAGCAATAGACATGTACAACAAGGCTGGAAAATGGGATCTTGCTCATAAAGTAAGTTATTTTGTTAAAAAAAAATTACCATTACATTGCCATCACTGCTACCTTTCATACATGTTCAGACATTCCTTAAAAACTACATTGTGATTGTAATAGATGTACCATAATAAATTGTTTATAAGTAGATTACTGTAATAATGTGTATACTTTTAGTTGGCATCAACATATATGAAAGGTGATGATGTTTCAAGTCTATATATTACACAAGCTAAACAGTTAGAAGAACAAGGCAAATTCAAAGATGCTGAAAAGTAAGTCGTGTGAAAGTTGTTTTTTGGACTATTTTCAATTTTAGTGAGAATCTAAGTTTTTTAGTTTTTTGAAATCTATAGTTTGGTGCTGCTCATTCGTTTGTATGTAAATATTTGTTGAAGATCAGGGGTTATGGTAGTCATACAGTAAGAGCACTGGATACATTTGTCTAGAATGTCCAGACCTCCAGGGTTTGGAATTCTTAGTGAACTGATGGATAGGGTCACAAAGAATGTTTGTCTAATCATTTATGTGGTCTAGTACACAAATTGATAGTGCACGTAAATAATCAATTGGCATATGTTGGTGTCCTGGCAAAATTCTTCACCTTGCATTCCACAATCAAAGAATATAAAAATTACTATGACCAAAATCTGTTGCTAAGTGCTCACCTTTATTCTGTTCTCCTTCCTTTTGAAATGTTTTTATTCTGTTATCTGATGTTTTATTTTTTTTGGGGGGGGGGGAGAGGTGGGGGAGGGGTTAAGTGGTTAAACATATGTGCTTTAGATAATAAGGTCTGCCATTGAGTCAAGTGGTAGCGTGGTTTCGATCCCAAGCTTGTACATGACAAGTGTAGCACCATAGGTCTTCTGTCTGACGTGGAGAGTGGATTAAGGGGACCGGTCGCAACATCCTATGTACGACCCATGCATCTTTTCTTACTACATATTTCTGTAGCCTTGTGATCGTCTAGAATTTGTCTCTAGCTGTCTTTACTTCTGCTTCTCGTTGTGTATTTACTTCTTACAGTTTCTTAAGACGTCTGTCTTACCAGGAATAACAATGCGACAGTTTGCTTCTACATATTTTATATATATATATATAGCTGAATACAGGTATACAAGCATAATAGATAACAATACTAGCTAAAACCATTTCTCTATCCTAGCCAGCCTTGCGGCTGTCTAGGAACTCAGATGTAAGCTCTCTGGAACCTAATAGAAGCCTGACTTACAGGGTTCCCCGGTTTCTTTTAAAGGTATATGAATATCATGCACAATAAAGCGTGATCATGGCCCTGAACTTGTGTAATTAACAAAATGATTGGTTACTTTAAATCAAATGATGCAATTAGAATAATTCCACTCACGTGTAATTCTGGTCGTAAATAATTGACATATGTTTTCGATAAATAGCTCTTTTTATGTGTCAACTGTCAATTACAGACAAAGTTGATTTAGTACACACTATATATGTGAATATGTTTGAAATTACTAACTTGCCAAAGATATTAATTAATGAAATATAAAGCCATCTTATTTCAAGAGCAAAAATTCTAGCAATATTATTACACAAGGAGAAGAGTTGTCTGCCCATCCTCATGAAATAAAATTGTACCATAATTGTATAGGTTCTATAGGGTGGACATTAAAACCCATTTCTTTCTCTGACATTTTATAATATTTTTTATATTTTTTTTTTTTTGAATAGGTTGTATGTAGCAGTACAGGAACCAGATTTAGCAATTACTATGTATAAAAAACAAAGATTATATGGTGATATGATCCGACTTGTTAAAATATATCATCCTGATTTATTACAAGATACACATCTACATCTAGCTAAAGTTTGTATATTTATATAATGTACAATTCATATACATATGGTTTAATTGTTGATTGGAGAATATATGTCCAAACTAATTACTGGAGGGCAATATATATGTTGATCGGAATAATATTTTTTGACAAGAAATGTAACAGTGTGTCCATTTATTATTTCTATTAATTTCTAAACTTATTCTCAAACCTGCACTGTCTGCAGAACAGTAGGACATTAAACCCCATTTCATTTCTCAAACATAAACACTTGTAATCAAGACATCATCAAAACAACTTTATAAAAACTCTAGTCTATTAATTATAATTAACCATAAATGACTGTTGGATTCTAGAATAGTTAAGTTGATAAGCCATATTTTTTTTCTTCAAGACTAATAGTAAGTGCAGGAGGACCACACTTCACACAAACAAACCCGCAAAGACAAACCTAATAAATAATGGATCTCTTTAAACCTATATAATATTTATTTAGAGATTTTATGGAACATATATACTATTGTATTATTTTTAATATATTTTGTTGATTATTTTAGGAATTAGAAGGTGAGAATAATTCACGACAAGCTGAACATCATTATGTAGAAGCTGGTGATTGGAAAGCTGCAGTTAATATGTACAGAAGTCTAGATATGTGGGATGAATCTTATAGAGTACGTTATCTAAAAATCTGGGCCAAAACAATTTAAATTTAGTTCTTCAATAGCAACTCAAATCTTGGGAACAATATTTTATTTAATATTTCAAAACTCAAAAAGGCGACCAAGTATTTTCTATTTTTGATTATTATTTTTTTCTTGTAATAAATATTTCGCTGACTAAAATGAGTCTGATGTAAATTGATCATTCAACAGAATTACTACTTTTTAATGTGTAATGAATAAAAATTCACATTTCTTCTTCATAAAGCTTATGAGTTCAATTATTTATTTATTCAATTATTGTTTTTATTCATTCTCATCCAACTTCGTAATTTAATGTACATGCTTTGCAATACTATTTTTACAGGTGGCTAAAAGTCATGGTGGACATAATGCATCTAAACAGGTGGCATATCTGTGGGCCAAGACTTTAGGTGGTGATGCAGCTGTTAAATTATTAAATAAATATGGATTGTTAGAGCCAGCTGTAGATTATGCTACAGAAAACTGGTAGGACTTATTCTGTATATAAATATAACTCTCTATCGATCAGTTCATTTCATTGTACCACAAAAGCTCTGTGAGATCATATCCTTGATGGCAACATGTGCCAGACTGTGCACGCTCACCATCATTCCAATGGTCTCCTATACAGTACCCTATTACTTGTACTGGGAGCTACTCCTTTGGATGTAACTAACCTTGGACGCTACCCCTTAAAAGGCATTGTGTCTTTACCAAAGGAAACAAAATCAAATAGGCCTCCTAATTGATCTCCCATCTCCAACCTATGAGAAGAGGGCCTATCATTTGACTCCTCTTGCAAGTTTCCCAGGTGTCTGAGATATCACCCAAGGTGTAAGTGGACGAAAAGCCTTAAGGAACGAATGAACAAGCAGCAAATGAGTGGAGTGTCTGCCCAATAGCACAGCATATGTCAGTATCACTGCTCTAATTTGATTCTGTCCAACCTCTTGGGTTTTCTCTGGGTCCTCCGGTTTTCTCGCACTGCTAAAGACCCCTACGCGCATGCGAATTATTGAATTAAAATTGAACTATATTTTAGTCCCAATATGACCAAGTTTGTGTCGAGTGGATGTTAAACCTCATTTTTCTCTCTCTCTCTAATTTACTTAATTGGAAGTTACACATACATCTTCTTTTACCAGTTTAAAAAAGGTCAGTCAATGTGTGTACATTGATATAAATTAATCCACCTCAACATGTAAGCTTATTATACAATATTGATCGAGGATATACATATTTTGTTATTTATAATTCTGCCTTTATTCACAATCTTAGAAAAAAATTTATTGCCTATAGGATAAATAAAACTAAAGATCTTTATCAATTTACTTCTTCATGAACTGAATCATTTTTTATTTTAGTGCTTTTGAATTTGCCTTTGATTTGGCAAGAATTGCTATGAAAGATAAAATGCCAGAAATCCACCTGAAGTATGCCATGTTTTTAGAGGATGAAGGAAAATGTGCTGAAGCTGAAGCAGAGTTTATAAAAGCTAATAAACCTAAAGAAGCAGTTCTCATGTAAGTACGGTCATTATAAAAATAATTTAATCATCACCAACAACTGCTACTTAGATTCAATACTGTCTTGACCTTAGAATCATCATTCAATAACGCACATGATAGCCACGATAGCTCAGTGAGTAAGAAGCTGGCTCGCTAGCTTGGAGCTCGCGGGTTCGCTCCCGGTGTTGGCTGAGAAATTTTGTGATTTTCCAGCGTGGTTTCCCCTTATCAGTGGTTCGGGACAAAGAGCCTGACAAGGACAGCTGTCAAGTCGTTTGGATGGGCCGGAAAACTGAAGTCCCGTTTACGCATTCTTTTGCACGTAAGAGATCCCTTTGCAGTTGGAATTCGATATAAGAGTAGGCGGTATTGCTGTTGTCCGGGCAAAATATCCCTCATAGCACGTCTTCATTAGCCCAGTCGGAGCAGAACAGTAGAATGTTAAACTACATTTCATTTTCAATCACGCCCATTTATCATCTGTGTTTTTCCATGA